AGTGACTCAAAACTGACCTGAAGGACCCAAAACTGGACCTGAAGGACCCAAAACTGGACCTGAAGGAACCAAAACTGGACACAAAACTCCAGGTTTGGCCTCACCAGGGGCCTGTTCTCAGCCCAAGAATCCCTTCCCTGCTTGTGTTCCCACTGATCAACCTCTCCAGTCCTGGTTGTTCTTCCCTGGAGCTGCTCCAGCCCCTCAAAGTCCTCCCTGAGCTGAAGGACCCAAAACTGGACCTGAAGGACCCAAAACTGGACACAAAACTCCAAAAAGTGACTCAAAACTGACCTGAGGGACCCAAAACTGGACACAAAGCTCAAAAAGTGACTCAAAACTGACCTGAAGGGACCCAAAACTGGACCTGAAGAACCCAAAACTGGACACAAAGCTCAAAAAGTGACTCAAAACTGACCTGAAGGACCCAAAACTGGGCCTGAAGGACCCAAAACTGGACACAAAGCTCAAAAAGGGACTCAAAATTGACCTGAATGGACCCAAAACTGGACCTGAAGGACCCAAAACTGGACCTGAGGGACCCAAAACTGGACACAAAGCTCAAAAAGTGACTCAAAACTGACCTGAAGGACCCAAAACTGGGCCTGAAGGACCCAAAACTGGACACAAAACCCGAGGTTTGGCTGTTCTCAGCCCAAGAATCCCTTCCCTGCTCGTGTTCCCACCGATCCCGATCCATGCCGTGATCCACCATCCCTCTTGTCCCACCTGGGCTCGTGTTCAGGGTGGGGGGATCATCACCATCATCATCATCATCACCATCACCATCACCATCATCACCATCACCATCACCATCACCATCACCATCATCACCGTCACCATCACCATCATCACCATCATCACCATCACCATCATCATCACCATCATCATCACCACCATCATCACCATCACCATCATCACCATCACCATCATCACCATCATCACCATCATCACCATCACCATCACCATCATCACCATCACCACCATCACCATCACCATCACCATCACCATCACCATCACCATCATCACCATCATCACCATCACCATCATCACCATCACCATCACCATCACCATCACCATCATCACCATCATCACCATCACCATCACCATCACCATCATCACCATCACCATCACCATCACCATCATCACCATCATCACCATCACCATCATCATCACCATCACCATCACCATCATCACCATCACCATCACCATCACCATCACCATCACCATCACCATCACCATCACCATCACCATCATCACCATCACCATCACCATCACCATCATCACCATCATCACCATCACCATCACCATCACCATCATCACCATCACCATCATCACCATCACCATCACCATCACCATCACCACCATCATCACCATCACCATCACCATCATCATCACCATCACCATCACCATCATCACCATCACCATCACCACCATCATCACCATCACCATCATCATCATCACCATCACCATCATCACCATCACCATCACCATCATCACCATCACCATCACCATCACCATCACCATCACCATCACCATCACCATCACCATCATCACCATCACCATCACCATCATCACCATCACCATCACCATCATCACCATCACCATCACCATCACCATCACCATCACCATCATCACCATCATCACCATCACCATCACCATCATCATCACCATCACCATCACCATCACCATCACCATCACCATCACCATCACCATCACCATCACCATCACCATCACCATCACCATCATCACCATCACCACCATCATCACCATCACCATCATCACCATCATCACCATCATCATCACCATCACCATCGTCACCATCATCACCATCACCATCACCACCATCATCACCATCACCATCATCACCACCCTCACCCACCTCCATGGCCCAGCTCTCGGAGGGCGCCTTGTAGACCACGTTGACCTTGCCGTGGATGTAGGAGAGCTGCATGTCCTCGCACTCGTCCACCAGGAAGAGCTCCAGAGGGTCCGAGGTGGCCCCCAGCACCGTGTCCGAGCCCGGGCAGAACCAGTGCGCGTGGAACATCTGCCCGCTGCTGTCCTCCCACATGGCTGTCACCCTGGGGGGGAGGGAAAAAAAGGGTTTGGGGACATCCAGAAATGTCCCCTGGGTAGGAGGGGAGAGGGAGGGGTGCCCACCTGGCCAGGTAGAGGGGCTTGGTGGGGTCGTCGGGGCTGACGGAGACGCAGTCGCCGACCTCCAGCGTCTCCGAGTCGATGCAGACGCGCTGGTAGTAATCCTTCTTGCCATCCCTCTGGGGGGGAAAGGGAGGAAAGGGGGGTTAATAATCCTTCTTATCATCTCTCTGAGGGGATGAGGGGGTGAGGAGGAGGGTAGGGGGGTAATAATCCTTCTTGCCATCTCTCTGGGGGAAGGGTTAATAATCCTTCTTGCCATCCCTCTGGGGGAAAAAGGGCGTTAATAATCCTTCTTATCATCTCTCTGGGGGGAAAGGGGTAATAATCCTTCCTGCCATCTCTCTGGGGGGATGAGGGGGTGAGGAGGAAAGGAGGGGCAGGGAGATGGCAGGGGGGTAATAATCCTTCTTGCCATCTCGCTGGGGGGGGAAAGGGGAGGAAAGGGGGGTGATAATCCTTCTTGCCATCTCTCTGGGGGAAAGGGGTAATAATCCTTCTTGCCATCTCTCTGGGGGAAAGGGAGGAAAGGGGGGTGATAATCCTTCCTGACATCTCTCTGGGGGGACAGGGGGTGAGGAGGAGGAAAGGAGGGTAATAATCCTTCTTGCCATCTCTCTGGGGAAAAAGGGGGAGGAAAGGGGTGATAATCCTTCCTGTCATCTCTCGGGGGGAAGGGTCAGGAGGAGGAGAAGGGGGTGATAATCCTTCCTGTCATCTCTCTGGGGGGATGGAGAGGGTGAGGAGGAGGAAAGGAGGGTGAGGAGGAGGAAAGGAGGGTCAGGAGGAAGAAAGAGGGGTAATAATCTTTCTTGTCATCTCTCTGGGGGGACAGGGGGGTGAGGAGGAGGAAAGGGGGTGAGAGGGGAGGAAAGGAGGGTGAGGAGGAGAAAGGGGTGAGGAGGAGGAAAGGGGGTGAGGAGGAGGAAAGGCGGGGAGGAGGAGGAGCAGGAGGGTAATAACTCCTTCTTGCCATCTCTCTGGGGGAAGGGGGTCAGGAGGAGGAAAGGGTGATAATCCCTCCTGCCATCTCTCTGGGGGGACAGGGGGGTAATAATCCTTCTTATCATCCCTCTGTGGGGATGGAGAGGGTGAGGAGGAGGGTAGGGGGGTAATAATCCTTCTTGCCATCTCGCTGGGGGGAAAAAGGGGAGGAAAGGGGGGTAATAATCCTTCTTGTCATCTCTCTGGGGGGATGGAGAGGGTGAGGAGGTGGAAAGGAGGGGCAGGGAGATGGCAGAGGGGTAATAATCCTTCTTGCCATCTCTCTGGGGGAAAAGGGGAGGAAAGGGGGGTCAGGAGGTGGAAAGGAGGGGCAGGGAGATGGCAGGGGGGGAGTAATCCTTCTTGCCATCTCGCTGGGGGGGGAAAGGGGAGGAAAGGGGGGTCAGGAGGAGGAAAGGGGGGTCCTGCCTGGTCTGGCCTGGGTGGGCTCTCCCTCCTGGATGGGCTCTGTCACCTGGATGGGCTCCCCCATCCACGAGATCCACCTCTGGTGTCACCTGGATGGGTTCCCTCACCTTTGATGGGTTCCCCTTAGTCTGGTCTCACCTGGACGGGGTTCCCTCACCTGGATGGTCTCCCCCACCCATGAGATCCACCTCTGATGTCACCTGGACGGGGTTCCCTCACCTGGATGGGGTTCCCTCACCTGGATGGTCTCCCCCACCCACGAGATCCACCTCTGGTGTCACCTGGACGGGGTTCCCTCACCTGGATGGTCTCCCCCACCCATGAGATCCATCTTTGGCCTCACCTGGATGGGGTTCCCTCACCTTTGATGGGTTCCCCTTAGTCTGGTCTCACCTGGATGGGTTCCCTCACCTTTAAGGACTCCCCCACCCATGAGATCCTTTAAGGGCTCCCCCACCCACGAGATCCACCTCTGGTGTCACCTGGATGGGTTCCCTCACCTGGATGGTCTCCCCCACCCACAAGATCCTTTAAGGGCTCCCCCACCCACGAGATCCACCTCTGGTGTCACCTGGATGGGGTTCCCTCACCTTTGATGGGTTCCCCTCAGTCTGGTCTCACCTGGATGGGTTCCCTCACCTGGATGGGTTCCCTCACCTGGATGGACTCCCCCACCCATGAGATCCTTTAAGGGCTCCCCCACCCACGAGATCCACCTTTGGTCTCACCTGGATGGGGTTCCCTCACCTTTGATGGGTTCCCCTTAGTCTGGTCTCACCTGGATGGGTTCCCTCATCTTTGATGGGTTCCTCTACTGTGGTCTCACCTGGATGGGGTTCCCTCACCTGGATGGGCTCCCCCACCCATGAAATCCTACTCTGGTCTCACCTGGATGGGTTCCCTCACCTGGATGGGGTTCCCTCACCTTTATGGTCTCCCCCACCCACAAAATCCACCTTTGGTGTCACCTGGATGGGGTTCCCTCACCTGGATGAGCTCTCCCACACATGAGATCCACCTCTGGTGTCACCTGGATGGGGTTCCCTCACCTGGAGATGTTCTCTCACCTTTGATGGGTTCCCCTTAGTTTGGTCTCACCTGGATGGGCTCCCCCACCCATGAGATCCACCTTTGGCGTCACCTGGACGGGGCTCCCTCACCTGGATGGGCTCCCTCACCTGGATGGGCTCCCCCACCCATGAAATCCTACTCTGGTCTCACCTGGATGGGGTTCCCTCACCTTTAAGGTCTCCCCCACCCACAAGATCCACCTCTGGTGTCACCTGGATGGGTTCCCTCACCTTTAAGGTCTCCCCCACCCACAAGATTCACCTCTGGTCTCACCTTGACGGGCTCCCCCACCCAGCAGATGCGACTCTTGTTCTGCTTCTTCTTCCTGCCCTGGAGCATCTTCTTGGGCGAGGGCACCTCGGGGACGTTGTCGTCGACCTCCTCATCCTCATCTGCCTCCCTCACGGCCAGGTTGGGACACCTGGGCACGGATTGGGGGGTGGGAAAGTCACCAGGGAGGGGACAAGGGGGTGGGATGATGGGGGGGTTGTTGGGGGGTGGGACATGGTCACCTCCTCTGCAGGCAGGCCTGCTTGCTCCTCCCGCTGCCCCCGAACTTCACCATGTTCTGGCAGGCCTTGCACTTGCCACACTCGGGCTGTTGGCACACCTGGGGTGGGCACAGGGGGGGTGGGTGACGCTGGGATCGCGGTGTCACCCCCACCAGGGAGCAGGGTGGGGCCTCTGGGAGGGACCCAGGGAGTGACTGGGGTGGTTGGGGTTGAACTTTGAGATCCCAACATTGAACACCAGGAGGGGTTAATTTGGTTGGTCAAGGCTGGAAAAGCCCTCCAAGTCCAACCAGCCCAACCCAGGACAGGAGGTGGATGAAGGTCCCTTCCAACCTTGATCAACCAACAAGCCCAACCAGCCCAACCCAGGACAGGAGGTGGATTTTGGTTGACCAAGGTTGGCATTGGCCTTCAATACCGACCAGCCCAACCCAGGACAGGAGGTTGATGCTGATCAAGGTTGGAAAAGCTCTCCAAGCCCAACCAGCCCAACCCAGGACAGGAGGTGGATGAAGCTCCTTGACCAATTTTGCTTGACCAAGGTTGGAAAACCCCTCCAAGCCCAACCAACCCAACCCAGGACAGGAGGTTGATGCTGATCAAGGTTGGAATTGACCTTCAAGCCCAACCAGCCCAACCCAGAACAGGAGGTGGACGAAGCTCCTTGACCAATTTTGCTTGACCAAGGTTGGAAAAGCCCTCCAAGCCCAACCCAGAACAGGAAGTTGGTTTTGGTTGACCAAGGTTGGAAAAGCTCTCCAAGACCAACCAGTCCAATCCAGAATGGGTTAATTTGGTTGGTCAAGGTTGGGATTGACCTTCAAGACCGACCAGCCCAACCCAGGACAAGAGGTTGATGTTGGTCAAGGTGGGAATTGACCTCCAAGATCCACCATTGAACCCCAGGATGGGTGGGATTGGATGGTCAAGGTTGGGATTGACCCTCAAGATCCAGCATTGAACCCCAGGATGGGTGGGATTGGATGGTCAAAGTTGGGATTGACCTTCAAGACCAACCAGCCCAACCCAGGACAAGAGGTAGATAAAGCTCCTTGACCAATTTTGCTTGACCAAGGTTGGAAAACCCCTCCAAGCCCAACCAGCCCAACCCAGGACAGGAGATTGATGTTGGTCAAGGTGGGAATTGGCCTTCAATACCGACCAGCCCAACCCAGGACAAGAGGTGGATTTTGGTTGATCGAGGTTGGAAAAGCTCTCCAAGCCCAACCACCCCAACCCAGGACAGGAGGTGGATTTTGGTTGATTGAGGTTGGAAAAGCCCTCCAAGCCCAACCAGCCCAACCCAGGACAGGAGGTGGATGAAGGTCCTTGACCAATTTTGGTTGACCAAGGTTGGAAAAGCCCTCCAAGTCCAACCAACCCAACCCAGGATGGGTTAATTTGGTTGACCAAGGTTGGGATTGACCTCCAAGCCCAACCAGCCCAACCCAGGACAGGAGATTGATGCTGATCAAGGTTGGAAAAGCTCTCCAAGCCTGACCAGCCCAACCCAGGACAGGAGGTGGATGAAGGTCCTTGACCAATTTTGCTTGACCAAGGTTGGAAAACCCCTCCAAGCCCAACCAGCCCAACCCAGAACAGGAGGTGGATAAAGCTCCTTGACCAATTTTGCTTGACCAAGGTTGGAAAAGCCCTCCAAGCCCAACCAGTCCAACCCAGGACAGGAGGTTGATGTTGGTCAAGGTTGGAAAAGCCCTCCAAGCCCAACCCAGGACAGGAAGTTGGTTTTGGTTGACTGAAGTTGGAAAACCCCTCCAAGTCCAACCAGCCCAACCAAGGACAAGAGGTTGATGCTGATCAAGGTTGGAAAACCCCTCCAAGTCCAACCAACCCAACCCAGAACAAGAGGTGGATAAAGCTCCTTGACCAATTTTGCTTGACCAAGGTTGGAAAACCCCTCCAAGCCCAACCACCACCACCACCCTGCCCCCAAAAAAAACCCCCAGGGGAGGTGACCTCCCCATGGGACGGCCCCACCACCCCCTCCCGGTGCCGGCACCTCGCAGACGCCGCAGCGCCGGCGCTTGGTGGAGTTCTCCTTGTCCTCCTCGCGCTCGTCCTTCTCGATCTGCTCCGAGAAGAAGGTGTCGAAGATGTGGTACACCAGCTTGGTGGTGGTGGCCTTGGTGGGCCCCCGCTCCTTGTCGATGCGCGTGGGGTGCCGGATGGCCTGGCGCCGCACGGCCCGCCTGGGGACACGGGCACGGCGCTCAGGCCACGCTTTTGGGTGGGCTTTCCCAAGTTTGGGAGGGTTTTCCCGGTTTTGGGAGGGTTTTCCTGGTTTTGGGAGGGTTTTCCCAAGTTTGGGAGAGTTCTCTTAATTTTAAGAAGAGTTTTCCCAGTTTTGGGAGGGTTCTTTTAATTTTAAGAAGGGTTTTACCACTTTTGGGAGGGTTTTCCCAAGTTTGGGAGGGTTTTCCAAATTTTGGGAGAGTTCTCTTAATTTTAAGAAGGGTTTTCCTGGTTTTGGGAAGGTTTTCCCAAGTTTGGGAGGGTTTTCCCGCTTTTGGGAGGGTTTTCCTGGTTTTGGGAGGGTTTTCCCAGTTTTGGGAGGGTTTTCCCGCTTTTGGGAGGGATTTCCAAATTTTGGGAGGGTTTTCCCAGTTTTGGGAGGGTTCTCTTCATTTTAAGAGGGTTTTCCCAGTTGTAGGAGAGTTTTCCCACTTTTGGGAGGGTTTTCCCACTTTTGGGAGGGTTTTCCCAATTTTGGGAGGGGTTTCCAAATTTTGGGAGGGTTTTCCCACTTTTGAGAGGGCTTTCCCAGTTTTGGGAGGGTTTTCCCACTTTTGGGAGGGTTTTCCAAATTTTGGGAGGGTTTTCCCAATTTTGGGAGGGTTCTTTTAATTTTAAGAAGGGTTTTCCCACTTTTGGGAGAGTTCTTTTAATTTTAAGAAGGGTTTTCCCACTTTTGGGAGGGTTCTCTTCATTTTAAGAAGGGTTTTCCCAAGTTTGGGAGAGTTCTCTTAATTTTAAGAAGGGTTTTCCCAGTTTTGAGAGGGTTTTCCCGGTTTTGGGAGGGTTGTCCCAGTTTTGGGAGGGTTCTCTTAATTTTAAGAAGGGTTTTCCCAGTTTTAGGAGGGTTTTCCCAAGTTTGGGAGGGTTCTTTTAATTTTAAGAAGGGTTTTCCCAGGTTTGGGAGGGTTTTCCCAAGTTTGGGAGAGTTCTTTTAATTTTAAGAAGGGTTTTCCCACTTTTGGGAGGGTTCTCTTCATTTTAAGAAGGGTTTTCCCAGTTTTAGGAGGGGTTTCCCGGTTTTGGGAGGGTTCTCTTAATTTTAAGAAGGGTTTTCCCAGTTTTGGGAGAGTTTTCCCAGTTTTGGGAGGGTTTTCCCAGTTTTGGGAGAGTTCTCTTAATTTTAGGAAGGGTTTTCCCACTTTTGGGAGGGTTGTCCTGGATTTGAGAGGGTTCTCTTAATTTTGGGAGGGTTTTCCCACTTTTGGGAGGGTTGTCCCAGTTTTGGGAGGGTTCTCTTCATTTTAAGAAGGAGTTTTCCCAGATTTAGAGAGAGTTTTCCCCACTTCTTTGGGAGGATAGTTTTTCCCACTTTTGGGAGGAGTTCTTACTAATTTTAAGAAGGGTTTCCCAGGTCTAGGATGGGTTTCCCACTTTTGAGAGGAGCTTTCCCAGTTTTGGGAGGTTCTCCCACTTTTGGGAGGGATTTTCCCAAGTCTGGGAGAGTCTCTCTTTAATTTTACGAAGGCGTCTTCCCAGTTTTGAGAGGGTTTTCCGGTTTGAGGAGAGGTTTCCCAGTTTTGCCAGGAGAGGTTCTCTTAATTTTACAGGGTTTTCCAGTTTTGGGAGAGTTCTTTCCCAGAATTTCCTGGGGTGGGTTTTCCCACTTTTGGGAGGGTTCTCTTAATTTTAGGAAGGGTTTCCACTTTGGGGACGCTCTCTTAATTCTTAGGAGGGCTTCCAAATTTTGGGAGGGTCTTCCAAAATGTTAGGAGTGGCTTTCCCGGTGTGGAGGGTTTTCCCCAGTTTTGAGAGGTTTCAAATTTTGAGAGGGCTTTCCCAGTTTTGGGAGGGTTTTCCCACTTTTGGGAGGGTTGTCCACTTTGGGAGGGTTTTAGGGAGGGTTTTCCCACTTTTGGGAGGGTTCTCTTAATTTTAGGAGGGTTGTCCCAGTTTTGGGAGGGTTGTCCCAGTTTTGGGAGGGCTTTCCAAATTTTGGGAGGGTTTTCCACTTCTGGGAGGAGTTTTCCAGCCTGGGAGGGCTTCACTCTTGGGAGGGTTTTCCCGGATTTGGGAGGATTCTCTTCATTTAATAACTCAACCCTCAACCCAACCATCAACTCAACCTCCAATCCAACCCCCACCCCAAACCCCAACCCAACCATCAACTCAACTCCCAAGCATCAACCCAAACTCCAACCCAACCATCAACCCAACCCCCAACCCAACCCAACCCTCAACCCCCAACTCAACCCCCAACTCAACCCTCAACCCAACCCCCAACTCAACCCAACCCTCAAACCCCAACCCAACCATCAACCCAACTCCCAACTCCAACCCAACCCCCAACCCAACCATCAACCCAACCCCCAACCCAACCACCTCAACCCAACCCCCAACCCAACCCTCAATTCAACCCCCAACCCAACCATCAACCCAACCCCAACCCAACCATCAATCCAACCCCAACCCAACCCAACCATCAACCCAACCCTCAACCCACCCCCTCCTCCCAATCCCCACCAAAAACCCCGACAACGCCTCCCCCACCCCCAAACCCCCAAACCTTGTCCCCCCCATCCCACCTCTTGCCCAGGGTGACCCCAGCCAGCTTGATGAGGTCCTCATGCAGGGGTGATGAGCACGGGGCTCGTCGCTGTCTCCGGCCTCGTCGTAGCTCTCCACCTGCTCCACCACGAACTGGGCGTGGCGCAGCAGCGAATCCTCCGTGAACCGGTTGAAGTTCAGCCCCACGGGGGGCACCGTGGTCTGGGAGGGGAGTAGCAGGGTCAGGAAGGGTTGATTGACCCCTCCCCACCTCCCCAAAAATCGCCCGTTCCCGGTATCGGTCGGTGAAGGATCCGAACTCCAGGTCGAGGGGTCCCAGTTGTGACCCCCCCTTCCCCCACTGGGTGGGTTATCCCACCCTTTTCCATGGAAAAATCACTCCTGGTGTCCGGTCTGAGCCTCCCCTTGGGGGCACAGCCTGGAATCACGGCGTTGGTGGGGTTGGAAAAGCTCCCTTTTCCTGTCTCCAAGTCCTTTTTCCATGTCCAACCCCTTCTCCATCTCCAAGCCCTTTTCCATCTCCAACCCTTTTTCCATCTCCAAGCCCTTCTCCATCTCCAAACCTTTTCCATCTCCATCCCCTTTTCCATCTCCAACCCCTTCTCCATCTCCAACCCCTTTTCCATCTCCAAGCCCTTTTCCATGTCCAACCCCTTTTCCATCTCCAAGCCCTTTTCCATCTCCAACCCCTTTTCCATCTCCATCCCCTTTTCCATCTCCAACCCCTTTTCCATCTCCAACCCCTTTTCCATCTCCAAGCCCTTCTCCATCTCCAACCCTTTTCCATCTCCAAGCCCTTTTCCATCTCCAAGCCCTTTTCCATCTCCAACCCTTTTCCATCTCCAACCCCTTTTCCATCTCCAAACCCTTCTCCATCTCCAGCCCCTTCTCCTGCTCTCCAACCCCTTCTCCTGCTCTCCAAACCCTTCCCCTGCTCTCCAGACCCTTCTCCTCCTTCTCCAGCCCCTCCTCCTGCTCTCCAACCCCTTCTCCTGCTCTCCAAACCCTTCCCCTGCTCTCCAGACCCTTCTCCTGCTCTCCAGACCCTTCTCCTGCTCTCCAGACCCTTCTCCTGCTCTCCAGATCCTTCTCCATGTGCTCCAGACCCTCCAAACTTGAGCAGGTCCTCTTAGCTGACGTCACCCCTGGGGACACCCTGGGGACACCCCTGGGGACACCCCTGGGGACACTGACCCTGGTGACCCCCCTGGTGACCTGGTGACCCCCCTGGTGACCTGGTGACCCCCCTGGTGACCCCCCCAGGTGTCCCCCACCTCGATCTTGTTGAGCAGGTCCTCGTAGCTGACGTCACCCCTGGGGACACCCCTGGGGACACTGACCCCAACACTGACCCCAACACTGACCCCAACACTGACCCTGGGGACACCCCTGGGGACACTGACCCTGCTGACCCTCCTGGTGACCCCCTTGGTGACCTGGTGACCCCCCTGGTGCCCTGGTGACCCTCCTGGTGACCCCTCCAGGTGCCCCCACCTCGATCTTGTTGAGCAGGTCCTCTTAGCTGACGTCATCCCTGGGGACACCCCTGGGGACACTGATCCTGGTGACCCCCCTGGTGACCCCCCTGGTGACCTGGTGACCCCCTGGTGACCCCCCCAGGTGTCCCCAAAGTGTCCCCCCCTCGATCTTGTTGAGCAGGTCCTCGTAGCTGACGTCACCCCTGGGGACACCAACCCCAACACTGACCCTGCTGACCCTCCTGGTGACCTGATGACCCTCCTGGTGACCCCCCCAGGTGCCCCCACCTCGATCTTGTTGAGCAGGTCCTCGTAGCTGACGTCACCCCTGGGGACACCCCTGGGGACACTGACCCCAACACTGACCCCAACACTGACCCTGGTGACCTGGTGACCCTCCTGGTGACCTGGTGACCCCCCTGGTGACCCCCCTGATGACCCCCTGATGACCCCCCTGGTGACCTGGTGACCCTCCTGGTGACCCCCCCAGGTGTCCCCAAAGTGTCCCCCACCTCGATCTTGTTGAGCAGGTCCTCGTAGCTGACGTCACCCCTGGGGACATCCCTGGTGACCTGATGACCCTCCTGGTGACCTCCCTGTGACCTGGTGACCCTCCTGATGACCTGATGACCCCCCAGGTGACCCCCCAGGTGTCCCCCACCTCGATCTTGTTGAGCAGGTCCTCTTAGCTGACATCACCCCTGGGGACACTGACCCTGATGACCCTCCAGGTGACCTGATGACCCCCCTGATGACCTGATGACCCCCCAGGTGACCCCAAAGTGTCCCCCACCTCGATCTTGTTGAGCAGGTCCTCGTAGCTGACGTCAGGGTTGTTCTGCAGGAACTCCACCACGATCTTGCTCATGTAGATCTTCTCCTGCATGAGGGCGAAGGTGGGCGCGTACTCCTCGCTGGGCTCCATCAGGATGTAATCCGCGAACGCTGCGGCCCAAAAAAACACGGAATTCCGGCCCGGAAAACCGGGAATTCCGTTAAAAACCCATCGGGGAGGAGCTGCAGGTGGAGGTTGTGAGGGTGGAGAGCCCGACAGGGGGAGGGGGAGGGAAAAAGAGGGGGGAAAGGGGGAAAAAGGGGAGGAAAAAGGAGGGAAAGAGGGGAAAAAGGGGAGGAAAAAGGGAGGAGGAAGAGGGAAAAGGAGGAAGAAAAAAGGGGGAAAAGGGGAAAGAGGGGAGGAAAAAGGGGAAAGGATGGAAAAGGGGGAGGAAAAGGAGGGAAAAGGGAGGAAAGAGAGGGAAAGGGAGGAAAGGAGGAGGAAAAAGGGAGGAAAAGGAGGAAAAAGAGGGGAAAAGGAGGGAGGAAAGAGGAGGGAAAGGGGGAGGAAGAGGAGGAAAGGGAGGAGGAAAAGGGGGAAAGGGGGAGGGAAAGAGGAGAAAGAGGAGGAAAGAGGAGGAGGAAAAGAGGGAAAAGGGGGAGAAAGGAGGGAAAAGGAGGAAGAAAAGGGGAAAGGATGGAAAAGGAGAAGGAAAAGGAGGGAAAAGGGGGAAAAAGGAGGGGAAAGGAGGAGGAGGAAAAGGGGGAAAAAGGAAGGAAAAGGGGGGAAAAGAGGGGGAAAAGGGGGAAAAGGAGGGGAGGAGGAAAAGGAGGAGGAAAAGAGGGGAAAGGGGGAGGAAAAGAGGGAGAGGGGAGGAAAAAGGGGGAAAAAGGATGGAAAAGAGGGAGAAAAAAGGGGGGAAAATGGGAGAGGAGAAGGAAAGGGGGGAGGAAAGGGGGGAAAGGAGGAGGAAAGGGGGAAGGAGGAGGAAGAGGGGAGGAAAGGGGGGAAAAGGGGAGGGAAGAGGAGGGAAAAGGCAAAAAAAACACCTAAAAGGCCAGAAAATAGCCAATAAAGGTCAAAAATTAGGCCACGAAAGGCCAAAAAGTAGCCCAAGAAAGGCCAAAAAATAGCCAAAAAAAGACCAAAAAACACCCAAAATGGCCTAAAAACAGCCCCAAAAAAGGCCAGAAAACAGCCAAAAAAAAAGCCCAAAAAAAGCCCAAAAAAACAGCCCAAAAAGGCCAAAAAAAACCCCCCAAAAAATGATTAAGAACAGGCCCCACCTGTGCTGAAGCCGATCAGCGCCTTCTCCCCGCCGTCGAAGCCCGTGATCCACCAGGCGTTGATGGGCCCCAACTTCTTGGCCCTCACCCCTCCTGCAATCCAAAAAAATAAAACCCCACCCCAATCAATTCCACCTCCTGCCAGAACCCCCCCAAAAACACCCCAAAACCACCCCAAATTTCCCATTCCTCACCGTCCAGGCAGGGGTTGTCGTCGTAGATGGGTTTGACGGCGCCGCTGAAGAAGAGCTCGACGTTCCTCTCGATGAGCCCGGTGTCGAAGGGGCACAGGTGGCCCTTCCTGTCGTAGACACTGCCAGAAAAACACCCCAAAAAAGTGACATTCCCATCCCCAGGGATCCCTGTAGATGGTGGGGATTTTTTTATCCCCCTCTCTGGATTTTTTATCCCCCTCCCCCTCGATTTTTTATCCCCCTCCCTCTCGATTTTTTATCCCCTCCCTCTCGATTTTTATCCCCCTCCCCCTCGATTTTTATTCCCCCTCCCTCTCAATTTTTATCCCCTCCCCTCGATTTTTATCCCCTCCCTCTCCATTTTTTATCCCCTCCTCTTGATTTTTATCCCCTCGATTTTTTATCCCCCTCCCTCTCCCCGAGCCCGGTGTCGAAGGGGCACAGGTGGCCCTTCCTGTCGTAGACACTGCCAGAAAAACACCCCAAAAAAATTGACATCTCCATCCCCAGGGATCCCTGCAGATGGTAGGATTTTTTAATCCCCCCCCCTCTCCATTTTTTATCCCATTCCCTCTCGATTTTTTATCCCCCTCCCTCTCCATTTTTTATCCCCCTCCCTCTCAATTTTTTATCCCCCTCCCTCTCGATTTTTTATCCCACTCCCTCTCGATTTTTTATCCCCCTCCCTCTCAATTTTTTATCCCCCTCCCTCTCCATTTTTTATCCCCCTCCCTCTCCACGAGCCCGGTGTCGAAGGGGCACAGGTGGCCCTTCCTGTCGTAGACACTGCCAGAAAAACACCCCAAAAAGTGACATCTCCACCTCCAGAGATCCCTGCAGATGGTGGGGGTGGGTTTTTTATCCCCCCCTCCACCTCAGGGCTCACCTGAAGGAGGTGACTTTGTGCTGGGGGAGGTCCTCGTAGCTCTCGAAGCCGTCCTCGTTGGCGTCGAAGAGGGACAGGCGCTCGTCCGTCAGCATCTCCGGCTCCTCCAGCTGCCAGGGAAGGGGGGAAAAAACATGGATTCAGCTGCCAGAGGGGGGATTTGGGAATGGGGAGGTTTGGGGGGGTTGGGTTCACCAGGGGGCTTTTTTTTTGGTTACTCAGTGATAGCAAAGGTGCTTATATATGGAGAAATACGGTACATAATTGATATATTTTATAATTCTATTCTCTACTTAAATACAAGTAAAACCTTGGTATTATATACATAATTACACATCATTATCCATATTGTATACTTATATGAAGTATTACAAAATTATATTTATGATTTATATGATTTCTGGTTTTTTGGCTACTCAGTAATAGCAAAGGTGCTTATATATGGAGAAATACGGTACATAATTTTGATTATGATATATATCATAATATATATGATATATTATGATATATTTTATAATTCTATTCTATATTTAAACACAAATCAGACCTCGGTATTACATACATAATTACACATCATTATCCATATTGTATACTTATATGAAGTATTACAAAATTATATTTATGATTTATATGATTTCTGGTTTTTTGGTTGCTCAGTGGTGGCAAAGGTGCTTATATATGAAGAAATACGGTACATAATTGATATATTTTATAATTCTATTCTATACTTAAACACAAGTCAGACCTCGGTATTATATACATAATTATACATCATTATCCATGTTGTATACTTACATGAAGTATTCATGAAATTATATTTATGATTTATATGATTTCTGGTTTTTTGGTTGCTCAGTGGTGGCAAAGGTGCTTATATATGGAGAAATACGGTATAAATTAATATATAATTCTATTATATATTTAAATATAAAGCAAATCTCAACATCATATATGTAAACTATGCAGATATTGTATAACTATGAGTATTCATAAAATTATATTTATGATTTATATGATTTCTGGTTTTTTGGCTGCTCGGTGGTGGTGAAGGTGCTTATATATGGAGAAATACGGTATATAATTGAAATATAATTCTATTATATATTTAAATATAAAGCAAATCTCAACATCATACATGTAAACTATATAGACATTGTATATTTCTATGAAAGTTCATAAAATTATATTTATGATTTATATGATTTCTGGTTTTTTGGTTGCTCAGTGGTGGCAAAGGTGCTTATATATGAAGAAATACGGTACATAATTGATATATAATTCTATTATATATTTAAATATAAAGCAAATCTCAACATCATATATGTAAACTATGCAGATATTGTATAATTCTATGAGAATTCATAAAATTATATTTATGATTTATATGATTTCTGGTTTTTTGGCTGCTCGGTGGTGGTGAAGGTGCTTATATATGGAGAAATACGGTACATAATTGATATATAAATTCTATTATATATTTAAATATAAGTAAATTTCAACATTGTATATGTAAACTATTTATAGAAAACTATATAACGATATTAAATGGTGCTTATATGAAATTATATATTGACATTAAATGTTTATATGTAATTATATAGTGATATTAAATATTATATGAAATTATCTCTTGATATTAAATGATAAATTAAATTATATATTGACATTAAATGTTTATATGTAATTATATAGTGACATTAAATGTTTATATGAAATTATCTCTTGATATTAAATGACAAATGCAATTATATATTGACATTACATGTTTATATGTAATTATATAGTAATATCGAATATTTCTATATTAAATTTATATAAAAAATTATATGGTGATACTATATTATACACAAAATTATAGTGACATTAAATTATGTTTTATGAAATTATGTCTGTTGATATTAAAGGATAAATGAAATTATATATTGACATCAAGTGTTTATATGAAATTCTATAGTGACATTAAATGGTGATTTATGAAATTATCTCTTGATACTAAATAGTAGATCAAATTATATATTGACATTAAATGTCTACATATAATTATATAGTGATATTAAATACTTATATGAAATTATCTGTTGATATTAAAGGATAAATGAAATTATATATTGACATCAAGTGTCTATATAAAATTATATAGTGGTATTAAATGATGTTATATGAAATTATGTGTTGATATTAAAGGATAAATGAAATTATATATTGACATTAAATGTTTATATGAAATTATACAGTGATATTACATGATATTTATATGAAATTATCTGTTGATATTAAATGATAAATGAAATTAAAATGAAATTATTCCCCTTACGGCGTCGTCGGGATCCCCTTGGAAGAACTTGAGGTCGGGGTCGTCCAGGTACTGCCGGCACTCCACGCACTTGGGAGGGGTGGTCTGAGGGAAAGGGGACAATTCCAGGGATTATCCCGCCCTTCCACCACAAAAATCCCGGATTTTTCCATCGGGAACGGCCCCGGATGCTCCAAATTCCAACCCCCCTACCCCAAAAAAATCAAAAAAATTCCATTCTGGGATGAGCTGGGAAGGGTTTGGATTGACCCCCACCCTGGGGGAGCTCATCCCAAAAAATTTGGGATGAAATAATAAGGGATGAGATGGAAAAATAAGGGATGGAATGAAATAATAAGGGATGAAATGAAATAATAAGGGATGAGATGGAAAAATAAGGGATGAGATGAAAAAATAAGGGATGAGATGAAAAAATAAGGGATGAAATGAAAAAATAAGGGATGGAATGAAAAAATAAGGGATGAAATAAAAAAATAAGGGATGAAATGAAATAATAAGGGATGAGATGAAAAAATAAGGGATGAGATGAAATAATAAGGGATGAGATGAAAAAATAAGGGATGAAATAACCCCAAAAATGGTTGGAAAAGGGGGAAAAAGGGACCAGGATAATCCACCCACCCTGGGGAGCTCATCCCAAAAATCTGGGGGGTTTTAAGGGATGAAAATAAACCCAAAAATGGTTGAAAAGGAGGGGAAAAAGGGAACAGGATAATCCATCCACCCTGGGGAGCTCATCCCAAAAAATTTGGGATGAAATAATAAGGGATGAGATGGAAAAATAAGGGATGAGATGGAAAAATAAGAGATGGAATGAAAAAATAAGGGATGAAATGAAAAAATAAGGGATGAGATGGAAAAATAAGGGATGAGATGAAAAAATAGGGGATGAAATGACCCCAAAAATGGTTGGAATGGGGGGAAAAAGGGAACAGGATGATCCACCCACCCTGGGGGAGCTCATCCCAAAAAATTTGGGATGAAATAATAAGGGATGAGATGAAAAAATAAGGGATGAAATGAAAAAATAAGGGATGAGATGGAATAATAAAGGATGAAATGAAATAATAAGGGATGAGATAAAAAATAAGGGATGAAATTAAAAAATAAGGGATGGAATGAAAAAATAAGGGATGAAATCAAATAATAAAGGATGAAATAACCCCAAAAAAAAGGTTGGAAAGGGGGAAAAAGGGAACAAGATGATCCACCCACCCTGGGGGAGCTCATCCCAAAAAATATGGGATGAAATAATAAGGGATGAGATGAAAAATAAGGGATGAGATGGAAAAATAGGCGATGAGATGAAATAATAAGGGATGATACGAAATAATAAGGGATGAGATGGAATAATAAGGGATGAAATGAAAAAATAAGGGATGGGATGAAAAAATAAGGGATGAGATGAAAAAATAAGGGATGAAATAACCCCAAAAATGGTTGGAAAGAGGGTAAAAAGGGAACAGGATGATCCAACCACCCTGGAGAGCTCATCCCAAAAAATGTGGGATGAAACAATAAGGGATGAGATGGAAAAATAAGGGATGAGATGAAAAAATAAGGGATGAAATGACCCCCAAAAATGGTTGGAATGGGGGAAAAAGGGAACAGGATGATCCACCCACCCTGGGGAGCTCATCCCAAAAATCTGGGGGGTTTAAGGGATGAAAATAACCCCAAAAATGGTTGAAAAAGGAGGGAAAAAGGGACTTACTTTGGCAGGGGTCGTGATTTTAACCTGAGGGATTTCGTCCCTGGGCTCCGACCTGGGAATGGGATAAAAATGGGATGAAGGGGTGGGAAAAGCCTGGGGGATGTTCCCCCCCCTTTCATCTCCCCTTACCCATCTTTGGCTTCCACTTTAATCCTTTTCTCGTCTTGTTCCTTGAAGAAAAAGCAGGGAAAATAAAAATAAACCCAGTGGGGAGAAAAAAAAAGTGGGGAGAGGATGAAAAGCAGAGAGGAAAAGGGGGAAAAAAAAAAACCTCCTGGATCCCAAAAAGTGGGGAGGGGGGGGAAAAAAAATCACCCCAAAACCAAAAAAAATCATCCCCAAAAAGTGGATTTTGGGGGCAAAAAGTGGATTTTTGGGGGACCCACCTTGTCCTCGGGCTCCTCTTCCTCCTCCTCCTCCTCCTTCTCCCGCTCGGCCTCCCCGTTGGCCTCCCCCGATTTCCTCTTGTGGGACCTGCTGGGATCGGGATTTTTGGAATTGGGGAGGGGGGGAATTCTGAGGTTTTTAGGGAAGGAAAGGGGAGCCCCTTCCCCCAAAAAAAGCCCCCTCTCCCCCTCCAAACTGACCCTTTGGAGAAGAGGCTGAGCAGGGTGGGCTGGCGGCCGGAGCTCCGCGTCACCCGGGAGCTGGAGGGAGACTCTGCCGGGGGAAAACGGGGGGAGAGAGGATGGAAAAGGGGACAGGGCGGGAAAAGGGAGGACCTTCACAGTCCCCCAGACCCCAAAAATGTTCTCCAGGGGATCCCTGATCTTCCATCCTGACAGGGGATCCCAAAACCCTTCCCCAGGGGATCCCTGATCTCCCATCCCAACAGGAGACCCCAAAACCCTTCCCCAGGGGATCCCCCATTCCACACCTCACCAGGAGAGCCAGGAGATCCCAAAACCCTTCCTGAGGGGATCCCTGCTCTCCATCCCAACAGGAGACCCCAAAACCCTTCCTGAGGGGATCCCTGATCTCCATCCCATCAGGAGATCCCAAAACCCTTCCTGAGGGGATCCCCACTCCCCATCCCACCAGCAGACCCCAAAACCCTTCCCGAGGGGATCCCCACTCCCCATCCCACCAGCAGACCCCAAAACCCTTCCCGAGGGGATCCCCACTCCCCATCCCACCAGCAGACCCCAAAACCCTTCCCGAGGGGATCCCACTCCCCATCCCACCAGGAAACCCCAAAACCCTTCCCGAGGGGATCCCCACTCCCAATCCCACCAGCAGACCCCAAAACCCTTCCTGAGGGGATCCCTGATCTCCATCCCATCAGGAGATCCCAAAACCCTTCCTGAGGGGATTTCCATTCCCAATCCCACCAGCAGACCCCAAAACCCTTCCTGAGGGGATTTCCACTCCCCATCCCACCAGCAGACCCCAAAACCCTTCCTGATGGGATCCCCACTCCCCATCCCACCAGCAGACCCCAAAACCCTTCCTGAGGGGATTTCCACTCCCAATCCCACCAGCAGACCCCAAAACCCTTCCCGAGGGGATCCCCACTCCCCATCCCACCAGCAGACCCCAAAACCCTTCCTGAGGGGATCCCTGCTCTCCATCCCACCAGCAGACCCCAAAACATTTACCAAGGGGATTTCCACTCCCCATCCCACCAGCAGACCCCAAAACCCCTCCTGAGGGGATCCCCGATCTCCATCCCAATAGGAGATCCCAAAACCCTGCTCTCCATCCCAATAGGAGAACCCAAAACCCTTCCCCAGGGGATCCCTGATCTCCCATCCCAACAGGAGAGCCAGGAGACCCCAAAACCCTTCCTGAGGGGATCCCCGATCTCCATCCCAATAGGAGATCCCAAAACCCTGCTCTCCATCCCAACAGGAGACCCCAAAACCTTTCCTGAGGGGATCCCCAATCTCCCATCCCGACAGGAGATCCCAAAACCCTGCTCTCCATCCCAATAGCAGATCCTAAAACCCTTCCTGAGGGGATCCCCACTCCCCATCCCACCAGCAGACCCCAAAACCCTTCCTGAGGGGATCCCCACTCCCCATCCCACCAGCAGACCCCAAAACCCTTCCCGAGGGGATCCCCGATCTCCACCCCATCAGCAGACCCCAAAACCCTCCCCAAAGGGACCCCCTTTTTTTACTTCTGCCCTCGCCGTTCTTGGACCGGCTCCGGCTCCTCCGGGAGCCCCTCCTGGCCCTCGGGGCGGGGCCCAGCAGGGACTGCGGGTGGGGGGACGAGGAGGAGGATGAGATGATGATGAAGATGAAGATGAGGATGATGAGGATGAGGCCACCCCTTCCTCCATGTCCTCATCGTTGTCGCTGCCGTAGCCGTTGGTGGCGGCCCCGGTGGCCACCGAGAGCTCCCAGTGCAGCAGGGCCTTCACCTGGGCCAGGTAACGCTCCTGGAGGGGATGGGGGTGGGAAAAATTGGGATAAACAGCCCCAAAAACTGGGATAAACAGCCCCAAAAATGGGATAAACCCCCCTGGATCAATGGGGGGGACAGGGGGGTGCAGGGATGGAAGGGACTGAGGAGAGCTCCCGGTGCAGCAGGGCCTTCACCTGGGCCAGGTAACGCTCCTGGAGGGGATGGGGGTGGGAAAAATTGGGATAAACAGCCCCAAAAACTGGGATAAACACCCCTAAAACTGGGATAAACACCCCCCAAACCAAGATAACCCCCCCAAAAATGGGACTGGGGGGACAGGGGGGTGCAGGGAAGGAGGGGACTGAGGGGAGCTCCCGGTGCCTTCACCTGGGCCAGGTAACGCTCCTGGAGGGGATGGGGGTGGGAAAAATTGGGATAAACACCCCCTAAAATTGGGATAAACACACCCAAAACCGGGATAAACCCCCCCTGGATCAATGGGGGGGGTCCAGGGAAGGAGGGGACTGATGGGAGCTCCCAGTGCAGCAGGGCCTTCACCTGGGCCAGGTAACGCTCCTGGAGGGGATGGGGGGGGGGGAAAAATTGGGATAAACAGCCCCAAAAACCGGGATAAACACCCCCAAAACTGGGATAAACACCCCAAAAACTGGGATAAACCCCCCCTGGATCAATGGGGGGGACAGGGGGGTGCAGGGATGGAAGGGACTGATGAGAGCTCCCAGTGCAGCAGGGCCTTCACCTGGGCCAGGTAACGCTCCTGGAGGGGATAGGGGTGGGGAAAACTGGGATAAACACCCCCAAAAACTGGGATAAACACCCCCAAAATCAGAATAAACCCCCCCTGGATCAATGGGGGGGATCCAGGGAAGGAGGGGACTGAGGGGAGCTCCCAGCACCTTCACCTGGGCCAGGTAACGCTCCTGGAGGGGATGGGGGTGGGAAAAATTGGGATAAACACCCCCAAAAACTGGGATAAACACCCCCAAAACTGGGATAAACACCCCCAAAACTGGGATAAACACCCCCAAAACTGGGATAAACACCCCCAAAACCAAGATAACCCCAAAAATAGGACTGGGGGGACAGGGGGGTCCAGGGAAGGAGGGGACTGAGGGGAGCTCCCGGCGCCTTCACCTGGGCCAGGTAACACTCCTGGAGGGGGTGGGGGTGGGAAAAATTGGGATAAACCCCCCCAAAACTGGGATAAACCCCCCCAAAACTGGGATAAACACAGGGGGGGACAGGGAAGGGGGGCACTGACCTCGGAGAGCTCGCGGCGACTCAGTTTGGCCTCCAGTTCCGCCAGCTGCCGAAGAGCCTCGGCCTGAGGGGAAACAAAACCCCCTCAGTCCCCATGGGGGGACACCCAGGGGACACTGGGGACACTGGGGACACTGGGGGGACACAGGGGGACACAGGGGGACACAGAGGGGACACTGGGGACACTGGGGGACACAGGGGATAGAGGGGACACAGGGGACACTGGGGACACTGGGGACACTGGGGACACTGGGGGACAGAGGGGACACAGGGGGGACACTGGGGGACAGAGGGGGACACAGGGGACACAGGGGACACAGGGGACACAGGGGGACACTGGGGGGACACTGGGGGACATTGGGGGACACTGGGGACACAGAGGGACACTGGGGACAAAGGGGGACAGAGGGGGACAGAGGGGACACAGGGGACACTGGGGGGACACAGGGGACTGAGGGGACAGAGGGGACACAGGGGGACACAGGGGGACAGAGGGGGACATGGGGGACACAGGGGACACAGAGGGACACAGGGGACACTGGGGGACAGAGGAGGACACAGAGGGGACACAGGGGGACAGAGGGGGACACTGGGGACACTGGGGGGACACGGGGGATGCTGTGGGACATGGGGACAACTCACATGGGGAGGGAGGGAATGGTGGGGACAGGGACACCAGAGGGACAGAGGGACACAGGGGACACTGTGGGACACACAGGGACATAGAGGACACTTTGGGGACACTGGGGGGACACAGGGGGACACAGGGGGACACAGGGGACAGAGGGGACACTGGGGACAGAGGGGGACACTGGGGGACACAGGGGGACACAGGGGACACGAGGGGACACTGGGGACACAGGGGACACAGAGGGGACACTGGGGGACACGGACATTGGGGACACAGGGGACAGAGGGGACACAGGGGGACAGAGGGGGACACAGGGGACACAGGGGACACAGGGGACAGAGGGGGACACAGGGGGACACAGGGGACACAGGGGGACATGGGGGACACAGGGGACACAGAGGGACACAGGGGACACTCTGGGGACACTCTGGGGACACTGTGGGGCATGGAGGGGACAGAGGGGACACTGTGGGACACAGAGGGACACAGGGGACAAAGGGGACACTGGGGACACTCTGGGGACACTGTGGGGCACAGAGGGGACAGAGGGGACACTGTGGGGGCACCCACACCCCCCTACACCCCCCCCAAAATTTGGGGAGGGGGGCTCACCTTCTCACTCAGGGTCTCCTCATCCCTCTCCAGGTCCTGCAGCCTGTGGGGACACCGGGGGGGTCACCACGAGGGGTTTTGGGGTCACCACACGAAGGGACACCCCAAAACTCCAGGAGGGGTCTGTCCCGTTCCCAACCCCATCCCAGCTCCAGGGAATCCCATCCCAACTCCAGGGATTCCATCCCTGACCCCATCCTAGCTCCAGGGACCCCATCCCTGACCCCATCCCAGCTCCAGGGGGTCTGTCCCGTTCCCAACCCCATCCCAGCTCCAGGGGTCCCATCCCTGATCCCATCCCTGACCCCATCCCAGCTCCAGGGATCCCATCCCTGACCCCATCCCTGACCCCATCCCAGCTCCAGGGGGGTCTGTCCCGTTCCCAACCCCATCCTAGCTCCAGGGACCCCATCCCTGACCCCATCCCAGCTCCAGGGATCCCATCCCTGACCCCATCCCGGCTCCAGGGATCCCATCCCTGACCCCATCCCGGCTCCAGGGGGGTCTGTCCCATTCCCAATCCCATCCCAGCTCCAGGGATCCCATCCCTGACCCCATCCCTGACCCCATCCCTGACCCCATCCCAGCTCCAGGGATCCCATCCCTGATCCCATCTCTGACCCCATCCCAGCTCCAGGGGGGTCTGTCCCATTCCCAACCCCATCCCAGCTCCAGGGGTCCCATCCCTGACCCCATCCCAGCTCCAGGGGGGTCAGGGTAGGGTTAGGGGGGTCAGGGCAGGTTGGGGGGCCAGGGCAGGGCTGGGGGTCAGGGTAGTGTTGGGGGTCAGGGCAGGGTTGGGGGGTCAGGGCAGGGTTGGGGGAGGTCAGGAGCAGGTTTGGGGAAGTCAGGGGGCAGTGTTGGGGGGGTCAGGGGCAATGTTGGGGGGTCAGGGTAGTGTTGGGGGTCAGGGCAGGGTTGGGGGGTCAGGGCAGGGCTGGGAGGTCAGGGCAGGGGTTGGAGGTCAGGGCAGTGAGGGGTCAGGGCAATGTTGGGAGGTCAGGGCAGTGTTGGGGGTCAGGTCAGGGTTGGGGTCAGGGCAGTGTTGGGGGTCAGGGCAGGGTTAGGGGGTCAGGGCAGTGTTGGAGGTCAAGATAGGGTTAGGGGTCAGGGCAATTTTGGGGAGTCAGGGCAATGTTGAGGGGTCAGGGCAGTGTTGGGGGTCAGGGCAGGGTTAGGGGGTCATTGCCAGGGCTGGGGTGTCGGTGTCGTTGGGGGGTTGTCACTGATATTTGGGGTGAGGTCACTGATATTTGGGGGGGGCCAGGGCTATGAGGGCTGTCATTGATATTTGGGGGGGCTGCCACTGATATTAGGGTGGGGTCACTGATACTTGGGGGGGTTGTCACTGATATTGATGTGAGGTCACTGATATTTAGAGGGGCTGTCACTGATATTGGGGGGTTGTCATTGATATTGGGGGGACTCAAGGCTATGGGGGTTGTCACTGATATTGGGGGGGATCAGGGTTTGGGGCTGTCACTGATTTTGGGGGCTGTCACTGATTTTGGGGGCTGTCACTGACATTTGGGGGAGTCAGGGCTATGGGGGCTGTCACTGATATTTGGGGGGGCTGTCACCAGTATTTGGGGGGGTCGGTACTATGGGGCTGTCACTGATATTGGGGGTGTCACTGGTATTTGGGGGTCAGGGCTATGGGGGCTGTCACTGGTATTTGGGGGTAAGGGCTTTGGGGTTGTCACTGATTTTGGGGGCTGTCACCACAGTATTTGGGGGGGGTCAGGGCTATGGGGGCTGTCACCGGTATTTAGGGAGGTTGTCACTGCTCTGGGGGCTGTCACTGATATTGGGGTGAGGTCACTGATATTTGGGGGCTGTCACCTGTATTTGGGGAGCTGTCACCGATATTTGGGGGGGCTGTCACCGGTATTTGGGGGGGCTGTCACCGATATTTGGGGGTTGTCACTGATATTTGGGGGGGCTGTCACCGGTATTTGAGGGTTGTCACTGCTATGAGGGCTGTCACTGGTATTTGGGGGGGCTGTCACTGATATTTGGGGGGGGTCAGGGCTTTTGGGGTTGTCACTGATATTTGGAGGGGCTGTCACTGCCATTGGGGGCTGTCACTGATATTTGGGGGTGAGGTCACTGATATTGGAGGCTGTCACCGGTATTTGTGGGGGTCAGGGCTATGGGGGCTGTCACTGATATTTGGGGTGAGGTCACTGATATTGGGGTGAGGTCACTGATATTTGGGGGCCTGTCACCGGTATTTGGGGGGGAGGTCAGGGCTATGGGGGCTGTCACTGATATTTGGGGGGCTGTCACTGCCACTGGGGGCTGTCACTGATATTGGGGTGAGGTCACTGATGTTTGGGGGGCTGTCACTGACATTTGGGGGGTTAGGGCTATGAGGGCTGTCACTGATATTGGGGTGAGGTCACTGGTATTTGGGGGGTCAGGGCTATGAGGGCTGTCACTGATATTTGGGGGGCTGTCACTGATTTTGGGGGGTTGTCACTGCCATTGGAGGGGTTGGGGCTATGGGAGGTGTCACTGATATTGGGGGAGTCAGGGCTATGGGGGCTGTCACCGATATTGGGGTGAGGTCACTGATATTGGGGGCTGTCACCGATATTTGGGGGCTGTCACTGATATTTGGGGGCTGTCAACGGTATTTAGGGGTTGTCACCGGTATTTGGGGGCTGTCACCGTTATTTGGGGGTCAGGGCTATGGGGGCTGTCACTGATATTTGGGGGCTGTCACTGCCACTGGGGCTGTCACTGATATTGGGGTGAGGTCACCGATATTTGGGGGCTGTCACCGGTATTTGGGAGGTCAGGGCTATGGGGGCTGTCACTGATATTGGGGTGAGGTCACTGACAATGGGGTGAGGTCACTGATATTTGGGGGCTGTCACTGATATTGGGGTGAGGTCACTGATATTTGGGGGCTGTCACTGATATTGGGGGGCTGTCACCGGTATTTGAGGGGTCAGGACTATAGGGGGCTATCTCTGATATTTGGGGGGGCTGTCACCGGTATTTGGGGGGGGGGTGTCACCGCTAGGGGGGCTGTCACTGGTATTTGGGGGGGTTTATCACTGCTCTGGGGGCAGTTCTGGACTCACCGTCGGCGCAGCTCGGCGGGCAGCGGGGCCGGGGGCAGCGGAGCGGCCCGGGCCGGCATCGGGGCGGTGGTACCGGGAACGGGAACGGGAACGGCACCGGGAACGGGAACGGGGAACGGCACCGGGAACGGGGCCGGGTTTAGGAGCGGGAACGGCACCGAGGGAGGGAGCGGAGCCGGGAGCGGGAACAGGAACGGCACCGGGAGCACCGGGAGCACCGGGAGCACCGGGAGAGGGATTTGGGATCGCGATTGGGGCCGGGTTTGGGATAGGGATTGGGATCGGGGCTGGGATCGGGATCGGGTTTAGGAGCGGGAGCGGGTTTGGGATAGGGATCGGGATCGGGGCCGGGTTTAGGAGCGGGAGCGGGTTTGGGATAGGGATTGGGATCGGGGCCGGGTTTGGGAGCGGGATTTGGGATAGGGATCGGGGCCGGGTTTGGGATCGGGATTGGGATCGGGGTTGGGATCGGGGCCGGGGCTGGGATCGAGGGCCAGGTTTAGGACCAGGGAGCAGGTTTGGGATGAGGATCAGGGCCGGGATAGGGATCGGGATAGGAGATCCAGAGCGGGTTTGGGATCGGGATCGGGGCCGGGGCCGGCACCGGGAGCGGGTTTGGGATCAGGAGCGGGTTTGGGATGAGGAGCGGGTTTGGGATCGGGATCGGGGCCGGGATAGGGATCGGGATAGGGATCAGGAGCGGGATCGGGACCGGGATAGGGATCGGGATAGGGATCAGGATCGGGATCGGGATCAGGACCAGGATCAGGGCCAGGGCCGGCACCAGGGAGCAGGTTTAGGATGAGGATCAGGGGCCGGGATAGGGATCAGGATAGGGATCAGGAGCAGGTTTGGGATCAGGATCAGGGCCGGGGCCGGCACCGGGAGCGGGTTTGGGATCAGGAGCGGGTTTGGGATGAGGATTGGGGCCGGGATAGGGATCGGGATAGGGATCAGGAGCGGGTTTGGGATCGGGATCGGGACCGGGATCGGGGCCGGGGCCGGCACCGGGAGCGGGTTTGGGATGAGGAGCGGGTTTGGGATGAGGAGTGGGGCCGGCACCGGGAGCGGGTTTGGGATGAGGAGCGGGTTTGGGATGAGGAGCGGGGCCGGGGCTGGGATCGGGATAGGGATCAGGAGCGGGTTTGGGATCGGGATCGGGACCGGGATCGGGGCCGGGGCCGGCACCGGGAGCGGCGGCTTCGCGCGGAAACGGGCGGCGGGGGCGGGGCGGCGCCGGGCCGGACCATCGCGCGGGGCGCGCGGGGGGAGCCGGGCCCCACCATCCCGGGGGGACGGGGGAAAAAAGCGACGCAGAGAGCTCCCCCCCCCGCACCGAGAGGGAACCCGAGAAGGGGTCGGGAGCACCGGGGGGATGTCCCGGGAGCACCGGGGAGGTCCTGAGGGACGATTCGGGCCGGCCCCGGTGGGGCTGAGGGGGGGTCGGGGAACGAACCACTGTGAGGGAACCTGAGAGGGGTGGGAAAGGGCGGGAAGTTCCACTGAGGGACGGTTGGAAAGTACCACTGAGGGGAAATGGGGGGGGGAACAGGCCCTGTCATGGGGTTGTACCACTGTGGGGAGGGGGGGAGTAGGGCTGTACCACTGTGGGAGGGTGGGGGGAGTAGGGCTGTACCACTGTGGGATTTTCCTGGTTCAGGGGGGATTCCCTGGACCCCAAAATCCACGAGGGGTGGGGGGGTCCCCGTGACAATGGGGGGGGTCCCTGTGCCCATTAAGGGGGTCCCTGTGCCCACTTTAGGGGTCCCTGTACCCATTTTGGGGGTCCCTGTGCCCATTGTGGGGGTCCCTGTACCCATTTTGGGGGTCCCTGTACCCATTTTGGGGGTCCCTGTACCCACTGTGGGGGTCCCTGTACCCACTGTGGGGGTCCCTGTACCCATTCTGGGGTCCCTGTGCCCATTGTGGGGGTCCCTGTACCCATTTTGGGGGTCCCTGTACCCATTTTGGGGGTCCCTGTGCCCATCGTGGGGGTCCCTGTGCCCACTGTGGGGGTCCCTGTGCCCACTGTGGGGGTCCCTGTGCCCATTTTGGGGGTCTTTTCACCCCAAACCCCCCCCCCATTTCCTCTGCACCCCCCGCGGGAGGAAACGCGGCCGATTTTGGGGGTTTTTTGGGGGGTTCGAACCAGGGGGTTTTTTGGGGGGAGGGGCACAAAACCAGGTTGGGGTTGTGGGGAGGGGTTTAAGAAGCAAGGGGGTCTGGGGGCCCCCAAAGGCAGGGTCGGGGATGCTCAGCCCGAAATTTTGGGGTTCCCCCACCCTCCCTAAAAAAACCTCAACCCCTCCCACCCCCAAATTCCCGGGAGTTTTTTATTTTGGGGGGCTTTGATCCATCCCAGCCCAGGAAAGAGCTGGAAAAAAGTGGGGAAAAACCCACAAAAAACAAACCAAAACACTGATTTAATATAAAAAAAAGAGGGGGTCCAGGAAGAAAGGGAGGAGGGGGAGGGATTTTCTTTGGGGGTGGAGGGGCGATCCCAAGGATTTAGGGGGTTTTTGGAGGGGAGGGGAGAGGAAATCCCAGCAGGACCAGCCTTGCTGGAGGGGGGTGACGCCCCCACCCACCCACGACCACCCCCCACCCACTCCACGCGCCAGCGCGCGCGGGACCGTGGGGTGGGGGCTTGGGGTCCTTAAATGTGCCCCCCTCACCCCGTTTAATCCCGGGAAAAACCTCCTGGCAATTCATTCCCGGTGGGAACGCCCACGGGGGAGGAGGAAAGGGGAAGGAGGGGTCACCCACCCTCCCCCACCTTCCCACGCGAGAGACCCGTCCGACAGGTCCCGTGGGGCCCTGGGGCGGGGAGGGCGTGGGAAGGGTCCCCCCCCCTTCCCCGGGAACCGGGAATGGCACCGGGAACCGGGAATGGCACCGGAATGGCACCGGGAATGGCACCGGGAATGGCACCGGGAATGCCGCGGGTGGGGAGGGGGAGAGGGAGGGAAAGGGGAGGAAATGGGAGGGAGGGAGGGATGGGATGGGATGGTCTCCCCACCCCTCCCCACCCGCGGGTGGGATCAAGGTGCAGGTGTCTGTCCTGTCTGTCCTGTCCTGTCCGTACCTGGAAAAAAGCGGGAATTTCTCGTACCGTGGGGACACCCCCGGGGTGGATTTGGGGCCATGGGGACACCGTGGGGACACTGTGGGGTGGATTTGGGGCCATGGAGTGACCGTGGGGTCACTGTGGGGTGGATTTGGGGCCAGGGGGTGTCCATGGGGCACCCACGGGGTCAGGGGGTGACTTTGGAGCATCCACAGGGCCATGGGATGTCCATGGGGTGTCCTTGGGGTGTCCATGGGGTGTCCACAGGACATCCATGGGGTGACCCTGAACCATCCACAGGGCCATGGGGTGTCCATGGGGCATCCATAGGGTGACCTTGGAGCATCCACAGGGCCATGGGGTGTCCTTGGGGTGTCCATGGGGCTTCCACAGGGAGTCCATGGGGTGACCTTGGAGCATCCACAGGGTGACCTTGAACCATCCGTAGGGCCATGGGGTATCCATGGGGTGACCTTGGAGCATCCACAGGGCCATGGGGTGTCCACAGGACATCCATGGGGTGGCCTTGGAGTATCCACAGGGCCATGGGGTGTCCATGGGGTATCCATGGGGTGACCTTGGAGTATCCACAGGGCCATGGGGTGGCCATGGGGTGACCTTGGAGTATCCACAGGGCCATGGGGTGTCCATGGGGTATCCATGGGGTGACCTTGGAGTATCCACAGGGCCATGGGGCATCCATAGGGTGACCTTGGAGCATCCACGGGGTGGCCTTGAAGCATCCACAGGGCAATGGGGTGTCCATGGGATGTCCATGGGGCATCCATAGGGTGACCTTGGAGCATCCATAGGGTCATAGGGTGTCCAAGGGGTGACCATGGGGTGGCCTTGGAGTATCCACAGGGCCATGGGGCATCCATAGGGTGACTTTGGAGCATCCATGGGGTGACCTTGGACCATCCACAGGACCATGGGGTATCCATGGGGTGTCCATGGGGTGACCTTGGAGCATCCACAGGGCCATGGGGTGGCCATGGGGTGACCTTGGAGTATCCACAGGGCCATGGGGTATCCATGGGGTGGCCATGGGGTGACCCTGAACCATCCACAGGGCCATGGGGTATCCATGGGGTGACCTTGAAGCATCCATAGGAACCACGGGGCATCCACAGGGAGTCCATGGGGTGACCTTGAACCATCCATAGGGCCATGGGGTGTCCATGGGGTATCCATGGGGTGTCCATGGGGTGACCTTGAACCATCCATAGGGCCATGGGGTGTCCATGGGGTGACCTTGAAGCATCCACAGGGCCATGGGGTGTCCATGGGGTATCCATGGGGTGTCCATGGGGTTTCCACAGGGAGTCCATGGGGTGACCTTGAACCACCCACAGAGCCATGGGGTATCCACAGGGCATCCACGAGGTGACCCCAAACCCCCAAACCCCCCTAAACCCCCTCCTCACACCGACGTGGTGCACTCGCGGGTGAGGGGCGAGGTGGGCGTCTCCCCAAATTTGTCACCTGTGGGGTTCAGGTGACCCCAAATTTGTCACCTGTGGGCTCAGGTGAGCTCGGGTGGCCCCAAATTTGGGGTGACCTTGGAGTATCCACAGGGCCATGGGGTGTCCATGGGGTGACCTTGGAACATCCATAGGGCCCATGAGGTTTCCATGGGGTGTCCATGGGGTATCCATGGGGTGTCCATGGGGTATCCATGGGGTGACCTTGAACCACCCACAGGGCCATGGGGTGTCCATGGGGTGTCCATGGGGTGTCCATGGGGTGACCTTGGAGCATTCACAGATCCACAGGGTGTCCATGGGGTGACCTTGAAGCATCCACAGGGCCATGGGGTATCCACGGGGCATCCATGGGGTGACCTCAAACCACCCACAGGAACCACGTGGCATCCACGAGGTGACCCCAAACCCCCCCTAACCCCCTAAACCCCCAACCCCCTCACACCGACGTGGTGCACTCGCGGCTGAGGGGCGAGGTGGGCGTCTCCCTCCCTCCCCCGCGCCAACAACGACGGCTGAAGCCCCCTCCTCCCCTCACCCCCACCCACCCCCCCCACCCCCACCACCCCATCCACCGAGCCCGACGAGCGCAGCGGGGCCGCCCCGGTTCCCCCCCGGCCGGGGGGCTGCGGCCACCGGCGAGCTTGGCGATCCCTCCCCGCCCCACGACGGCAGCGACGCCGTCGGCCGCAGCAGAGCAGGCGCAGCAGCTCGGCCCTCATGTCCTTGCTGCGCAGCGTGTAGATGACGGGGTTGGCGGCCGAGTTGAGCGTGGCGAAGGCGAAGAAGTAGTTGGCCTTGTAGAGCACGCGGCAGGCGCGCACGGGGCACGAGGCGTCCATGAGCAGCACGACGAAGGCGGGCAGCCAGCACACCACGAAGGCGCCCAGCACGATGGTGACCGTCTTGAGCAGCGCCAGCGTCTGCGCCGAGGCGATCTCGGCGTGGCTCGAGCGCACCACGCAGTAGATGCGCGTGTAGAGCCCCACGATGGCCAGCAGGATGAGGGTGAAGATGGTGGTGACGAAGAGCACGTAGCGCTTGGAGTAGAGCGGCAGGACGGTGGAGCAGTCGCGCAGGTCGCTGATGCAGTTCCAGCCCATGATGGGCAGGCTGCCCACGGCGGCCGCCACGGCCCAGCAGGCGCCGATGAGCAGCACCATGCGGCAGCCGCTGTCGCCGCCGTACACCTTGACCCGCGTGATGGCCACGTGGCGCTCGATGGCGATGGCCAGCAGGCTGAACACCGAGGCGGCCAGCGTGGCGAAGGCCGTGCCCTCGCGCACGAACCACTGCACGGGCGTCAGGTCGAAGGTGGTGGCCCCCGACAGCAGCGTGTTGGCCATGAAGGCCAGCCCGGCCAGCAGGTCGGAGAAGGCCAGGTTGCCCACGAAGACGTACATGGCGAGGTGCAGGCGCTTGTTGCGGCAGATGGAGACGAGCACCAGCAGGTTCTCCAGCACGATGAAGCAGCACAGGGCCACGGTGAGCGCCGAGAGCGCCCGGCGCGACGGGGCCGCCGGCGCCGCCGCCGCCTCCTCCTTGGTGTAGTTGTAGTGCTCCCAGATCTTGTGGCGGTTGAAGTACTCCTTGTAGATGCTCCCCATGGCGGGAGGGCGAGGAGGGAGAGGAGGGGTCCCCCCTGTGTGTCCTCCCCCACCTCCACCCCCCCACCGTGGGGGGCTCAGAGGGACATGGAGGCGGCGGGGCCGGAGACCTGCGGGGAGAGGGGGGAGAGGGAGGGGATGGAGGGGATTGGGGGAAAATGGGGGGAAAATGGGGGAAGATGGGGGAAATGGGGGAAGATGGGGGAAATAGGGATGGGAAAATGGGGAAATGGGGGAAATGGGGAAATAGGGGGAAATGGGGGACATGGGGGGAAGATGGGGGAAATAGGAGGGGAAAATGGGGGAAATAGGGGACATGGGGAAAATGGGGAAGATGTTGGAGAAATGGGGGAAATGGGATGGGAAAATGTGGGGAAGGTGGGGGAAATAGGAGGGGAAAATGGGGGAATGAGGGGAAATGGGGATGGGAAAATGGGGGAAGATGGGGAAATGGGAGTGGAAATGGGGGAAATGGTGGGGAAGATGGGAGGGAAGATGGGAGGGAAGGGGGAGTATGGGGAAAATGGAGGGGGAAAATGGGGGAAAATGGGGAAATGGGGACATGGGGAAAATGTGGGGCAATGGGGATGGAAATGGGGGAAGATGGGGAAAATGGGGGAAAAGGAAGATGGGGAAGGGGGAAGATGGGGGGAAATGAGGGAGAAATAGGGGAACATGAGGGAAAATGGGGGGAAATGGGGGAAAATGGGGGGAAATGGGGGGAAATGGGGAGAAATGGGGAGGGGAAATGGGGGAAATGGGGGAATAGAATGGGGGAAATGGGGGAATGGGGGAAATGGAGGGAAATGGGGGAAATGGGAAATGGGGAAATGGGGGAAATGGGAGGAAGATGGGGAGAAATGAGGGGAAGATGGGGGAGAAATGGGGGAAATGGGGATGGGGAAAATGGGGGAAGGTGGGGGAAATGGGAGGGGACATGGGGAAGATGGGGGAAATAGGAGGGGAAATGGGGGAAATAGGGGGAAATGGGGGAAAATGGGGGAAATGGGGGAAATAGGGGGAAATGGGGGGAAATGGGGGACATGAGGGGGAAATGGGGGAAATGGGGATGGGAAAATGGGGGAATGGGGGAAATGGGGGGAAAATGGGGGAAATGGGGGGAAATGGGGGAAATGGGAGGGAAGATGGGGAGAAATGGGGGAAATGGGGGAAATGGGGGAAATGGGGGAAAGATGGGGAAGGGGGGAAGATGGGGAAATGGGAGGAAGATGGGGAGAAATGGGGGAAGATGGGGGAAGGTGGGGGAAATGGGGAGTATGGGGAAAATGGAGGGGAATGGGGATGGAAAATTGGGGAAATGGGAGGGAAAATGGGGGGACATGGGGGGAAGATGGGAGAAATGGGATGGAGGGGTGGGAATGGGGATGGGATGGGGATGAGAAGATGGGGGGTGAATGGGGGAAAATGGGGTGGGAATGGGGAGGACATGGGGAAAATGGGAGGGGAAAATTGGGGGAAATGGGGAAATGGGAAAATGGGAGGGAAGATGGGGAATGGGGAAAATGAGGAAATGGGGAAAATGGAGGGGAAATGGGAGGACATGGGGAAAATGGGAGGGGAAAATGGGGGAAATGGGGGAAATGAGTGGGAAAATGGGGGAATGGGGATGGAAAAATGGGGGGACATAGGGGAAAATGGGGGACATGGCAGGAATGGGGATGGGAAAATGAGAGGTTGGGGGAAATGGGGTGGCTTGAGGTGACACCGCTGGGGGTGTCACAGGGGGACATCCCCAACCCCCTCCCCAGTTACAGATGGGACCCCAGTACCGGTGTCCCCCTCCCCAGTTACAGATGGGACCCCAGTACCGGTGTGTCCCCCTCCCCAGTTACAGATGGGACCCCAGTACCGTGTCCCCCTCCCCAGTTACAAATGGGACCCCAGTACCGTGTCCCCCCTCCCCAGTTACAGATGGGACCCCAGTACCGTGTCCCCCTCCCCAGTTACAGATGGGACCCCAGTACCGGTGTGCCCCCTCCCCAGTTACAGATGGGACCCCCAGTACCGGTGTGTCCCCTCCCCAGTTACAGATGGGACCCCAGTACCGGTGTGCCCCCTCCCCAGTTACAGATGGGACCCCAGTACCGGTGTGTCCCCTCCCCAGTTACAGATGGGACCCCCAGTACCAGTGTGTCCCCTCCCCAGTTACAGATGGGACCCCCAGTACCGGTGTCCCCCCTCCCCAGTTACAGATGGGACCCCCAGTACCGGTGTGTCCCCTCCCCAGTTACAGATGGGACCCCCAGTACCGTGTCCCCCCTCCCCAGTTACAGATGGGACCCCCAGTACCGGTGTGTCCCTCCCCAGTTACAGATGGGACCCCCAGTACTGGTGTGTCCCCTCCCCAGTTACAGATGGGACCCCCAGTACCGGTGTGTCCCCTCCCCAGTTACAGATGGGACCCCCAGTACCGGTGTCCCCTCCCCAGTTACAGATGGGACCCCAGTACTGGTGTGTCCCTCCCCAGTTACAGATGGGACCCCAGTACTGGTGTCCCCCATCCCCAGTTACAGATGGGACCCCCAGTACTGGTGTGTCCCCTCCCCAGTTACAGATGGACCCCCAGTACTGGTGTCCCCCATCCCCAGTTACAGATGGGACCCCCAGTACCGGTGTGTCCCCTCCCCAGTCACAGATGGGACCCCCAGTACCGGTGTGTCCCCTCCCCAGTTACAGATGGGACCCCCAGTACCGGTGTCCCCTCCCCAGTTACAAATGGGACCCCCAGTACTGGTGTGTCCCCTCCCCAGTTACAGATGGGACCCCCAGTACCGGTGTGTCCCCTCCCCAGTTACAGATGGGACCCCCAGTACCGTGTCCCCCCCTCCCCAGTTACAGATGGGACCCCCAGTACCGGTGTGTCCCCTCCCCCGTTACAGATGGGACCCCCAGTACCGGTGTGTCCCCTCCCCAGTTACAGATGGGACCCCCAGTACCAGTTTCCCCCCTTCCCCCTTCAAAGTTCAGGACAGGACCCCCACTCAGGACGCCCCCCCCAGGTCGGGGACCCCCCGAGGGCTCCGGGGGTGGGTCCGGGGCCCTCCTGGGATGGGGGCACCCCCAGATCCCGGTCCGGAGCCCCTCCTGGGCCCGATCCTGTCCCGGGGGGCCCCCTCGGAGCCTTCCCGGTACCGGAGCCCCCCCAGTCCTCTCACAGAGCCCCTCCCGGGCCCGATCCTGTCCCGGGGGGCCCCCTCGGAGCCCTCTCTCGGTCCCGGAGCCCCCCCAATCCCCTCACAAAGCCCCTCCCGGGCCCGATCCTGTCCCGGGGGGCCCTCTCGGAGCCACCTCGGTACCGGAGCCCCCCCAGTCCCCTCACAGAGCCCCTCCCGGGCCCGATCCTGTCCCAGAGGTCTCCTCGGAGCCCTCCCGACCCGGAGCACCCCCAGATCCTGTCCCGGAGCCCCCCCAGTCCCGTCCCGGAGCTCTCCCGGTCCCAGAGCCCCCCCCAGTCCCGTCCTGGAGCTCTCCTGTTACCGGAGCCCCCCCCGGTCCCGTCACGGAGCCCCTCCCGGGCCCGATCCTGTCCCAGAGGTCTCCTCGGAGCCCCTCCCGGACCCGGATTCCCCCCCGGGCCCGTCTTGGAGCCCCCCAGGTCCTGTCCCTGAACCCTCCCGGTACCGGAGCCCCCGGGCCCGTCCTGGAGCTCGCCGGGTCCAGAAGCCCCCTAATCCTGTCCCGGAGCCCCCTCCCAGTCCCGATCCTGTCTCGGAGCCGCCCCGGAGCTCTCCCGGTCCCGGAGCCCTCCCAGTCCCATCCCGGAGCTCTCCCGGGCCCGATCCTGTCCCGGAGCCCCCCCAGTCCCGTCCCGGAGCCCCCTCCGGGCCCGATCCCGTCCTGAGCCCCCCCGGTCCCGTCCCGGAGCTCTCCCGGTCCCGGAGCCCCCCCCAGTCCCGTCCCGGAGCTCTCCCGGGCCCGATCCAGTCCCAGAGCCCCCTCAGTCCTCGTCCCGGAGCCTCTCCCGGTCCAGAAACCCCCCAGTCCTGTCCCTGAGCCCTCCTGGGCCCGGATCCTCGTCCCGGAGCCCCTCCCGGGCTGATCCTGTCCTGAGCCCCTCCTGGGCCCGATCCTGTCCCGGAGGTCTCCTCGGAGCCCCCTGGTCCCGTCCTGAGCCCTCCTGGCCCGATCCTGTCCCGGAGCTCCCTCAGTCCTGTCCCGGAGCTCTCCCAGTCCCGGAGCCCCCCAATCCCGTTAAGGAGCTCTCCCGGTCCAGAAGCTCCCCCAGTCCTGTCCTGGAGCCCTCCCGGGCCCGATTCCGTCCAGGAGCCCCCCAGTCCCTGTCTCGAGCCGCCCCAGTCCTCCGTCCCAGAGCCCCCAGTCCTGTCCCGGAGCCCCCCAGTCCCGTCTCGGAGCTCCCCCGGTCCAGAAGTCCCCCCAGTCCTGTCCCGGAGCCCTCCTGGGCCCGATCCTGTCCCGGAGCCCCCAGTCCTGTCCTGGAGCCCCCTGGTCCAGAAGCCCCCGGTCCCTCTCTCCGCCTCTGCCGGTGCCGGGCCCCGCCCTCGTCCGGGACCCCGGGACCCCTGGACCCCCTGTTCCCCTGTACCGGTGGCGGTGGAGCCGCCGGTGGCCGTGGGGGCCGGCGCGGAGCATCTGCCGCCCTTCCCCTTCCCCTTCCCCTTCCCCGCCCGCCCCCGGGGCCGGGGCTGCCCCGGGCGGAGCCTCCGCGACGGGAACCGGGCGGGGCAGGGGGGCGGCGGGACCACCGGGAACGGGGAACTGGGACCCCGGGAACCGGGATTGGGAAACGGGAGTGGGAACAACGGGAGCGGGAACCGGGAGGAAAAAGGAGGGAACGGGCGGGGTCGGGGGGCGGCGGGACCACCGGGAACGGGAACCGGGACCCCCCCCGGGAACCGGGATTGGGAAACGGGAGTGGGAACAACGGGAGCGGGAACCGGGGGGAAAAAGGAGGGAACGGGCGGGGTCGGGGGGCGGCGGGACCACCCCCGGGAACGGGAAATGGGATTGGGAATCACGGGAATGGGAGCCGGGAACGGCCCCGGGATCCCAAACTGGGAACGGGAACCGGGAACGGCCCCGGGATCCCAAACTGGGAACGGCCCCGGGATCCCAAACTGGGAATGGCCCCGGGATCGGGAACCAGGATCGGGAACTGGGAACGGCCCCGGGATCCAAAACTGGGAACGGGAACTGGGAATGGCCCCGAGGTCCCAAACTGGGAACGGCCCCGGGATCGGGAACTGGGATCGGGAACTGGGAATGGCCCCGGGATCCAAAACTGGGAACGGGAACTGGGAATGGCCCCAGGATCCCAAACTGGGAACAGCCCCGGGATCCAAAACTGGGAACGGGAACTGGGAATGGCCCCAGGATCCCAAACTGGGAACGGCCCCGGGATCCAAAACTGGGAACGGGAACTGGGAATGGCCCCGGGATCGGGAACTGGGAACAGCCCCGGGATCCAAAACTGGGAACAGCCCCGGGATCCCAAACTGGGAATGGCCCCGGGATTGGGAACCAGGAACAGCCCCAGGATCCCAAACTGGGAATGGCCCCGGGAACAGCCCCAGGGATCCTGAAATGGGAACGGCCTCGGGATCCTGCACCGGGATCCCAAACTGGGAACAGCCCCTGGATCCTGGGAACCACACTGGGATCCCAAACTGGGGATCCCAAACTGGGAACAGCCCCAGGATCCTGGGAACCACACTGGGATCCCAAACTGGGAACAGCCCCTGGATCCTGGGAACCACACTGGGATCCCAAACTGGGAACAGCCCCTGGATCCTGGGAACCACACTGGGATCCCAAACTGGGAACAGCCCCTGGATCCTGGGAACCACACTGGGATCCCAAACTGGGGATCCCAAACTGGGAACAGCCCCTGGATCCTGGGAACCACACTGGGATCCCAAACTGGGGATCCCAAACTGGGATCAGCCCCTGGATCCTGGGAACCCACACTGGGATCCCAAACTGGGGATCCCAAACTGGGAACAGCCCCTGGATCCTGGGAACCACACTGGGATCCCAAACTGGGGATCCCACACTGGGATCCCAAACTGGGGATCCCAAACTGGGATCCCGAACCAGAATCCCAAGCTGGGATCTTGCCCCGGGATCCCAAACTGGGATCTTGCTCCAGGGAATCACACTGGGATCCCAGTTTGGGATCCCAAAATGGGATTCCACCCCACACCAGGACCCTCCATGGGATCCCTGGATCCCACACCCCACATTCCCACCGGGATCCCTGGATCCCACACCCCACATTCCCATCTGGATCCCACACCCCACATTCCCACCGGGATCCCACACCCCACATTCCCACAGGGATCCCTGGACCTCACACCCCACATTCCCACAGGGATCCCTGGACCCCACATTCCCACCGGGATCCCGCCCCACTCCCCTCCCCCTCGGGGATTGGGGGTGTGAGGAAGATCCACGAGCTCCCCACCCTGGGGGAGGGGAGGATGTTGTGGGGGGTCACCTGGGCCTCCGAATCCCAAAATATCCCTGGCTCCGCCCCCACAAATTGGATCAGGCGGGGGCCGGGTTTAGGGCCGGGTTTAGGCCGGGTTCAGGCGCAGGGGCGGCGTGGACAGATGGTGGATTAGGGGGGGGGACACGACACACGTGGGGACACGCGTGGGAGGGGGGGCAGCGGGACAGCCACACGTGGGGGGGGGAGGGGGAGACCCCACAGCCCCCAGCACGGGACGCTCCCCCCCCCGACTCCGAGAATTTGGGGACACCACCCCTCCCAGACCTTGGGGACCCCCCCAGGCCTTGGGGACATCCCCTTCCCCTCCGGAGACTTTGGGGACCCCCCCCAGGCCTTGGGGACATCCCCTCCCCAAGACTTTGGGGCTTCTCCCCCCCCTCCACGAGACTTTTGGGGACCCTCCCCAGACCTTGGGGATCCCCCCAGACTTTGGGGACCCCCCCCAGACCTTGGGGACATCCCCCTCCCCTCCGGAGAATTTGGGGACCCCCCCCAGACCTTGGGGATCCCCCCAAGACTTTGGGGCTTCTCCCCCCCCAGGAGACTTTTGGGGACCCTCCCCAGACCTTGGGGCCCCCCCAAACGGTTTTTGGGGTCTCCTGTCCAAAATGGGGAGGGGGGAGCCCCACAGGAGCCCCCCCGCCCCCCACCATCTGTGAGCCAGATGTTGGCGTGGCCGAAACAGCTGGAGAGGCTCTGCCTCTCCCCGAGGGGAGGGGGGACATCGGGGGAGCACCTCATTGTGTGTCGGGGGAGGGGACACGAGGGGAGGGGGACACAACACGGACTCCTCCCCCCACCCAAAGGTGTCCCCCCACTTTTGGGGACACTCCGGGGGTCCCACCCCAAATCCTGAGCTCCCCTTTCCTCCCCCCACTTTTGGGGACACTCCAGGGTCCCACCCCACCCCCACGGTGTCCCCCCACCCTTGGGGACACTCCGGGGTCCCACCCCACCCGACTGGGGTCACTTCCCCCAAAGCCTCGATGCCGGTCGGGGGGCAGGGGGCACAGGGGGACACGGAGGGGGTCCTGCGCGCGGAGGGGACCCCAGGGTGGGTGGGGTGGGGGTTTTTTGGGGAGGTTTTTGGGGTCTTACTGGTGCCGGTCCCGGCGGCGCTGAGAGGGACAACGTGGGAGGGGGAGGGGGCGGGGCTTCCGAGGCCACGCCCACCGCCCACAGAGGGGCGTGGCCAAACGGGTCACACTCCCGGGGAGGGCTGAGACCCCCAAATTGGGGAGGGGGAGAGAAAGACCCCCATGTGTCTCCTTCAACCCCCGGGAGGGCTGAGACCCCAAATTGGGGAGGGGGGATAAGACCCCAAAATGGGGAGGGGAGAGAAAAGACCCCCATGTGTCTCCTTCAACTCCCCCGGGGAGGGCTGAGACCCCCAAATTGGGGAGGGGGGACAAGAATCCCAAAATAGGGAGGGGGGACACACAAGACCCCCCGGGGACGGCTGAAACCCCAAATTGGGGAGGGGGACACCTAGGCCCCCTGGGGATGCTGAGACCCCAAATTGGGGAGGGGTGGACAAGACCCCAAAATGGGGGAAGGGAGGGGTCAAAGGAGCCCCCAGTGACCCCAAAATTGTGACGTGGGGAGGGGGTGGGTTTTTTTTTGGGGGGATTTTCCCTGCCTGGAAAACTTCCCGGACTTTCCAGGCAGGGAATTCCGGGGGTGGTGTTTAAAATTGGGGGTCCCCTCCCCAAATATCGAGGGGAGGGAGGGGGTTGGGGAGGGGGTCTCTCCGACCGACCCCTCCTCCTCCCCCCCATCCTCAATCCAGGATTGGGGCCGGGAAAGGATTTTTAATTGGAAGCAGAAGGCGGGAATGGGGGGAGGAGGGGGAGGGGCGGGAATGGGAAGGGGAGGGGCTTCATTCCCAATTTTTTCCTTTTTCCTTCCCCTTCCTTTTCTCCCCCCTCCAAATTCCCACCCCGGGATGAGCTGGGGGTGATGGAGAAACCCAAACCCCCCCAGTCCCTGATCCCGATGGGAATGGGATGGGAATGGGGTGGGAATGGGATTGGGATGGGGATGGGAATGGGACAGGATGGGGATGGGATGGGAATGGGATGGGAACGGGGTGGGAATGGGATGGGATGGGGATGGGAACGGGAATTGGATGGGAATGGGACAGGATGGGGATGGGATGGGATGGGAATGGGGGTGGGAATGGGGTGGGAATGGGATGGGGATGGGAATGGGGTGGGATGGGGATGGAATGGGGATGGGATAGGAAAGGGAATGGGGTGGGAATGGGAATGGGAATGGGACAGGATGGGGATGGGATGGGAATGGGGTGGGAATGGGATAGGAATGGGGATGGGAATGGGGATGGGGATGGGAAAGGGAATGGGGTGGGAATGGGATGGGAATGGGATTGGGATGGGGATGAGGATGGGATGGGATGGGGATGGGAAAGGGGTGGGAATGGGATTGAGATGGGGATGGGAATGGGACAGGATGGGGATGGCAAAGGGGTGGGAATGGAGAAGAGGATGGGGTGGGAATGGGATGGGGATGGGATGGGGATGGGACGGGAAAGGGAATGGGGATGGGAATGGGATGGGAATGGGGTGGGAAGGGAATGGGGTGGGAATGGGAAAGGAATGGGAACGGGGTGGGAATGGGGTGGGATGGGATGGGATAGGAAAGGGAATGGGGGTGGGAATGGGGTGGGAATGGGATTGGGATGGGGATGGGAATGGGACAGGATGGGGATGGGATGGGAATGGGATTGGGATGGGATGGGAATAGGATGGGGGTGGGAATGGGAATGGGATGGGGATGGGAATGGGACAGGATGGGGATGGGATGGGATGGGATTGGGATGGGGATGAGGATGGGAACGGGATGGGGATGGGAATGGGGTGGGAATGGAATGGGATGAAGTGGGAATGGGAAGCTGGGAAGGGGCACTGGGAACACTGGGAGTGGGATATTGTGGTGGGGGGCACTGGGGGGGTCCCTGTGTGTGGGATAATGGGATATTTGGGGTCCCTGGGGGGGTAAATTTGGGGTCCCAGGGGGGAATATTTGGGATGCGGGGGTTGATAAATTTGGGGTCCCACGAGGGGAATATTTGGGGTCTGGGGGTGATAAATTTGGGGTCCCAGGGGAGTAAATTTGGGGACCGGGGGTTGATTGATAAATTTGGGGTCCCAGGGGGTAAATTTGGGGTCCGGGGGTTGGTAAATTTGGGGTCCCAGGGGGAGTAAATTTGGGGTCCCAAGGGGAGTAAATTTGGGGTCCCAAGGGGGAATATTTGGGGTCCTGGGGGGTAAATTTGGGGTCCCAAGGGGGGAATATTTGGGGTCCCAAGGGGGGAATATTTGGGGTCCCGGTGTGGGTTGGTAAATTTGGGGTCCCGGGGGGGGGTGTTGATAAATTTGGGGTCCCGGTGTGGGTTGGCAAATTTGGGGTCCCAAGGGAGGGTTAAATTTGGGGTCCTGGGCTTTTGTTAATTTGGGGTCCCCTGGGGGGGTAAATTTGGGGTCCCAAGGGGGGGGAATATTTGGGGTCCCAAGGGGGGAATATTTAGGGTCTAGGGGTTGACTGATAAATTTGGGGTCCCGGGGTTGGTAAATTTGGGGTCCCAAGGAGGGAATATTTGGGGTCCCAAGGGGGATTTTGGGGTCTCGGTGTGTGAGGGGTAAATTTGGGGTCCGAGGGGGAATATTTAGGGTCTGGGGGGTTGACTGATAAATTTGGGGTCCCAGGGGGTAAATTTGGGGTCCCAGGGGGGAATATTTGGGTCCAGGGGGTTGATTGATAAGTTTAGGGTCCCGGGGAATATTTGGAGTCCAGGGGGTTGATTGATAAATTTGGGGTCCCAGGGGGTAAATTTGGGGTCCCAAGGGGGAAAATTTGGGGTCCCAGGGGAGTAAATTTGGGGACCTGGGGGTTGATTGATAAATTTGGGGTCCGGGGGGTTGATTGATAAATTTGGGGGCCCTCCTTCTCCTCCCCTCCCTCCCTCCTTTCCCCGCCCGGGGAGCGGCGCTGCCGGGTGACGTCATCACGCCGCGCGAGCGGGGGTGGTCCCGCCATGATCCGCGCCGGGGCGGCCGGAGCCGCCCTGAGGGGCTGGAAACGAGGCCTGGGCTGGGCCGGGGTGAGAACCGGGACAGGAAACCGGGGCCGGGAACGGGGCCGGGAACGGGGCTGGGGGAGAGCGGAAAAACGGGAATGGTGGGAATGGAGGGGGGGGGACACGGGAATGGGGCTGGGGCAGGGCCAAGGCTGAGGGGCGGGGCGAGGGAGGAGACGGGGCAATGTGGAGGGCGGGGGCCAAGATCGGGGGCGTGGTCTTGGAAGAAGGGGCAGGGCCAAGATCGGGGTCTTGGAAGGGCGGAGCCAAGGTCGGGGGCGTGGTCTTGGATGGGGGCGGGGCCAGGGGAGAAATCGGGGGTCCAGGGGGCTTGGGGGTCCAAGGGGGAATGAGGGGTCGACGGGAATTTTGGGGGTCCGGAGGGATGAGAGGAGGTCGAGAGGCTGGGGGGTCAGAGGGGGTTTTGGGGGGTCGAGGGGGATTTTGGGGGGTCGAGGGGGTTTTGGGGGGGTTCGAGGGGTTTGGGGGGTCGAGGGAGTTTTGGGGGTCCGGGGGCTTGAGGGGGTCCAGGTGGCTGGGGGAGACTGGGGGTCAAGAGGGACTGAAGGGGGGTCCGGGGGCTGGGGGACTCAGGGGGCTTGGGAGGGTCCGGGGGCTGGGGGTGGTCAGGGGGCTTGAGGGGTCCGGGGGCTCAGGGGGCTCGGGAGGGTCCGGGGGCTGGGGGCTCAGTGGGGCTTGGGGGTGGTCAGGGGGCTTTTGAAGGTCCGGGGGCTCTGGGAGGGTCCGGGGGTCTGGAGGAGACTGGGGGAGTCAGGGGGGCTTGGGGGCTCTACCAGTGGGGACCTTGAGGGGGACAGAACTGGGACTGGGGGTGTGGGAGGGGTCAGAAAGACCCTCCCCACTCACTGTGTGGGTCCCCCACCCCAAAACTCTCCTGCAGATCTCGACGACCCCTGACCCCCTCGAGACCCCCAAACCCCTGGAGCCCCGAGGTCCCCAGGGTGAGTCCAGAGAGGGCTGGGATGGGGGCGGGGGGTGGGGGGGACACACCAGGGTGGGCTGGGGGCATTCTGGGGACATCAGGGATGACCCTGGGGACACCCTGGGGACATCAGGGACACCTTGGGGACATCAGGGACACTCTGGGGACAGCAGGGACACCCTGGGGGCATCAGGGGTGGGGGTCCCTGGGGCTGGGACACCCTGGGGACATCCTGGGGACATCAGGGACCATCATGAGGACACCTTGGGGACATCAGGGACACCCTGGGGACATCAGGGACCATCCTGGGGACATCAAGGACCATCGTGGGGACATCAGGGACACCCTTGGGGACATCAGGGGTGGGGGTCCCTGGGGCTGGGACACCCTGGGGACATCAGGAACCATCCTGGGGACATCAGGGACACTCTGGGGACATCAAGGACCATTGTGGGGACACCCTGGGGACATCAGGGACACCCTGGGGACACCCCTGGGACATCTTGGGGACATCAAGGACCATCGTGGGGACACCTTGGGGACATCAGGGACACCCTGGGGGCATCAGGGACCATCCTGGGGACACGCTGGGGACATCAGGGACACCCTGGGGACATCAGGGACACCTTGGGGACATCAGGGACCATCCTGGGGACATCAGGGACACCCTGGGGACACCCCTGGGACACCCTGGGGGCATCAGGGACCATTGTGGGGACACCTTGGGGACATCAGGGACACCCTGGGGACATCAGGGACCATCCTGGGGACACCTTGGGGACATCAGGGACATCTTGGGGACATCAGAGACATCTTGGGGACATCAGGGACACCCTGGGGACATCAGGGACCACCCTGGGGACACCTTGGGGACATTGGGGACACTGTGGGCACCCCAGCTGGGGGGTGTGTGGGGTGTCCCCTCTCGGGGCTCTCAGGGGGATTGTCCCCCCCCATCCCCTCCTTCTCTTTGGGGGGGGGGGGGTGTCTGATGCCCCCAACCCCCTCCATCATCTGCATGTGTCTGTCCCCTCCCTGTCCCCTCTCTTGTCCCCTCTTTGTCCCCTCCCTGTCCCTTCTCCCTCCCCTCTCTGTCTCCTCCTTGTCCTCTCTCTCTCCTCTCCTTGTCCCCTGTCTCTCCCCTCCTTGTCCCCTTCTTGTCCCCTTCCTTGTCCTCTCTCTCTCCTCTCCTTATCCCCTTTTTGTCCCCTCCTTGTCCCTTCCTTGTCCCCTCTCTGTCCCCTCTCTCTCCTCTCCTTGTCCCCTCCGTGTCCCTTTCCTGTCCCCCTCTCTCCTCTCCCTGTCCACTCCCTGTCCCCTCCTTGTCCCTTTCCTGTCCCCTCTCTGTCCCCTCTTTGTCCCTTTCCTGTCCCCTCTCTGTCCCCTCTTTGTCCCTTTCTTGTCCCCTTTTTGTGCCCTCCTTGTCCCCCTCCCTGTCCCCTCTTTATCCCCTCTCTGTCCCCTCTCTGTCCCCTCCTTGTCCTTTTCCTGTCCCCTTCCTTGTCCTCTTTCTCTCCCCTTCTTGTCCCCTCCTTGTCCCCTTCTTGTCCCCTCTTTGTCCTCTCTCTGTCCCCTTTCTGTTCTCTCTTGTCCTTTCCCTGTTCCCTCTCTGTCCCTTCCTCTCCCCCTCCTTGTCCCTTCTCTCTCTCCTCCCTGTCCCCTTCTTGTCCCCTCCCTGTCCCTTCTCTCTTCTCTCTCTGTCCCCTCCTTGTCCCCTCTTTATCCACTCTCTGTCCCCTCCCTGTCCCCTTCTTGTCCCCTTCCTTGTCCTCTCCGTGTCCCCTCCATCTCCCCTCTCTCTCCCCTCCCTGTCCCTTCTCTCTCCTCTCTCTGTCCCCTTCTTGTCCCCTCTTTATCCACTCTCTGTCCCCTCCTTGTCCCCTCCTTGTCCCGTCTTTGTCCCCTCCCTGTCCCCTCTCTGTCCCCTCCCTCTCCCCTCTCTCTCCCCTCCCTGTCCCCTCTCTCTCCCCTCCCTCTCCCCTCTCTGTCCCCTCCGTGTCCCCTCCCCAGCCGTGCCGGTGTCCCCAGCCGTGCCAGTGTCCCCCGTGCTGCGGGGGTGCCGTGTCCCCCTGTCCCCCCCCCACGTGTCCCCCCTGCAGGCCTGGGTGGGGTCTCTGCGTCACCCCCAGGACGCCTTTCGGGGCCTCACCGACCTCCACCCCGACGTCTTCGGGGTCCACCCCAGGTGGGTTCATCCCGGGGAGCTCTGGGGGCTTTGGGAGGTGGGGACACCCTGAGGGGTGGGACCACTCTGAGTGTCATTTGTCACCCTCCCCCCACCCCAGGTTGGACATCCTGCCATAGCCGTATGCCTGGCAGAGGAACTACAAGAGGATTGTGAGGATTTTTGGGGGAAAAAAGGAGTTTGGGGTGGGGAAAAGGGGTTTGAGGGAGTGAAAAGGGGATTTCATGGAGAAAAAGGGTTTAGGGAAAAAATGGGTTGGGGGGAAAAGGAGGGATTAAGAGGGGTAAAGGGAGGTTTTGAGGAGGGTTGAAGGGAAAAAGGGGTTTGGGGGGAAAAAAGGGGTTTGGGGATAGGGGAAGAGGGGTTTTGTGGGGGAGAAAGAGGGACTGGAGGGGAAAAAGGAGGTTTAGAGGGGAAAGGGGTTTGGGGGGTTGAAGGGGAAAAAGGGAGTTTGGAGGGAAAAAAAGGGGTTTTTGTGAGGGAAAAAGGGTGTTTGGGGTGGGAAAAATGGGGGTTGCAGGGAGAAAGGGAGGTTTGGGGGTGTCACTGGACAAAAGGGGGTTGGGGGAAAAAAAAGAAAGGGGGTTAGGGGTTGGAAAAGGGGTTTGAGAGGGAGAAAAGGGGGTTTGGGGGTTGGAAAAGAGAGTTTGGGGGGTGGAAAAGGGGTTTGGGGGTTGGAAAAAGGGGGTTTGGGGGAAAGGAGAGGTCTGAGGTGCAGGAGACCATTTGGGGGCTGCACATGGGGGTCTGGGGGTCTGGGGCTTTTTGGGGTGACCTGAACACCTCCCCATGTCCCCCTGACCCCTTTAACCCTCTAACCCCTAAACCCCTAACCCCAAAACCCCTCCCCGTGCCCCCAGAGCTACGCCCGGGTGAAGACGCGCCGAGGTTCGGGGGTGGGGCCGCAAGCCCTGGCGCCAGAAGGGCACGGGCAGGGCCCGGCACGGCAGCATCCGCTCGCCCCTCTGGAGGGGGGGTGAGTCCTCACCCCTCTGGGGGGCTCTGGGGGGCTGGGGGGGTCCCCAAAACCCACCCTGAAAGGGGCACGGGGTGGGCACGGCACAGCAGGATCCGCTCGCCCCTTTGGGGAGGGGGGGGGGTCCTGATGGTTTTGGGGGGCTCTGGGACCCTTAAAGGAACTTGGGGGGATCTGGGACTCTCAAAGGGATCCAGGGGGGCTCTGGGACCCTCACAGGGACCCCAGGGGGGTCCCCAAAACCCACCCTGAAAGGGGCACGGGGTGGGCACGGCACAGCAGGATCCGCTCGCCCCTTTGGGGATGGGGGCGGTCCTGATCATTTTGGGGGGCTCTGGAGGGGTCTGGGGGGTCTGGGACTCTCACAGGGACTCCAGGGGGGTCCTCAAAACCCCCCTGAGAGGGCACAGGCTCTGGGACCCTCACAGGGACCCCAAGAGGAGTCCCCAAAACCCCCCCTGAGAGGGGCACGGGGTGGGCACAGCACGGCAGGATCCGCTCGCCCCTCTGGGGATGGGGGGGAGTCCTGATCATTTTGGGGGGCTCTGGGGGGGTCTGGGACTCTCAGAGGGATCCTGGGGGGGTCTGGGACACTCAAAGGAACTTGGGGGGTGTCTGGGACCCTCACAGGGACCCCAGGGGGGTCCCCAAAACCCCCCCTGAGAGGGGCACGGGGTGGGCCGGGCACGGCAGGACCCGCCGCCCCTTTGGGAGGGAGTCCTGATCGTTTTGGGGAGTCTGGGGGGGTTTGGGTCCCTCAAAGGAATCTCTGGGGGTCCCCAAAACCCTCCCTGAGAGGGCACAGGCTCTGGGACCCTCACAGGGACCCCAGGGGGGTCCCCAAAACCCCCCCTGAGAGGGGCACGGGGTGGGCACGGCACGGCAGGATCCGCTCACCCCTTTGGGGATGGGGGGGAGTCCTGATCATTTTGGGGGGGTCTGGGACCCTCGAAGGGGATCTGAGGGGTCCCCAAAACCCCTCCCTGAGTGTTTTTTTGGGGCAGGGGGCATTGCCCACGGGCCCAGGGGCCCCACCAGCTACTTCTACATGCTGCCCATGAAGGTGCGGGTGCTGGGGCTGAAGGTGGCACTCACCGTCAAGCTCATGCAGGTTTGGGGGGGTTTTGGGGGTTTTTGGGGGCTTGGGGGTCTCAGGGTGTTGGGGGCCTCTTCAGGGTTTTGGGGGCTCTCCAGGTGGTTGGGGGGTTTTTGGGGGAGTTTTGGGTGGGTTTGGGGGTCTCCAGGGGTTGGGGTGGTGCTCACCGTCAAGCTCATGCAGGTTTGGAGGGGCTTTGGGGGTTTTTGGGGGGTTTGGGGGTCTCCAGGGTTTGGGGGGCTCTTCAGGGTTTTGGGGGTCTCCAGGGGTTGAGAGGGTTCTGGGGGAGTTTTGGGTGGGCTTTGGGGTGGTTTGGGGGTTTGGGGGTTGGGGTGGTGCTCACTGTCAAGCTCTTGCAGGTTTGGGGGTTTGGGGGGTTTTTGGGGGGTTTGGGGGGTTTTGGGGGGTTTGGGGTCTCCAGGGTTTTGGGGGCTCTTCAGGGTGTTGGGGGTTTTTGGGGGAGTTTTGGGGTGGTTTTTGGGGGTCTCTCCAGGGGATATGGGGGAGAGGGGTTGGGGGGGGGTCTCCAGGGTTTGATGGGGTTTTGGGGGTGTTTTGGGGGGTTTAGGGGGTCTCCAGGGGGTCAGGTGTGTGTTTTTTGTGTGTCCCCCCCAAAAAAAAGGACGACCTGCACGTGGTGGAGGATCTGGAGCTGCCCACTGGGGACCCCCAGTACCTGCAGGAGCTGGCCCAGTACCGGCACTGGGGACACTCCGTGCTCATCGTGGACGTGTGAGGGGACACCCTGGGACACTTTGGGGACACTTTGGGGACAGAGGGGACACCCTGGGACACTTTGGGGACACTTTGGGGACACTTTGGGGACACTTTGGGGACCTGGAGCACCCCCAGGACCTGCAGGAGCTGGCCCAGTACCGGCACTGGGGACACTCCGTGCTCATCGTGGACGTGTGAGGGGACACCCTGGGGACAGTTTGGGGACACTTTGGGGACAGTTTGGGGACAGAGGGGACACCCTGGGGCAGTTTGGGGACACCCTGGGACACTTTGGGGACACTCTGGGACACTTTGGGGACGGTTTGGGGACACTTTGGGGACACTTTGGGGACACTTTGGGGACAGTTTGGGGACAGGGGGGACACCCTGGGACAGTTTGGGGACAGGAGGACACCCTAGGGACACTTTGGGGACACTTTGGGGACCTGGAGCACCCCCAGTACCTGCAGGAGCTGGCCCAGCACCGGCACTGGGGACACCCTGGGGACAGTTTGGGGACACTTTGGGGACACTTTGGGGACAGGGGGGACACCCTTGGACAGTTTGGGGACACCCTGAGACACTTTGGGGACAGTTTGGGGACACCCTGGGGATACCCTGGGACACTTTGGGGACAGTTTGGGGACACCCTGGGACACAGAGGGGACACTTTGGGGACAGTTTGGGGACAAGGGGACACCCTGGGACAGTTTGGGGACACTCTGGGGACAGGGGGACACTCTGGGGACACCCTGGGACAGTTTGGGGACACCCTGGGGACACTTTGGGGACAGTTTGGGGACACCCTGGGACAGTTTGGGACACTCTGGGGACACCCTGGGACACTTTGGGGACAGTTTGGGGACCTGGAGCACCCCCGGTACCTGCAGGAGCTGACCCAGCACTGGCACTGGGGACACCCTGGGGACACTTTGGGGACACCCTGGGGACACCCTGGGGACAGTTTGGGGACACTTTGGGGACATCCTGGGACACCCTGGGGACACCCTGGGACAGTTTGGGAACAGTTTGGGGACCTGGAGCACCCCCGGTACCTGCAGGGGCTGGCCCAGCACCGGCACTGGGGACACCCTGGGACAGTTTGGGGACATTTAGGGACAGGGGGACATTCTGAGGACACCCTGGGGTACTTTGGGGACACCCTGGGACAGTTTGGGGACACTCTGGGGACAGTTTGGGGACACCCTGGGACACTTTGGGGACAGAGGGGACACTTTGGGGACACCCTGGAGATACCCTGGGGACAGGGGGGACACTTTGGGGACACTTTGGGGACACTTTGGGGACCTGGAGCACCCCCAGGACCTGCAGGAACTGGCCCAGCACCGGCACTGGGGACACCCTGGGGACACCCTGGGACACTTTGGGGACAGAGGGGACACCCTGGGGCAGTTTGGGAAAGTTTGGGGACAGAGGGGACACCCTGGGGACAGTCTGGGGACATTTAGGGACAGGGGGACACTCTGGGGACACTTTGGGGACACTTTGGGGACACTTTGGGGACAGAGGGGACACCCTGGCACAGTTTGGGGACACTTTGGGGACAGTTTGGGGACAGTTTGAGGACACTTTGGACACAGAGGGGACACTCTGGGGTCATCCTTACACGTGGGGGACACCTTGGGGGATGGGAGGGGACACTTTGGGGACCCCCCTCGCTGGTTTTGGGGTCTTTAGGGACACTTTGAGGACACTTTGGGGACAGGGGGACACTTTGGGGACCCCCCTCACTGATTTTGGGAGGTTTTGGGGCTCCTGGGAGTCCCCAAATCCCGTTTTTTTTCCCCTCTCCCAGGAAGGAATTCCCGGAAAACATCCGCTCTGCAGCCCAGGAGCTCAAAACCATCACCCTCATCCCCGCCCTGGGTGAGTTTGGGAGCCCCAAAACCCCTCCCAGGGACCCCAAAATCCTCTCAGGGACCCCAAAAATCCCCAGGGACCCCAAAACTGCACCAGAGACCCCAAAACCCCTCCAGGAATGCCCAGAAACCCTCTCAGGGACCCCAAAAACCCCCAGGGACCCCAAAACTGTACCAGGGACCCCCAAAAACATCCTCAAGGACCCCAAAAACCTTCCAGAGATCCCAAAACTGCACCAGGGACCCCCCAAAACCCCCCCAGAGATCCCAAAAGCTCCCCCAGGGACCCCCAAACCCCCCCCAGAGACCCCAAAACTGCACCAGGGACCCCAAAAACCCCTCTAGGGACCCCAAAACCTCCCAGAGAACCCCCCACGGTTCTCTGATGGATTTTTTTGGCTTCTCTGCCTGGATTTTTTGGGGTTCTCTGACCCAATTTTTTGGCTTCTCTACCTGGATTTTTTGGGGGTTCTCTAACCCAAATTTTTAGCTTCTCTACCTGGCTTTTTTGGGGTTCTCTGACCCAAATTTTTTACTTCTTTACCTGGATTTTTTTAGCTTCTCTACCTGGATTTTTTGGGGTTCTCTGCCTGGATTTTTTGGGGTTCTCTGACCCAAATTTTTGGCTTCTCTACCTGCATTTTTTGAGCTTCTCCAACCCCATTTTTGCAGATTTTTTTTCCTCCTCCGCCCACATTTTTTTGCTTTTCCCACCCCAACTCCCCCCTTCCCCCTCCCACCTTTCCCTTCAGGCATCACCCTGGGGAGGTTGCCAAGGGATCTCTGCCTTTTGCACCCCCCAAAATCTCCTTTTTTCCCCCCAATTTTCAGGGCTGAACGTTCACAGCCTGCTGAAGCACCAGACCCTGCTGCTCACCCTGGACACGGTGACCTTCCTGGAGCAGCGCCTGCTGTGGCACAACTGCCGCTTCTCCCCCCTCTACTCCTTCTCCAAACCCTACAGGGACTTCCCTGAGCCCCCCCTGGGGGGCTGAGACCCCCCCTGAGTCAATTAAACCACCCCAAAATGGGATTTATCCTCCCCAAAATGGGATTTATCCCCCCAGGGAAGGGGTTTTGGGAGGTTCTCCCCCCTCTGCTCCTTCTCCAAACCCTACAGGGACTTCCCTGAGCCCCCCCTGGGGGGCTGAGACCCCCCCTGAGTGAATTAAACCACCCCAAAATGGGATTTAACTTCCCCAAAATGGGATTTATCCTCCCCAAAATGGGATTTATCCTCCCCAAAATGGGATTTATTCCCCCTATCGCCCCAGAAAGGGGTTTGGGGTGGGGGTCTCTCTTCTCTATTCCTACTCCAAATCCTACAGGGACTTCCCTGAGCCCCCCCCTGGGGGGCTGAGACCCCCCCTGAGTGAATTAAACCCCCCCAAAATGGGATTTATCCTTCCCAAAATGGGATTTATCCTCCCCATCCCCCTCAGGGAAGGGGTTTTTGGGGGGTTCTCCTCCTTCTCCAAACCCTACAGGGACTTCCCTGAGCCCCCCCTGGGGGGCTGAGACCCCTCCTGAGTGAATAAACCCCTCCAAAATGGGATTTATCCTTCCCAAAATGGGATTTATCCTCCCCAAAATGGGATTTATTCCCCCTATCGCCCCAGAAAGGGGTTTGGGGTGGGGGTCTCTCTCCTCTACTCCTTCTCCAAACCCTACAGGGACTTCCCAGAGCCCCCCCTGGGGGGCTGAGACCCCCCTGGGTGGGTTAAACCACCCCAAAATGGGATTTATTCCAGCCCCTTTGGACCCCCCCGAGGGGGGTCACTGTCCCCCATTGTCACCCTGGGGGCGGGAACGGGGACAGAGCAGAAGTGAAAGTTGGGGACAGTGACAGCAATGACACTGAACTTCCCCCTGGTGACGGTGACAATGAGGTGACAATGACAGAGGGTGACAATGAGGTGACAATGACAGACGGTGACGGTGACAACGACACCGGAACTTCCCCCCCGGAGCCAGAGCGGTGGCACCGCGGGGACAGGAGGGGACAGGGGGGGTGACAGGGCCGGCTGCCACCAACGGAGGGGAGGGGGGAAACGGGGACCACCCTGGGGACATCAGGGGTGGGGGTCCCTGGGGCTGGGACACCCTGGGGACATCAGGGACCATCCTGGGGACATCAGGGACACCCTGGGGACACCTTGGGGGCATCAGGGACACCCTGGGGACAGCAGGGGTAGGGGTCCCTGGGGCTGGGACACCCTGGGGACAGCAGGGACACCTTGGGGACATCCTGGGGACACCCTGGGGACAGCAGGGACCATCCTGGGGACATCAGGGGTGGGGGTCCCTGGGGCTGGGACATCCTGGGGACATCAGGGACCATCCTGGGGACATCAGGGACACCCTGGAGACATCAGGGACACCACACCCTTGGGACACCTTGGGGACCTCAGGGACCATCCTGGGGACACCTTGGGGACATCAGGGACCGTCCTGAGGACACTTTGGGGACATCAGGGATCATCCTGGGGACGTCAGGGACACTCTTGGGATGCTTTGGGGACATCAGGGACCACCCTAGGGACACCAGAGACACCCTGGGGACACCTTGGGGACATCAAGGACACCCTGAGGACACCTTGGGGACATCAGGGACCATCCTGGGGACACTCTGGGGATGTCGGGGACACCCTGGGGACATCAGGGATGAGTGGCCATGGAGCTGGCACCACCCTGGGGCCATCAGGGACCATCCTGGGGTCATGGGGGGACAGGGTGGGCCGCGATGTCCCTCCCACCCACTCCCCCCGGGGTCTCTCCGCTCCCCCTTCCCACGGTTCCAGCCGTGACGAAAATTCCCTCCCGTCAAAAAGGCCCCCAAAAAGAGGAAGCCGGAACTGTGACCACTCCCCATAACTCCCCCATGGGGAGGGGGTGATACCGTCACCCAGCAGAGCCACCCACGGTCGGGTGACGATCCTGTGACACTCGGGGTGGGGGTGGGACATGGGGGAAGGGTGGGGGGGACAGGAAAATTGCCCCGGGATGGGCAGGAGGGGACCAGGGCAGGAAAACCGCCCCGTCCTGGGGACAGGAGGGGTGACAGGGGGTGGCAGGACCACCCACCCACCGGGAAGCCCCTCGGGGCGCCGCTCCCGTGGGGGGGAAGATCCCGTCGCGAAGTTCCCCTCGGGCCCGGAATTTCCCCCCGGGGGGGGTGGGAAAGGAAAGGACCGGGCGGGGCTGATAAAGCGCCGCCCCCGCGGGCACCGAGAGGAGATCGACGGAGCCACCGACGGAACGAGCGCGTGGGGAGCGCCTGGAGAGACCCCCGAGACCCCCACCCACTCCACCCTGACCCCTGGCCCGGCCCGGTGGGTGCCACGGGAGCCCCGCAGAGACTGAACCGATCGATCACCCCCGGGGGGAGCCCCCACGGATCGATCGAAGCGACCCTTCCGGGGCTTCCGGGGGAGGCCGGACCGACAGATCACGGAGAGCACGAGTGGAGCCGTCCCGGTGATCCCGGAGAGCCCCTCTGGATCCATCCCGGTGATCCCGGAGAACCAGAACTGATTGATCCCGGAAAGCCCGACTGGATCGATCAATCCCGGTGATCCCGGAGAACCAGAACCGATTGATCCCGGAGAGCCCCTCTGGATCCATCCCGGTGATCCCGGAGAGCCAGAAGCGATTGATCCCGGAAAGCCCGACCGGATCAATCCCGGTGATCCCGGAGAGCTCGAACTGATTGATCCCGGAGACCACGAGTGGATCCATCCCGGTGATCCCGGAGAGCCCAAACCGACCGGTCCCACTGGATCCATCCCGGTGATCCCGGAGAGTTCGAACCGATTGATCACGGGAGAGCCCGACCGGCCCCTTCGCGACCTTTCCGTGTGCCCCGGACCCACCCCGAGAGACCCCGAAGGGACCGACGACCCCCCCCCGACCCCCGCCGGCTCCATCGCGGCGCTCCCGGAGGATCGAGCCCACCCACCCCCATCCCACGCGGGATCATGAGCCCCGCGCTGCTCTCGCTGCTCCTGGGCACCCTCGGGGTCATCGCAGGTGAGGGGACAGCGGGGGGAACAGAGGGGGTGACAGTGGGGGTGACAGAGGGGGGACAGAGGGGGGATAACGGGGGGGACAGAGGGGGTGACAGCGTGGGGACAGAGGGGGGACATCGGGGGGGACAGAGGGGGATAGCGGGGGGACAACGCGGGGACAGCGTGGGGACAGCGTGGGGACAGCGTGGGGACAGCGTGGGGACAGCGTGGGGTGACAGCGTGGGGACAGCGTGGGGACATCGGGGGACAGCGTGGGGACAGCGTAGGGACAGCGTGGGGACAGAGGGGGTGACAGGGCGGGGACAGCGTGGGGACATCGTGGGGACATCGGGGGGACATCGAGGGGGACATCGTGGGGACAGAGGACGCGGCCCTGAGTGGGGATGGCGGGGGCCCTGCCGAGGGCCTCCCGCGTCGCTTCCTTTGTCACGACACGCGTGTTTGTCGCGTGTGGCCGCTTGTCTGCGGCGCGACCTTTCGTGTCACCGGTGCGACCTTTCGTGTCACCGCGGGGCGCGTGGCGGGGTCCGGAGGTCCCCCCCTTGTCCCCACCGTGTCACCGGGAGGGAAGGAGGGGTCAGGATGGGGGTCCCAGAGCTGTCCCCCCACCCACCCTCCCCCTCCCGCCTTCTTCGCCCCCGCGCTGTCGGAGCCGGGAATGTTTGTCCTTGCGAAATCCCTGGAATTTTTTTTTTTGGTTGTTGTCGTTTCCCTCCCTTTTCCTGCCTCGATTATTCCGGGAAAGGGCAGGACGGTTCCCCTCAGGGGAGAGGAAAGGAGGGGGGGAAGTCACAGCGCTCCCGGGGAATCCCCCCTGGCCCGAGGCGCTGACTCAGCTCGGGGGGCTTCCTTCGGACCTGGGGGGCTTCCTCGGGACCTTGGGGGCTTCCTTCGGACCTGGGGGGCTTCCTTCGGGACCTCGGGGGCTTCCTCCGCACCTCGAGGGGCTTCCTTGGGACCTCGGGGGCTTCCTCGGGACCTGGGGGGCTTCCTCGGGATTTTGGGGGGCTTCCTCTGGACCTGGGGGGCTTCCTCTGGGACCTTCCTCGACAGCTGGAAGGGCTTTCCTTGACAGTTTGGGGGGGATTTCTCTTCACCCCGAGGGGCTTCCTGCTCCTCACCTTGGAGGGGGGGGATGATCCTGGGGGTCCCCTCGTTCTTTCCCCCCTCCCCCTCCCCGCCATGCTGGGAGTGGGGACAACTTGGGGGTCTCCTCAATTTTCCCCCACTGGGATGGGATGGGGACGATCCCGGGGGTTTTCCTGGACCTTCCCTGGCCATTCTGGGATGGGGATGATCCCGGGGTTTTCCTGGACCTTCCCTGGCCATTCTGGGATGATGGGGATGATCCCGGGGGTCCCCTCCACCTTCCCCCACCGTGCTGGGATGATGGGGATGATCCCGGGGTATTTCCTGGACCTTCCCTGACCATTCTGGGATGGGGATGATCCCGGGGGTTTTCCTGGACCTTCCCTGGCCATGCTGGGATGGGGATGATCCCGGGGTTTTCCTGGACTTTCCCTGGCCATTCTGGGATGGGGATGATCCCGGGGGTCCCCTCCACCTTCCCCTTGCTGTGCCGGGGCAGGGATGATGCCGGGGGGGGGTCCCATCATCCCCCTGACGATGTCCCCGAGCCCCAGGGGAGGGTCCCCTCTAATTCCACCCCCCCGGCAGGGTCGCTGGGCTCCTCCTTCGAGCTGTGGACGGAGCCCGAGGTGCTGGTGGTGGAACACGGGGGGTCCCTCCGGCTGACGCTGAGGGCGACCTGCAACGACTCGCGGGGCTCCGGGGGGGTGGAAACGGCCAACAGGAAGAGGACGAGGCTGATCAAGCCGGGGGAGGTGGAGGTGGAGCTGCTCGAGGTCACCGAGGGGAAGAACAACCTCTTCGTGTACTACACGTGCAACGGCCGGAGGGAGCAGAGGGACGTCCCGCTCCTCATCTACCGTGAGCACAGGGGGCACGGGGGGGGGGGAATTCACCTGGACACTCTGTGTGTGTGTGTGTGTGTGTCCCACAGCACCCCTGGACACCTCGTGTCCCCTCCTTGGCACCCCTGGTACCCCTGCACACCCCATTGTCCCCTTCACACCCCATGTCCCTCCTGGCACCCCTGGATGTGTCTCCCCCAGCCCCCCTGCACACTCCATGTCCCCCTGGCACCCCTGCACACCCCATGTCCCTCCTGGCACCCCTGCACACCCCATGTCCCTCCAGCATCCCTGGACACCTCATGACCCCCTGGACACCCCATTTCACTCCTGCCCCCCTGCAAGCCCCGTGTCCCCCTGAGACCCCTACAGGTGTTTCCCCCAACCCCCCCCTGCACACCCCATGTCCCCAGCCCCCTGCACACCCCATGTCCCCCAGCCCCCTGCACACCCCATATCCCCAGCCCCCTGAACACCCCTTTTTTCCCCCCAGACTTGCCCCAGCGGCCGGAGGTGGCGGCGGTGCCGGCGCTGGCGGCGGGGCAGGCGTGGGAGCTGCTCTGCGCCGTGGCCGGGGCTGCTCCCCTGCGGAACCTGACGGTGACCCTGCGGCTCGGCCCCCACCTGGTGCTGAGCACCCAAGAGTTCCAGGGGGACGAGGGGCCCCGCGAGGTGCGGGTGACGCGCAGGGTGACGCTGGCGGCCGGGCACGACGGGCAGAACGTCACCTGCGAGGCGCGGCTCGACCTGGCGCCCTTCGGGCCCAACGTCAGCGTGGCCTCCGAGCCCCGCACGCTCAGGGTCTGTGGTGAGTGGGCGCCTTCCCCCCGGGGGGGGGATTTTCCAGGGGGTTTTGGTTTTTCCTGCTGTGTGTGTGTGTGTCCCCCCAATCGGCACCCTTGGGCACCCTGTGTCCCTCTGGCACCCCTGGATGTGTCCCCATCACCACCCCTGGACACCCCATGTCCCCCTGCACACCCTGTGTCCCTCTGGCACCCCTGGACATGTCCCTCCCCCATCGGCACCCTTGGACACCCTGTGTCCCTCTGGCACCTCTGGACGTGTCCCCCACTGGCACCCCTGGACACCCTGTGTCCCTCTGGCACCCCTGGACGTGTCCCCATCACCACCCTTGGACACCCTGTGTCCCTCTGGCACCACTGGGTACCCCACTGGCACCCCTGGAGACCCTGTGTCCCTCCTGGCACCCCTGCACATCCCATGTGCCCCCCACACACCCCATGTCCCTCCTGGCACCCCTGCACACCCCATGTCCCCCCTGCACACCCCATGTCCCTCCTGGCACCCCTGCACACCCCATGTCCCCCCTGCACACCCCATGTCCCTCCTGGCACCCCTGCACACCCCATGTCCCCCCTGCACACCCCATGTCCCTCCTGCCCACCCCATGTCCCCCCTGCACACCCCATGTGCCCCCTGCACACCCCATGTCCCTCTTGCACACCCCATTCCCCCTCTGCACACCCCATGTGCCCCCTGCACACCCCATACCCCCCTGCACACCCCATGTCCCCCTGCACACCCCATGTCCCCCTGCACATCCCATGTCCCCCTGGCACCCCCCATGTCCCCCCTGCACACCCCATGTCCCTCCTGGCACCCCTGCCCACCCCATGTCTCCCCTGCCCACCCCATGTACCCCTGCAACCCCCATGTCCCCCTGCACACCCCATGCCCCCTCTCCACACCCCATGTCCCTCCTGCACACCCCATGTCCCCCTGTACCCCCCATGACCCCTCACACACACCTCATGTCCCCTGCACACCCCATGCCCCTCTCCACACCCCATGTCCCCCTGCACACCCCATGTCCCCCTGCACACCCCATGTCCCTCCTGCACACTCCTGTGTCCCCCTACACACCCCATGGCCTCCTGCACACCCCATGTCCTCCCTGCCCACCCCACATCCCCCCCTCACCAGCCCCTCCCCGTGGGTCGTGGCGATGCCGCAGCACCCACATTCGGTCATTTGTCCCCGTGTCACCCGCAGAGGTCCCCAAGCCACGGCTGGACGTGTCCAGCACCACCCCGACAGCAGGCACGGCCCTCACCGGGCGCTGCTCGCTGCCCCCCGAGCCCTGCACCGACTTCCACGCGCGGGTCCTGGCCGGGAACCGCGTCCTGGCGGGGTGGGGACCCTCCCCGCGGGCTTTCAGCGTGACCGTGGGCGAGGAGCACGACGGGCTGGAGCTGAGCTGCGAGGCGGAGCCGGCCCGGGGCTCCGAGAGCTCCGGATCGCTCAGGAGGAGCGACAGCACCCGCATCTCCGTCTACGGTGAGGGCGCCGGGACAGAGAGGGGGAGGAGACAAACAGAGAGAGAATTCCCGGCGGGAATTAACTCCTGGGAATCGATTCCCCCCGCAGTCCAACCCCGGCTGGACGACTCGGGCTGCCCCCCGGAGCAGAACTGGACGGAGGGGCGGGAGGAGACGCTGCGGTGCCGGGCGCGGGGGAACCCCCGGCCCTCGGTGAGCTGCGCCCGGGACCGGGACGGGAGGAGCTTCCCGGTGGGAATTCCGAGCCCCGCGGGCCGAGACCACGCCGGAATCTACTGGTGCAGGGCCACCAACGAGCTGGGAGAGGACGAGCGCAGCGTCACCGTCCACGTCCACTGTGAGTAAAGGGGGGGCTCCGGAGGGGGGTTGGGGGGCTCTGGAGGGGATTGGGGGTCTCTGGGAGGGGCTGGGGGTCTCAGGGTGTTTGGGGTCCTGGAGGTTGGGGGTCTCGGGGTTCCTGGAGGATGGGGTCCCCGGGAGGGGCTGGGGGTTCAGGGGTGCTGCTGGCCCGGGCTGGGGGAGCTCGGGGGTCCTGGGGGTTGGGGTCGCTGGGAGGGGCTGGGGGCTCAGGGGTGCTGTTGGCCCGGGGTGGGGGTCTCGGGGGTTCCTGGAGGATGGGGGTCCTCGGGAGGGGTTAGGGGTCTCAGGGGTGTTTGAGGTCCTGGAGGTTGGGGGTCTCGGGGGTTCCTGGAGGATGGGGGTCCCAGGGTTAGTTGGGGGTCTCAGGGGGGGTCCCAGGGGTATTCGGGGGTCTCAGGGGGGGTCCCAGGGGTATTTGGGGGGGTCCTGGGAGTCTCATGGGGTATTTGGTGGTCTCATGGGGTCCTAGGGATATTTGGCGCTCCTGGGGTCTCGGGGGTATTTGGGGCTCCTGGGGGGTCTCAGGGCTCCAGGGATTCTCAGGAATCCCGGGGTGGGGGTCTCAGGAACCCCAGTGCTCTCCAGTGCCCTGAAGGATCCAAATATCCCGGGTGGGGTCGGGTGGGAAGGAGACCCTTTGGGTGCTCCTGGAGGTCTCGGGGGTATTTGGGGCTCCTGGAGGGTCTCAGGGATATTTGGGGGTCTCAGGGGGGTCCTGGGGGGGTCTCAGGGCTCCAGGGGCTCTCAGGAACCCCAGTGCTCTCCAGTGCCCTGAAGGATCCAAATATCCCGGGGTGGGGTCGGGTGGGGGGAAGGAGACCCTTGAGTGCTCCTGGAGGTCTCGGGGGTGGGGGTCCCAACCCTTGACCGTCTCACCCCTCCTGACATCCCCCTCCTTCCCTCTCCCCCATCAGACAGCGACCACAACGTGCTGGTGCCGGCGCTGCTGGGGGCTCTGGGGGTCGCGGGGGTCGCCGCCCTGGCCCTGGCGGGGCACAGGATCTACCACAGGAAGACGAAGATCAGGAAGTACCGGCTGCAGGAGCAGGAGCGGCAGCGACAGCGGCAGATGGAGATGGCACGGGCCGGGGGGGGGACAGCGGGCTGCTCCTCGGGGGAGGGGACCGCCCTCAACGGCTCCGCTCCCAACGCTCCGTAGGCGGGGAGAGGCGGTGGAGGGGCTGGAAAACCCCCCATCCCCCGGAAAGCCCCCCTGCCCATCCCCACAGGACGGGAGCCACCGACTCGTCCCCATCGGGGATGGTGACTTTGGGGACAAACGGTGACGTTGGGGACAGCCGGTGACGTTGGGGACAGCCGGTGACGTTGGGGGGCTCCACGACCAGAGTGTGTCCCCCCACCTCCCAGGGGTGGGGACAGAGAGAGAGAGAGGGAGGTGGCAGCTCCCAGACGGCCCGGGAAGTGAATCCCGGGGGAATTGGAATGGTGAGATCCAACCAACACCCCCCCCCACCCTCCACGCTCCATCCCCATCCGTGGATCTCCAGATCTCCCAAACTTTCCCCCTTGGGACACCCCCACACACCTCCGGAGGAGGTTTTTAGGGTGGCCATGGTGATATTTGGTGGAGGGGGGGTGGTCCTGGAGCTTCCAGGTGGGACACATGGGCTGAATTCCCGGGATTTTGGTGCTGGCAGGAGGGCAGAGGAGCCCAAGAGAGAGAGAGAGAGAGAGAGGAGGGGTAGATGGAGCCACCAGAAAGGGTGGGGTGGAAGCTGCTGTGGTTTTTTTCTAATAAACCCATAAATGCTGTTTATTGACCCCTCCTGGGATTGGGATGGGGCAGTGGGAATGCAGGGGGGGAGGAGGCCTGGGGGGGGTTTCCTGGACCTTGGAAACGGGACTAGGAGAAAGTGCTGCTCCCCCCACACCCTTTTCCTTCCTCCTGCCCTCGTTTCCTCATGCAGGGACGAGGCCACGGGGCAGGAGGTGGGACTGGGGGGCCCTGAGGGGTAATCAGAGGGACTGGGGGGGGTGATCAGACCCCCCCTGTGTCCCCCATTCCCTGCCCTGGGCTGGGATGGGCTCCCAGAGTGACCTCCAGGCCTGGGCCCTTCCCTGGGGCTGTTCCTGGGGCTGCGGTGAGTGAGGGGTCTGCTGGGTCATACTGGGCAGTACTGGGCCATACTGGGCTATACTGGGCAGTACTAAGCTGTACTGGGCTGTACTAGGCAGTACTAAGCTATACTGGGCTGTACTGGGCTGAACTGGGTAATACTGTGTTGTACTGGGCTATACCAAGCTATACTGGGCTGTACTGGATTGTACTGGGTTGTACTGGGCTGTACTGGGTTATACTGGGCAGTACTCGGCTGCACTGGATTGTACTGGGTTATACTGGGCTGCACTGGATTGTACTGGGTTACGTGAGGTTGTACTGGGTTACACGGGGCTGTACTGGGTTATACTGGGCTGCACTGGGCTATATCAAGCTATACCGGGCTATACTGGATTGTACTGGGTTATACTGGGCTGCACTGGACTGTACTGGGTTACACAGGGCTGTACTGGGTTATACTGGGCAGTACTCAGCTACACTCAGTTGTACTGGGTTGTACTGGGCTGTACTGGGTTATACTGGGTAGTACTCAGCTGCACTGGGTTGTACTGGGCTGCACTGGACTGTACTGGGTTATACTGGACTGTACTGGTTTATACGGGGCTGCACTGGGCTATACCAAGCTATACTGGGCTGTACTGGACACTTGGGGACATGGGGGACAGGGGGGGACACTGGGGACACAGGGAGGGCACAAGGGGACAGGGGGGTGACACGGAGGGACACAGAGAGGAACACGGGGATGACACGGGGTGGCCCGAGGGACACGGGGGGGACACAGAGGGGGACTCGGGTGACACGGGAGGTGACACGGGGGGGGTGACAGGGGGGACTCTGAGGGGACAGCGGGGATGGAGACACGGGGGATGGAGACACCAGGGATGGAACCACCGGCAGCGCCCAGCATGGGCTGGCACCGAGGGGGGGACACGGGGACATGGACAGGGACACAGGGACAGGGACACAGGACATGGGACACAGGACATGGGACACAGGGACAGGGACACAGGGACAGAGGGACATGGGACACAGGGACAGGGACACGGGAAGGGGACACAGAACATGGGACACAGGGCATGGGACATAGAACATGGGACACAGGGACAGGGACATGGGATGGGGACACAGGGACATGGGACACAGGACATGGGATGGGGACATAGGGACAGAGGGACATGGGACACAGGACAGGGACACGGGATGGGGACACAGGGACATGGGACACAGGACATGGGATGGGGACACAGGGACAGAGGGACACAGGGACACAGAGATAGAGACACAGGACATAGAGACATAGAACACAGGACATAGAGACATAAAACATAGAACACAGAGACAGAGACATAGAGATGGGAGACACAGAGACATAGAACACAGGACATAGAGATGGGAACACAGGAGACAGAAAGGACATAGAACACAGGACAGGGACATAGGATGGGGACACAGGGACAGGGACACAGGGACACGTGACACGTGTGGACACACATGATACATGTATGGACACATGGTGCATGTATGGACACAAACACACACTGTACATGTATGGACACGCATGGTACATGTATGGACACACATGCTCCATGTATGGACACACATGACTCATGTATGGACACGATCCATGCATGCACACGCACACACGAAGCCCCCTCCCCCTCGCAGCAGCTCCAGCCCCCCCGGTGGTCGCGGGGGGAGGGGCCACGCCCCCGGCCCGTCTGTCACTGTCGCTGTCGCTGTCACCGTCACCGGTGCTGTCGCGGCGCCCACGCGCGACCCACGCGGGGAGGGGGGAGGGGTTTTTTTTGAGGGGAGGGGGGGAGGAGCAGCCCCGCGGGGCCGGCGGAGCCGCTGCCTTCGGCCTCAGCCGCCTCTTCCTCCCCGTCCTCCTCATCCCCCTCTCCCCCATCCTCGTCCCGATCCTCCTCCGCTCCGGTCTTCATCCTCCTCCTCCTCTTTGCCCCTACCCTCCTCTTCCTCCCACCCTCCCCGTCGCCTCCATCCTCCTCCTCCTCCTCTGCTCCATCTCCCTCCTCATCCTCCTCCTCCTCCTCATAATCCCCATCCTCCTCCTCCGCTCCATCCCCCTCCTCATCCTCCTCATCCCCATCCTCCTCTTCCTCTCCGTCTCCATCCTCATCCTCCTCTCCCTCTCCCTCCCCACCCTCCTCTCCCTCTCGCCTTCCCCGTCGTCTCCATCCTCCTCCTGCTCCATCCCTGTCTTCCTCCTCCTCCTCCTCTTCTTCCTCCTCTTCATCTTCCTCCCCCTCGGTCCCCGATGGGACCCCCCGCTCCGGCCACGCGGCTCTTGCCCCCTCGTTCTGGCGCTCGCAGGTGAGGGGGTGGGGGAAATGGTCTCGGGTTCTTTTTGAGGAATTTCCCCAAAAAATTGGGGGCAGGGGAGTCTGAGTGGACCCCAAAAATTAGGGACCCTTGGTTACGAAAGGGGGTGGGGGTGGGACGTCCCTGGGGATCCCAAAGGTACCTTTAAGGGGGGCGCTGGAGACCCCCACAGGGACATCAGGGGGTTAATTGAGGGGGACCCTCAAAGACCTTTAATTTGTTCCTTAGTTGGGGGGATCCCCAAAGACAGCGGGGACCCGAGGGGGCACGTGGTGTGTGTGTGTGGGTCTCTGCATCCAAAATTGGGGGGGTCAGAGGGGTCTCCATTGGGGGTGTTGAACTTGATGGGGGCTCTCCCCATCCAAAATTGAGGGGGAGGTCTAGAGGGTCTCCGGTGGGGGGTCCTGGTGCTGAGCTGGGGGTGAGTGGGTGGGGGTGTTTCTCTCCCCCCTCCAAATTTTGGGCAGGGGGGGTTTCTCTCCCCCCTCCAAATTTTGGGGCCGGGGAATGGGGGGAGTTCTCTCCCCCCTCCAAATTTTGGGGCCGGGGGCGTGAGTGGGTGGGTGTGGGGTTGGTTTCTCTGGCTGGCACTGCCCACGCAGCCGGCACTCTGTGTGTGTCTGGGGGGGTCTCCTCTGTTTTTTTTTTTTGGGGGGGGGTTCTCGGGGGTCGCGTCTCTCTCTCTCGCTCGCAGGGGTGGCCCGCGGCTCCTTCACGGTCACGGCCTGGCCGCGCGTGGCCGTGGTGGCCTTCGGGGGCTCGGCCACCGTCAACTGCAGCCGCAGCGCCTGCCCGGGGGGCAACGCCACCCTGGAGCTCCACACCCCCCTGGCCGCGACCCCCGGGCCGGGGGGGCCGCGCTGGCAAAGCTTCCTCCTCCTCAACGTGTCCCGCTGGAGCCCCGGCCCCGTCACCTGCTCGGGGAGCTGCGGGGACACCCGCGCCGAGGCCAGCGCCGACGTCCTGGTCTACAGTGAGTGCCCCTTAGTCCCTAATTAATGTCTTAATTGACCTTTCGAACGGGCCTTCGATCGGCCCCGCGGGGAGCGCTAATTACGGCCATCATCGCCTGTTTGGGCTGGGCTGGGTTGGGTGAAAAAAGAGGTTTTTTGGGGAGGAGGAGGATGGTTAAGGAGAGCTGGGGGTGCTTCGTGTCACGGGGGAGGGGGGACACCAAAATCTGCGAGTTTGGCACGCAGGGGGGGTTAAAAAGAGCCTGGAGGTGGTGCCTGGGTGGGCTGGGTTGGGGTCGGGGGGTTGGATGTGTCGGAGAAGAGCCTGGAGGTGGCACTCGGTGCCATGGGCTGGGTGACAAGGTGGGGCTGGGTGATGAGGTGGGGTTGGGTGACGAAGTGGGTTTGGGTGATGAGGTGGGGTTGGGTGACGAGGTGGGGTTGGGTGATGAGGTGGGGTTAGGTGACCAGGTGGGGTTGGGTGACCAGGTGGGGCTGGGTGACAAGGTGGGGTTGGGTGACAAGGTTGGGGCTGGGTGACGAGGCGGGCTTGGGTGACAAGGTTGGGGTTGGGTGACAAGGTGGGGTTGGGTGACAAGGGTGGGGTTGGGTGACGAAGTGAGGTTGGGTGACCAGGTTGGGGCTGGGTGACCACATTGGGGTTGGGTGACCAGGTGGGGCTGGGTGACAAGGTTGGGGTTGGGTGACAAGGTGGGGTTGGGTGATGAGGTGGGGTTGGGTGACAAGGTGGGGCTGAGTGACAAGGTTGGGGCTGGGTGACAAGGTGGGGTTGGGGTCACAGGGGTGGAGGTGTTTTAGAAGAGCCTGGAGGTGGCACTCGGTGCCATGGGCTGGGTGACAAGGTGGGGTTGGGTGATGAGGTGGGGTTGGGTGACCAGGTGGGGCTGGGTGACAAGGTTGGGGTTGGGTGACGAGGTGGGATTGGGTGACAAGGTTGGGGTTGGGTGACAAGGTTGGGGCTGGGTGACAAGGTGGGGTTGGGTGATGAGGAGGGGTTGGGTGACCAGGTGGGGCTGGGTGACAAGGTTGGGGTTGGGTGACGAGGTGGGATTGGGTGACAAGGTTGGGGTTGGGTGACAAGGTTGGGGCTGGGTGACAAGGTGTGGCTTGGGTGACAAGGTGTGGCTGGGTGATGAGGTGGGGTTGGGTGACAAGGTGAGGTTGGGTGACCAGGTGGGGCTGGGTGACAAGGTGGGGTTGGGTGACAAGGGTGGGGTTGGGTGACGAAGTGAGGTTGGGTGACCAGGTTGGGGCTGGGTGACCACATTGGGGTTGGGTGACCAGGTGGGGCTGGGTGACAAGGTTGGGGTTGGGTGACCAGGTGGGGTGGATGACGAGGTTGGGGTTGGGTGACAAGGTTGGGGCTGAGTGACCAGGTGGGGTTGGGTGACCAGGTGGGGTTGGGTGACAAGGTGGGGTTGGGTGACAAGGTGGGGCTGAGTGACCAGGTGGGGTCGGGTGACAAGATGGGGTTGGGTGACAAAGTGGACTTGGGTGACGAGGTGGGGTTGGGTGACCAGGTGGGGTTGGGTGACAAGGTTGGACTTGGGTGACAAGGTGGGGTCAGGGGTCCCAGACTGTGCTGGATGATCCCAGAGTTCTCCCCCAACCCCCACCGACCTCAACACCCACACCCCTGTGCCCCCCGGTGTTTGCGTCCCCCTCGTCCCCCAGAGCTGCCGGAGCGGGTGGCGCTGGACCCGGTGGCGCCGGTGGCGGTCGGGGACAGCCGGAACGTGACGTGCCGCGTGCTGGAGGTGGCCCCGGTGGGGAACCTGACGGTGACGCTGCGGCGCGGCGGGGACACCCTGAGCACCCAGAGCTTCGGCCGCGCCCCCGGCAGCGCCAGCGTGGCCGTCACCCACCTGCTGACCGCCACCCCCGGCGACCACGGGCAGGACGTCACCTGCCACGCCGAGCTGTCCCTCAGGCCGCACGGGCCCCTCTTCGCCCGCGCCGCCGCCCCCGTCACCCTCTCCGTGTTCGGTGAGTCCGGGGGGGAATTTTGGGGAAAGGGGGAGGTGGGAGAGGCAGCGCCCTGGCACTGTCACCCCCCATAGGGGCAGCGGTGACACCCTCCTGGTGGTGGTGTGGCACTGTGGCACTGTCACTGCCCATGGGGACACCCAGAGGGACATCATTGCCCCCTTCCTGGTGGTGGTGTGGCACTGTCACCGCCCATGGGGACATCATTGCCCCCTTCCTGGTGGCAGTGTGACACTGTCACCTCCCATGGAGACACCCAGGGACATCAGTGCCACCCTCCTGGTGGCGGTGTGGCAGTGTGGCACTGTCACCTCCCATGGGGGCAGCGGTGTCACCCTCCTGGTGCTGGTGTGGCACTGTCACCACCCACGGGGACATCATTGTCCCCCTCCTGGTGGCTGCGTGGCACCGCTGGGGCGCAGGGGGAGAGTTTGGCCACCAGGACCGTGTCCCCAACCCCGGTGCCACCGTGTCCCCCCCAGCCCTCCCGGAGCCCCCCCAGCTCGAGGCCCCCTCCCTGCTGGAGGTCGGTGCCACCTCCCGCGCCCGCTGCCGCGTGGCCGGCGCCTTCCCGGCCGGGGACACGCGTGTCACCCTCGCCCTGGGCCGCGAGACGCTGAACGCCAGCCTGGAGGTGGCGGGGGACGCGGTGACGGCGGTCACCGAGCTGTCCCCGAGCCGCCCGGGCCTTGGGGACATCACCTGCACGGCCGCGGTGGCCTCGGCGACGAGGACGGCGCGGAGGACGCTCCACGTTTACCGTAAGGCTCCCGGGGGGTGTCCCCAAATGTGTCCCCCCCCCTCCATCCGCACCCCCGGGATCCACCCACGGGCCCCCCTTCCCCTTTCCCGCAGGATTCCCGGCTCCCACCCTGGAGCTGCTGCCGCGGCCGGCGGCGGAGGGCGCGGAGGTGACAATGACGTGCCACGCGGGGGACACCGAGCCGGCCGGGCCGCTGCTGCTGCAGCTCCTGGGGTCCCACGGCGAGGGGGTGCTGGCGGAGGGGCCGCGGTCCCGCGTGGAGCTGCGCGTGGCCGCCAGGAGGGAGGATGACGGGCGCGAGCTGCGCTGCAGGGCCAGCCTGGCCGTGGGGGACAGCGCGGTGACAAAGGAGGCGGCCGCGCGGCTCGTCGTGCACTGTGAGTGCCGCTCCGTGGGGTGGGGAAGGGGGGCGGTGGGTGGGGTGGGTTGTGACCCCGCCCCGCCATTCCCGGCGTCGTCCCCCATTGTGGGTTTTTTTTTGGGGACAGATCCCCCCGAATTGGGGGCCGGCGGCTGCCCCGCCAACCGCACGTGGGTGCGGGGGGCGCGGGAGTGGCTCTGGTGCCGCGCCACCGGCAACCCCGCGCCCGCCGTGGTTTGCGCCCGCGCGGGGGTCCCCGTGGGCACCGGCGAGCCCGAGCCCGTCACCCGCGAGCGGGCGGGCACCTACGAGTGCACGGCCACCAACGCCATGGGGACGAGCAGCCAAAGCGTCACCGTCCGCGTGGAGTGTGAGTGGCACCGGGGGTGGCATCGAGGTGGCACTGGGGGTGGCATCGGGGTGGTGCTGGGGGTGACAACGGGGGTGGCATTGGGGTGGCACTGGGAGTGGCACTGGGGTGGCACCGGGGTGGCACTGGAAGTGTCACTGGGGGTGGCATCGGGGTGGCACTGGGGTGGGACCGGGGTGGTACTGACGGGTGGCACTGGGGGTGGCACCGGGGGTGGCATTGGGGTGGCACTGGGGTGGCATTGAGGTGGTACTAGGGGTGGCACCAGGGTGGGATTGGGGGTGGCATCGGGGTGGCACCGGGGGTGGCACCGGGGTGGCACTGGGGTGGCATCGAGGTGGTACTGGGGGTGGCATCGTGGTGGCACCGGGGGTGGCACTGGGGTGGCACTGGGAGTGGCACGGGGGTGGCATTGTGGTGGCACTGGGGGTGGCATCGAGGTGGTACTGGGGGTGACAGCGGGGGTGGCACTGGGGGTGGCAGTAGGGTGGCACCGGGGTGGCACTGGGAGTGGCACTGGGGGTGGCATCGAGGTGGTACTGGGGGTGGCATCATGGTGGCACTAGGGTGGCACCGGGGTGGCACTGGAAGTGTCACTGGGGGTGGCATCAGGGTGGTACTGGGAGTGGCACTGGGGATGGCAGCAGGGTAGGCATTGGGGTGACACCGAGGATAACACCGTGGTGACACCGGGGATGGCACTGTGATTGACACTGTGGTGGCATCGGGGGGGGCGGCACCGGGGTTGGGCACCGGGTATGGTGGCACCGTGGTGGCACTGACCGGGGGTCCCCTCCGTGCCTGTCCCCGTGTCTCCCCCCCCCAGACGAGCCCACCCTGTCGGAGCGCGGGTGTCCCTCGCGCCGCGTGTGGGTGGAGGGGCAGCGGCGGGACCTGGAATGTCGCGCCGAGGGGGACCCCCCGCCCAGCACCCGCTGCGCCCGCCGCGGGGACACCCCCAGAGTTGGCCCCGGGGACACCCCCAGAGTTGGCCCCGGGGACGCCCCCGCGCCCGCCCCACCCGCACCCGCGGCACCCGCGTGGTCTCCAGGGCCGACGCCGGGAGCTACCTGTGCAGGGCCACCAACCGGCACGGCGTGGCCACCAGGGATGTCGTGGTCACCGTGGAGTGTGAGCGGGGAGGGGGCGCGGGTGGGGTGGGGTGGGGTGGGGTGGGAGGAGTGGGGTGGGAGGGATCCGGGGTGCCGGAGGGATCAGGGGATGCCGGGAGGGATCGGGGGATGCTGGGTGGGATCAGGAGGTGGTGGGGGGATCAGGAGGTGATGGGGGGATCAGGAGGTGGTGGGGGATCGGGAGGTGGTGGGGGGATCAGGAGGTGATGGGGGATCAGGAGGTGATGGGGGGGATCAGGAGGTGGTGGGGGATCGGGAGGTGGTGGGGGGATCAGGAGGTGGTGGGGGGATCGGGGGATACTGGGAGGGATCGGGGGATGCTGGGTGGGATCAGGAGGTGATGGGGGATCAGGAGGTGCTGGGAGGGATCAGGAGGTGATGGAGGGATCAGGAGGTGGTGGGGGGATCAGGAGGTGATGGGAGGGATCAGGAGGTGATGGGAGGGATCAGGAGGTGCCGGGAGGGATCCGGGGGTGCCGGGAGGGATCAGGAGGTGATGGGAGGGACTCAGGAGGTGATGGGGGATCAGGAGGTGGTGGGAGGGATCAGGAGGTGGTGGTGGGGATCATGGAGGTGATGGGGGGATCAGGAGGTGATGGGGGGGATCAGGAGGTGATGGGAGGGATCAGGAGGTGGTGGGAGGGATCAGGAGGTGATGGGAGGGATCGGGGGGTGCCGGGAGGGATCAGGAGGTGTTGGGAGGGATCAGGAGGTGATGGGGGGGATCAGGAGGTGGTGGGGGATCAGGAGGTGGTGGGGGGATCAGGAGGTGGTGGTGGGGATCAGGAGGTGGTGGGGGATCAGGAGGTGATGGGGGATCAGGAGGTGATGGGGGGATCAGGAGGTGGTGGGAGGGATCAGGAGGTGATGGGGGGGATCAGGAGGTGATGGAGGGGATCAGGAGGTGCCGAGAGGGATCGAGGGGTTCTGGGTGGGATTGGGGGGCACTGGGAGGGATCAGGAGATGATGGGAGGGATCAGGAGGTGGTGGGAGGAATCGGGGGATGCTGGGTGGGATCAGGAGGTGCCGAGAGGGATCCGAAGGCGCTGGGTGGGATCAGGAGGTGCCAAGAGGGGTCGGGGGAGTGCTGGGTGGGATTGGGGGGCGCTGGGAGGGATCAGGAGGTACCGAGAGGGGTCGGGGGGTGCCGGGAGGGATCAGGAGGTGCCGAGGGGGGTGGCACCCAGCACCCCCCCCCCCTTTTCTGTGCTGTGTCCCCCCAACTCCCAGACCAGCCGAGCATCCCCGAGCGGGGCTGTCCCGAGCGGCGCCTCTGGCTCGAAGGGACCCCGGCCCGGCTCAGCTGTGCCGCCACCGGGAACCCCCCACCCCGGGTCACCTGTGCCAAGCTGGGGGACAGCCACGACCACCCCCCGGTGACACCCAACGCCACCCACCCCGAGCTGGGGGACAGCCAGGACCACCCCCCGGTGACAGCCAAGGAGGGGGGGGACACGTGGGACCACCCCCTGGTGACAACCGAGGAGGGGGGGGACACGTGGGACCACCCCCTGGTGACCCCCAATGTCACCCAGACTGAGCTGAGGGACACTCAGGACCCCCTAGTGACCCCCAATGTCACCCGGACCGAGCTGGGGGGCACCCGGAACCACCCCTTGGTGGCCCCCGACGTCACCCGGCCCAAACTGGGGGGCACCCAGGACCTCCCAGTAACCCCAAATGTCACCCGGACCGAGGTAGGGGACCCCCAGGGCCCCCCCCGGGTGCCCCCCACCGTGAGCCGCGCCCACGCCGGCGCCTACCAGTGCCGGGCCAGCAATGCCCACGGCTCGGCCGTCCGGAACGTCACCGTGGCCGTGGAGTGTGAGTCCTTTGGGGGGCACTTTGGGGGGTGACAAAGGGGGGGAGGTGTTCATTTGGGGCGAAGAGGGGGGTGATTGTGGCTGATTGTGGCTGATTTGGGCCGATTTTATCTGATTTGGGCCGATTTTTTCTGATTGTGGCCGATTTTGTCTGATCGTCTCTGATTGTGGCCAATTTGGGCTGATTTTGCCCGACTGTCTCTGATTTGGGCCGATTGTGACCGGTTTTGTCTGATTTGGGCAGATTTTGTCTGATTGTGGCTGAGTTTGTCTGATTTTGTCTGATTTTGTCTGATTTTGTCTGATTTTATCTGATTTTGTCCGATTGTGTCTGACTGTGCCTGATTTTGTCTGATTTTATCTGATTTTGTCCAATTGTGTCCGACTGTGTCTGATTTTATCTGATTTTGTCCAATTGTGTCCGACTGTGTCTGATTTTATCTGATTTTGTCCGATTGTGTCTGACTGTGCCTGATTTTGTCTGATTTTGTCTGCTTGTGTCTGACTGTGCCTGATTTTGTCTGATTTTATCCTATTTTGTCCAATTGTGTCTGATTTTATCCTATTTTGTCCAATTGTGTCTGATTTTATCTGATTTTGTCCGATTGTGTCTGACTGTGCCTGATTTTGTCTGATTTTGTCTGATTGTGTCTGATTGTGTCTGATTTTATCCTATTTTGTCCGATTGTGTCTGATTTTGTCCGATTGTGTCTTTGATTGTGTCTTTGTCCGATTGTGCCTGATTTTCTCTGATTGTGCCTGATTTTATCCATTTTTGTCCCACTGTGCCTGATTTTGTGCCTCCTTTCCCCCCCTCCCCCCCGCTGTGTCCCAGTCGGCCCCTCGTCCGTCACCCTCCGCGCTGTCCCCTCTTCCTCCGTCCCCCGGGGCGGCTCCTTCAGCCTGGACTGCGGCGCCGAGGGGGTCCCCGCGCCCACCTTCGCCTGGGCCGCGCCCCCCGCCCCCAACCTGCGCCTGGGCCCCGACAACCGCTCGGTCACCGTCACCGCCGCCACCGCCGCCAACCGCGGGCTCTACACCTGCACCGCCAGCAACCGGCACGGCCGCGGCGCCCGCAGCGTCCTGGTCAGCGTCGACGGTGCGTGGGGGGACAACAGGGGGGGACAATAGGGGTGGCACTGTCCCCTCCTGCCCCACAGGGGTGGCACCGGCCCCTTGTGGTCCCCACAGAGAGCTGGCTGGTGGCCCAGGTGGTTCTGGTGTCACTGATGTCACCATGCCTTGTGTCCCCACAGAGAGCTGGCTGGTGGCCCTGGTGGCCCTGGGCTCACAGTGGTGTCACTGATGTCCTCATGTGCTGTGTCCCCATAGAGAGCTGGCTGGTGGCCCTGGTGACACTGTCACTGTGCCCTGTGTCCCCACAGCTGGCTGGTGGCCCTGGTGGCCCTGGTGTCACTGTCCCCATGCCCTGTGTCCCCATAGAGAGCTGGCTGGTGGCCCTGGTGGCCCTGGTGTCATTGATGTCACCATGCCCTGTGTCCCCACTGAGAGCTGGCTGGTGGCTCTGGTGTCACTGTCACCACACCCTGTGTCCCCACAGAGACGTGGCTGGTGGCCCTGGTGGCCCTGGTGTCACTGTCCCCATGCCCTGTGTCCCCATAGAGAGCTGGCTGGTGGCCCTGGTGGCCCTGGGCTCACTGTCACTGTCCCCTGTGTCCCCACAGAGACGTGGCTGGTGGCCCTGGTGGCCCTGGGCTCGCTGGGGGCGGTGGCCCTGGTGGCCCTGGCGGTGGCGGGGGGGCTGTACCTCAAGAGCACGGCCTGCAAGAAGGGCGAGTACAACGTGCGCGACGCCGAGGGCTCCTCGGGGGCCGCCTGTCCCCTGCACCGGCACCGGCACCAGCAGGACCCGGGGGACATCTTTGGCATCCAGCTCAGCCCACCCTGAGAGGGACCCTCAGGACCCGGGGGACATCTTTGGGATCCAGCTCAGCCCACCCTGAGTGCCACCACCCCCCAAAACTCAGGACCACAGGGACATCTTTATGATCCAGCTCAGCCCCCCCGAGAGGGACCCTCAGGACCACCCCCTGCCCACCAGGGACACCCAGCAGGACCATGGGGACATCTTTATGATCCAGCTCAGCCCCCCCTGAGAGGGACCCTCAGGACCACCCCCTGCCCACCAGGGACACCCAGCAGGACCACGGGGACATCTTTGGGATCCAGCTCAGCCCACCCTGAGAGGGACCCTCAGGACCACCCCCTGCCCACCAGGGACACCCAGCAGGACCACGGGGACATCTTTGGCATCCAGCTCAGCCCTCCCTGAGTGCCACCACCCCCCAAAACTCAGGACCACGGGGACATCTTTGGCATCCAGCTCAGCCCACCCTGAGAGGGACCCTCAGGACCCGGGGGACATCTTTGGGATCCAGCTCAGCCCACCCTGAGTGCCACCACCCCCCAGAACTCAGGACCACGGGGACATCTTTATGATCCAGCTCAGCCCTCCCTGAGTGCCACCACCCCCCAGAACTCAGGACCACAGGGACATCTTTAGGATCCAGCTCAGCCCACCCTGAGAGGGACCCTCAGGACCACCCCCTGCCCACCAGGGACACCCAGCAGGACCACGGGGACATCTTTGGGATCCAGCTCAGCCCCCCTGAGAGGGACCCTCAGGACCATGGGGACATCTTTGGGATCCAGCTCAGCCCACCCTGAGTGCCACCACCCCCCAAAACTCAGGACCACGGGGACATCTTTAGGATCCAGCTCAGCCCACCCTGAGAGGGACCCTCAGGACCACGGGGACATCTTTGGGATCCAGCTCAGCCCACCCTGAGTGCCACCACCCCCCAAAACTCAGGACCACGGGGACATCTTTATGATCCAGCTCAGCCCACCCTGAGAGGGACCCTCAGGACCACGGGGACATCTTTATGATCCAGCTCAGCCCACACTGAGTGCCACCACCCCCCAAAACTCAGGACCACAGGGACATCTTTGGCCTCCAGCTCACCCAGGAACACCCAGGACCATCCCCTTCCTGGTGGGGACCTCCAGGGACCCCCCCCCAAAATCCCCCTTGACCGGGGTTATTGGGGGTTACAACGTGTGGGGACACCGAGGGACCCTTCAGAGCCCCCCTTCCCCATCCCAGGGGGTTTCTGGGGTCCCGGGGTGGGGGTTGGGGGTGTTTTTAGGATTTTGGGGGCCGGAACTCAGGGGGTGTCCTGGGGGCGGGTTCGGCTCCTCCCGGGGGAGGAAGAAACACCCAATAAACGGTCCCGGTTGGACGGGAGGCACCGCCCTCTGTCCCCAAACCCTGCCCTTTGTCCCCAAACCCCATCCCCTGTCCCCAAATCCAGTCCCCAAACCCTGTCCCCATCTCCAGCCACTGCCCCACTGTCCCCAAACCCTGTCCCCAACCCTCGTCCCCTCCCACCCAGAACCCCCATCCTTGTCCCCACCGCGGCCACCAGCGATGGCACCAAAACCCCCTCCCCAATCACCCCCAACGTCACCCCCGTGTCCCCTCAGTGTCCCCTCCCCCTCAGTGTCCCCCCTCCCCGCGCAGGTGACACGGTGACACTTTTGCCATCCACACCTCCACCTTTAATCGCTCCCACACCCCCCCACCACACCACCCAGTGCCACCCCCGCCCCCTCCTCCAGCTCGGGGGGGGTCCTCGCTGTCACCTCCTGTCGCCGCGCGGGGTGGGGGGTCCCCAGTGGGCGCAGAGGGGACACGGCGGTTTGGGGGTCCCGCTCCGGCCGGGCACGTTCCAGCAGCGCCGGCAGCGCACGCGGTACTTCTTGTACCTGCCGGGAGGCGCGGGGTGACCCCTGGGGGGTTATATTTTGGGGAGGGGGGGTGTCCCCGAGGTGTCACCACCCCTCCCTCCCTCGGGGGTCCTCACCTGATGCCGCACGCGTTGCAAAGGGGGGTCCCGTTCTCGGCCGCTCGCCACAGGGGGGTCCGCCGGGTCATGCACGAGGCGCAGCGTTTGTGACCTGCCCGGGGGGGGGGACACCCCCAAAAACCCACCGGTGTCAGGGGGGGCACCCCGAGAGTCGTCCCCGACCCCCAAATTCGCCTCCCCTCCCCTCTCCCCAAGTTCTTACCCTGGACGGGGGGAGCTTCGTCCTCGGAGCTGCTGCTGCTCCGCGGCTGCGGGGGACCCTGGGGGAACACGGGGGAGGGGGTCAGGGAGTAGGACCCCCGAAATGGGGGTCACCCTCCGGATTGGGGGATACCCCGGAATGGTGAAACCCCTTCCCTGAAATGGGAGAGAGCCCCCTGGAATGGGGTGAGACCCCCTGGAATGGGGAAAGACCCTCCCCAAAATGGAAACACCCCCGAGGAGAAAGACCCCCAAAATGGGGAAAGACCCCCAAAATGGGGAAAGACCCCCAAAATGGGGACACCCCTCGGGGGTCTTTGCGGGGGGGGGTGGAGGGAGCACCTGGACAGAGGGACAGGGCAGGGGAAGCTCTGGTGGGGTTGGGTGGGGGGGTTCCCAAAAGTGGCCCCGGGACACACGGACGGGACCCCCCCCGGGACACACGGACGGGACCCCCGGGGGGGCGGTACCTGCGGGCGCTGATGAGGAGGGGGCAGGGGCCGGTGCCCCCCGCGGGGACCCCCAGGCGCATCCGCAGCGTCACCCCCCGGAACGAGGGGTCCCGGGGGTCCGCCCCGCGCTGGGGGGTCGCCTGTTTGCGTCGCCGCCCGGCCCCGCTCCTGGTGTCGATCCCAGTCCCGGGACTGATCCCGGTGCCGTTACTGGTCCCGGTGTCAATCCCAGTCCCGTTACTGGTCCCAGTGCCGATCCCGATGCTGTTACTGGTCCCGGTGACGATCCCGGTACCGTTATTGGTCCCATTGCCGATCCCAGTCCCGTTACTGGTCCCAGTGTTGATCCCGGTGTTAATCCCGGTCCTGGTGCCGCTTCCGGTGTCGATCCCGGTGTTGATCCTGGTACTGCTCCCAGTGTTGATCCCGATCCCGGTGCCGCTCCCGATGTTAATCCCAGTGTTAATTCCAGTCCCAGAATTGATCCCTATCCCGGTGCCGCTCCCGGTGTTGATCCCGATCCCGATCCCGGTGCCTCTCCCGGTGTTGATCCCGATCCCGGTGCCGCTCCCGGTGCTGATCCCGATCCCTATCCCGGTGTTGATCCCGATCCCGGTGCCGCTCCCGGTGCTGATCCCGATCCCTATCCCGGTGTTGATCCCAATCCCGGTGCCGTTCCCGGTGCCGCTCCCGGTGTTGATCCCTATCCCGGTGCCGATCCCAATCCCGGTGCCGCTCCCGGTGTCCAGGTGCCGGCACTGGAGGCTGATGAGGCTCAGCGCGTCGAGGCTCCCGGTGGGCACGGGGGGCACCCCCGGGGTCTCGGGGGGTGCTGCGGGAGCTGCCGGGGGGGTCTCCGGGGGGCGCAGCAGCCGCACCGACTCCTGCAGGAACGTCAGACCCTCCCCGGGGGGGCTCCGGGGCCGCGGGGGGGGCTCCGGGACCCCCATCCTGAGCGGGGAACACCGTCAGGGAATGGGGGGCGGGTGGGGACACCCCTCCTTTCCTCCCCCCTTCCCCATCCCCCCCAACTCCTTCCCGGTTCCTTCCCAGTGGGACCAGTCCCGGTTCTCCCGCTTCTTCCTCCCGGTTTCCCCCCGGTGGGACCATTCCCGGTTCTCCCGGTCCCTCCCAGTTCCCAGGACACGAGCGAGCTGCCGGTACCCCCCAATTCCACCCCCGGTGGGACCATTCCTGCTCCCGGGACCCCCTAATTCCACCCCCGGTCAGAACATTCCCAGTCCCACCCAATTCCCAGCACACGAGCGGGGTTCCGGTGCCCCCAGTTCCCTCCCCGGTGGGACCATTCCCAATTCTCCCAGTGCCTCCCAGTTCCCGGGACACGAGCGGGGTCCCCGTGCCCCCAATTCCCTCCCCCAGTGGGACCATTCCTGCTCCTGGGACTCACCAATTCCACCCCCGATGGGACCATTCCCAATTCTCCCCGTCCCTCCCAGTTCCCGGGACACGAGCGGGGTCCCGGTGCCCCCAGTTCCCCCCCCCCGGTGGGACCATTCCCAATTCTCCCAATTTCTTCCAGTTCCCGGGACACGAGTGGGGTCCCGGTTCCCCCCAATTCCCCCCTCGGAGGTCCCGGTACCCCCAATTCCCCCTCCCCTTCCCCGTTCATGCCGCTTCCCCCGGTGCCGGTTCCCACCTGGGGGGCTCCCCTGGGTGGTCAGGCCTCCGTGCCCGGGGGCGGCGGGGGGGCTGGGGGGCGGCGGGGGGGTGGTCGCAGGGCTCGGGCTCGAGGCAGAGCAGGCGCTGCAGCAGCGAGAAGTCGGGGGGCTGCCCCTCGAGGAACAGCGGCTGCTCCCCCATCCCGACCCCCGGCAGCGGGATTGGGATCGGGATCGGGAACGGCCCCTTAACCCGCTCCAGCTGCGGGGAGGGAGGGGGGAACGTGGGAGGGACCCCCGGGGCGGGGCAGCAGCACAGGTGGGGCTGGGACCCCCCAAATGGGGACAGGGACCCCCCAGGTGGGACTGGGACCCCCCAGATGGGGACAGCACCCCTCCCAGGTGGGATCGGGACCCCCAAATGGGGACAGGGACCCCCCAAATGGGGACAGGGATCCCCCCAGGTGGGATCGGGACCCCCCAAATGGGGACAGGGACCCCTCCCAGGTGGGACTGGGATTCCCAGGGATTACCCCAGGTGTGACAGGGACCGATCCCCCCCCCACCCCCCCAAAAATGCCCCCAAGCACCAGCTCAGACAAAACAAAAAAATATCTCTTTATTAACAACCCAAAATGTTCCTTATCCCAAATCCATCCTTTTTGGGTCCCTCCTTTTAGGGGGGGTCCATTCTTTTAGGGGATTCTCTCCTTTCAGGGGGTGTCCATCCTTCTTGGGGGTGTCCATCCTTTCAGGGGGGGTCTCTCTCCTTTCAGGGGGGGTCTCTCCTTTCAGGGGGGTCTCTCCTTTCAGGGGGTGTCCATCCTTCAAGGTTCTCTCTTTCAGGGTGTCCATCCTTTGGGAGTGTCCATCCTTTCAGGGGGGTCTCTCTCCTTTCAGGGGGGCTCTCCTTCAGGGGGGTCTCTCCTTTTTGGGGGTGTCCATCCTTTAGAGGGCTGTCCATCCTTTTGGGGGGTCTCTCCTTTCAGGGGGTGTCCATCCTTTCAAGGGGGATCTCTCCTTTCAGGGGGGTCCATCCTTTTTGGGGGTGTCCCTCCTTTCAGGGGTGTCCATCCTTCTGGGGGGGTGTCCATCCTTTTTGGGGGTGTCCATCCTTTCTGAAGGGGTCCATCCTTTCAGGGGGGGTCCATCTTTTTTGGGGGTGTCCATCCTTTTGGGGGGGGTCCATCCTTTCAGGGGGGGGTCCCTCCTTTTGGGGGGGTGTCCATCCTTTCGGGGGGATCTCTCCTTTCAGGGGGTGTCCCTCCTTTTGGGGGGAGGTCCATCCTTTTTGGGGGTCCCTCCTGCCCCGGGGGGGGCTCAGTGTGGTTTGGGCACGTGGCCATCCACGTAGAAGTTCCTGGTGAGGCGGGGGAGGCCGATCCGAGCCCCCTCCAGGGCGGGGCTGAGCAGGACCTGACAGCCCAGCCGGGAGTTCTCCTGCAGCAGAGGGGCCTGGTCCAGCAGATCCTCCTCCCTGGGGGCAAAACAACCCCGGGGGCGCTGGGAGGGGACCCAAAAAGGTGGGGGGAGGGGGATGGGGTGGGGGAGGTGGGAAATGGGGCTGGGGGATTTGGGAGTGTTGGAGAAGGGGAGAGAGGTCTGGGAGGGGTCAAGGTGGTCCCTGGGGGGTCTGGGAGGGGTCAGGGTGGTCCCTGGGGCTGGGGATCTGGGGGTCAGGGTGGTCCCTGTAGGGATCTGAGGGGTCAGGGTGGTCCCTGGGGGTCAGGTAGGTCTCTGTAGGGTCAGGGGGTCAGGGTGGTCCCTGGAGGGTCAGGGGTGGTCCCTGTGGGATCTGGAGCAGGGTCAGGGGGTCAGGGTGGTCCTGGGGTCTGGGGAGGTCAGGGTGGTCCCTGTGGGGTCAGGGTGGTCCCTGGGGGTCAGGGTGGTCCCTGTGGGTCAGGGGGCCAGGGGGTCAGGGTGGTCCCTGTGGGGTCAGGGTGGTCCCTGTGGGATCTGGAGGGGTCAGGGTGGTCCCTGTGGGGTCAGGGGAGTGCCTGGGGGTGCTATGGGGTCTGGGGAGTCAGGGTGATCCCTGGGGGTCAGGGTGGTTCCTGGGGGTCTAAGGGGTCAGGTGGTCCCTGGGGTGGCTGTGGGTCAATGGGGGTCAGGGTGGTCCCTGTGGGGTCAGGAGGTCCCTGGAGGTGTTATGGGGGTCTGGGGAGTCAGGGTGGTCCCTGAGGGTCAGGGTGGTTCCTGGTGGTCTGATGGGGTCAGGAGTCCGTTACCTCGTCAGGGGTGGAAGCCGCCCCAGGTGGGGGTCACTGATGTAAACGTGGCAGGTGGAACAGGCCAGGGAGGCCTCGCAGGCGCCTGGGGGAGCCCCCCGGGACCCCGTTAGCAATGGGACCCCTGGGATACCCCATTAAAAATAGACCCCCGGGACCCCTGTGAGCAACGGGAGACCCCCGGGACCCCCATTAAAAACAGAACTCCCACAGGACCCCCGTGAGCAACGGGACCCCTGGGATACCCCCATTAAAAATAGAACCCCCGGGACCCCCTGAACAACGGATACCCTGGGACCCCCATTAAGCAATAGAACCCCCTGGACCCCCTGGGATACCCCATTGACAATGGGAGACCCCCGGGACACCCCCCTGTTAACAACGCCCCCAATCCAACCCTCGAGCTCCAGGCCGTGTCTCCCATTCCCAGTCCCATTCCCGATCCCATTCTTGATACCATTCCCAGTCCCACTCCCAGTCCCACTCCCATTTCCATTCCCAGTCCCATTCCTGATCCCATTCTTGATACCATTCCCAGTCCCATTCCCAGTCCCATTCCCAATCCCATTCCCACTCCCATTCCCATTCCCAGTCCCAGTCCCACTCCCATTCCCAGTCCCATTCTTGATACCATTCCCATTCCCACTCCCATTCCCATTATTCCCACTATTCCCAACTCATTCCCATTCCCACCCACCCATCGAGTCCCAGACCCATGTCCCATCTCATTCCCATTCCCATTATTCCCATTATTCCCACTGTTCCCATTCTCCCCACCCTCGAGCTCCAGGCCGTGTCTCCCATTCCCAATCCCACTCCCACTCCCATTCCCATCCCCACCCTCGAGCTCCAGACCATGTCTCTCATTCCCATTATTCCCATTCTTCCCATTATTCCCACTCTTCCCATTCTTCCCACCCTCGAGCTCCAGGCCGTGTCTCTGGGCGAGGTGCAGGACGTTGTCCCCGACCCGGCCCCGAACCGGCACCTCCCGCCCGGAGCGATCCACGAACACCACGTTCACCCTGCAGCGGGAAAACACCGGGAAAACACCGGGATCAGCACCGGGATCAGCACCGGGAACATCCCGGGACAGCACCGGGATCAGCACCGAGAACATCCCGGGAACATCCCGGGACAGCACCGGGATCAGCACCGCGAATATCCCGGGATCAGCACCGGGAACATCCCGGGACAGCACCGGGATCTCCCGCCCGGAGCGATCCACGAACACCACGTTCACCCTGCAGCGGGAAAACACCGGGAAAATACCGGGATCAGCACCGGGAAAACACCGGGAACATCCCGGGACAGCACCGGGAAAACACCGGGAATATCCCGGGACAGCACCGGGACAGCACCGGGATCAGCACCGGGATCAGCACCGGGATCTCCCGCCAGGAGCGATCCACGACCACCACGGTCACCCTGCAATGCGAACACCGGGAAAATACCGGGATCAGCACCGGGAAAACACCGGGAACATCCCGGGACAGCACCGGGATCTCCCGCCCGGAGCGATCCACGAACACCACGTTCACCCTGCAATGGGAACACCGGGAAAACACCGGGAAAATACCGGGATCGGCACCGGGAACGGCACCGGGAACACCCCTGGAACCGGGAGAAAACCGGGACGGCTCCCGAGAACGGGACAGCACCGGGAACACCCGCTGAGCACGGGACAACACCGGGAACACCCCCTTAGACCGGGACAACACCGGGAACCCCCCCTTGGACCGGAACAGAACCCCCCTGAACCGGGAGAGAACCGGGAAACCCCCCCCGGAACCGGGACAGAACCGGGCCCCCCTCCCGAGCCCGGGGACAGCAGCGGCCCCCCCCCGGCACGCACGGGGCCGCCTCGGGCTCCTCTGCCGCGGCCCCGCCGAGCCCCCGCGCCGGTCCCCGCAGCCGCAGCAGCCGCCGCGTCACGGAGGTCACGGAGCCCACGGAGCCGCCGCTCGCAGCCGCCGCCATGGCGGCCGCCATGATGGCTCCCACGTGACCGCGCCCACGTGACCGACGGGTGGGCGGGGCCAAGAGGACAACGTTGGGTCCTAAAGCCCGACAGGGGGTTGGGGGAATTGGGGATTTTTGGGGGTCCAGGGGGTTTTGGGGGTCCAAGATGAGGAGGGGGCACCCAAAGGACGCCTTTGGGGGGTTCCAAGCATGACGGGGGGATCTTTATAAAGGGCTGTTTGATGAGAGGGGGTGCCCAGGGGACACTTTTAATTGGGGGATTTTTGGGGTCCAGGGGGTCCGGGATGAGGAGGGGGACCCCTTAATGGGGGATTTTGGGGGTCCAGGGGGTCCGGATGAGGAGGGGGACCCTTTAATGGGGAGGGATTTTGGGGGTCCAGGAGGGATTTGGGGGTCTGGGATGAGGAGGGGGCAGCCCAGGGGACCCCTTTAATTGGGGGATTTTTGGGGGGTCCAGGGGGTTTGGGGGTCTGGGATGGAGGGGGCACTCCAGGGGACCCCAAAATGGGAGGTGACCTCCACCCCAGCCCCCCTTTCTGGGCCTTTTTTGGGGGAGGATGGGAGGAATTTGGGGGTGGGATTTTGAAGGGGTGGGATTTTAGTGGGGGGTCCACCTAAATTTTTTTTTTTGGGGGGGGAAACAGAAATAACAAAATGACACCAAAATAACCCAAAAAACCTCAAGAAAAGGGAGGGGTGGGAAGCAGAAATATAAATATAATTTTACTTTTTGGGGAGGGGGGGGACACACACAAAAAAAGGGGGGGGGGTTGTCCCCTTTTACCCCCCCCCCAATTTTTACAGCAGACAATAAAAACAGGGAACACCCCAAATCCTGGGAAACCCCCCCAAAAAAGAGGGAGGGGGGAGGGAAAAAGGGAGGGAGGGAACCCCCCAAAATTAAGGGAAGGGGATGGCAAGCCCCTCCGGGAAAGGGATTTTTTGTGTTAAAAAAAAGATTAAAAGTAAAAAAAAAACGAAAAAAAAGGCCAATTTTGTCCCAAAATAAAGGTGGGAAAGTTAAAAATTAAAAGGAGGGGGAAAATCACACAAAAAACACCAAAAATCAGCAAAATAAACCCCAAAAAAACAACCCCAGGCTGGGGAAATGTTTGGGGGGGGTGAAGGAGAGAGAGGGACCCCCCCTTAAAAAGGGAGGGAAACCCCCAAAATTTGGGGATTTCAGCCCCCAAAATTGGGGACTTTCCCCCCAAAATTTGGAGACCCCCAAAATTTGGGGAATCCCCCCCCCAAAAAAAGCAGCAGGTTAAGGCAGGGGCCCATTTTTGGGGGGTCCCAGTTACTGCTTTTTTTTGGGGGGACCTAAAATTTTGGGAGGGGGGGGGGGCTCAGGGATCCCCCAAAATCTTTTAGGGGTGGCTGAAAAAAAAACACAACAAAATCTTTTAGGGGTGGCTCAAAAAAACCCCAAAATCTTTTAGGGAGAAGCTTTAAAATCCCAAAATCTTTAGGGTGGCTCCAAAACCTCAAAATCTTTTAGGGAGGAGCTTTAAAATCCCAAAATCTTTTAGGGAGTGGTTCCAAAACCCCAAAATCTTTTATGGAGGAGCTTTAAAATCCCAAAATCTTTTAGGGAGGAGCTCCAAGACCCCAAAATCTTTTAGGGGGTGGCTCAAAAAAACCCCAAAATCTTTTAGGGAGGAGCTTTAAAACCCCAAAATCTTTTAGGGGGGAGCTCAAAGACCTCAAAATCTTTTAGGGAGAAGCTTTAAAATCCCAAAATCTTTTAGGGGTGGCTCAAAAAAACCCCAAAATCTTTTATGGAGGAGCTTTAAAATCCCAAAATCTTTTAGGGGGGAGCTTTAAAATCCCAAAATCTTTTAGGGGGTGGAGCTCAAAAAAACCCCAAAATCTTTTAGGAGGAGCTCCAAGACCCCAAAATCTTTTAGGGGGTGGTTCCAAAACCCCAAAATCTTTTAGGGGTGGCTCAAAAAAACCCCAAAATCTTTTATGGAGGAGCTTTAAAATCCCAAAATCTTTTATGGAGGAGCTTTAAAATCCCAAAATCTTTTAGGGGTGGCTCAAAAACCCCAAAATCTTTATGGAGGAGCTTTAAAATCCCAAAATCTTTTAGGGGAGTTTTAAAATCCTCAAAATCTTTAGGGTGGCTCAAAAAACCCCAAAATCTTTTAGGGAGGAGTTTTAAAATCCCAAAATCTTTTAGGGGTGACTCAAAGAAACCCCAAAATCTTTTATGGAGGAGCTTTAAAATCCAAAAATCTTTTAGGGGGTGGTTCCAAAACCCCAAATCTTTTAGGGAGGAGCTTTAAAATCCCAAAATCTTTTAGGGGGTGGCTCAAAAAAACCCCAAAATCTTTTAGGGGTGGCTCAAAAAACCCCAAAATCTTTTAGGGAGGAGCTCCAAGACCCCAAAATCTTTTAGGGGGTGGCTCCAAAACCCCAAAATCTTTTAGGGGGTGGCTCAACCCCCCCCCCCCAAAAAAAATCTTTTAGAGTGGAGGTGTCAAACTCTGGAAAACTCCCTTTAAAAACTGGCAAAAAACCTCTAAAAAACCCAAAATAAAACCCAAATGACCCCTTTTTTTTTTGCCCAAGATTTCCAGCCTGGAGGGGAGGTTTTGGGGTTGATTTTTGGGGGGTTTTCCCCTAAAATATCCTCTTCCTCTTCAGGTAGGAGTCGGCGTAGTGGCCCCCCAGGCCCTGGGAATGTTGCCCCACGTAACAGCCCTCGGGGCTCGGCTCCGGCGACGGCAGCAGGTGGGAAAAGGCCCTTTTGTGGCCCCCCAGGGGGGTCTGAAAAACACAATTCCCGTTTTTTTTTAAGGATGGGGGTGGTGGGGAGCCCCTCCTGAAATTTGGGGGTGGTGGTGTTTTGGTATCCCCCCAAAAAAATCTCATTTAAATGGAGGGGATTTAATTCTTCCTGGGTTTTGTTTTTTTTTTGGGGGGTTGTTTTGTTGTTTGGGATGACTTTAAAAGACGCCCCTGAAACCATAAAAGTCAAAAAGATCACCCTGATCCCACCCCCAGACCCAAAAATCCCCCCAGAGACTCCCAAAGCCCCCCAAAAGACCCCCCTGACCCCAAAATCCCCCCTTGGCCCCATAAAACCCCCCAAAGACCCCCCGACCCCAAAATCCCCCAAAAGACCCCCTAGACGCCCAAAATCTCTCCCAAAAGACCCCTGACCCCAAAATCCTCCCAAAGAGACCCTCTGACCCCAAAATCCCCCCAAAAGACCCCTGACCCCAAAATTCTCCCAAAAGACCCCTTACCCCAAAATCCCCAAAGACCTCTACCCCCAAAATCCCCCCAAAGACCTCCTACCCCCAAAATCCCCCAAAAGACACCCTGACCTCAAAATCCCTCAAAAGACCCTCTGACCCCAAAATCCCCTAAAAGACCCCTTGGCCCCATAAACTCCCCAAAAGATCCCCTGACCCCAAAATCCCCAAAAGACCCCCTTGGCCCCTTAAAACCCAAAATGACCCCTGACCCCAAAATCCCCCAAAGACCCCCTGACCCCAAAATCCCAAAGACCCCTGACCCAAAAATCCTCCCAAAGATCCCTTGGCCCATAAAACCCCCTAAAAGATCCCTCTGACCCCCAAAATCCTCCCAAAAGACCCCCTGACCCCAAAATCCCCCAAAAGACCCTCTTGGCCCCAAAATCCCCCCAAAAGACCTCCCTGACCCCCAAAATCTCCCCAAAAGACCCCCTTGGCACCATAAAACCCAAAATGACCCCCTGACCCCAAAATCCCCCAAGAGAACCCCTGACCCCAAAATCCTCCCCAAAAGACCCCCTGACCCCCAAAATCCCCCAAAAGACCCCCTTGGCCCCATAAAACCCAAATGACCCCTGACCCCAAAATCCCCCAAAAGACCCCTTGGCCCCATAAACCAAAATGACCCCTGACCCCATAAAACCCCAAAAGACTCCTGTTGTTTTGTAGACCTCCAAAATTTAGGGAGATCCCCAACTCCCCCAGGGACCTCTTGATCTCTCCCAGACCCCCCAACCCCCAGACTCCATTTTTGGGGGGAATTTGGGGATTTTTGGGATTTCTGGGGGGTTGGGGATTTCCCAAAGGGTTTTTTGGGGGGGTTTGAAGGATTTTGGGGGGGTTTTGTAGGATTTTGGGTACCTTGGAATGGGGGGTTGGGGGTGCCAAGGTCAGGACGGTGTCCGGGGAGTTCGGGGGGATCCCGATGGTCTGGGGGGAAAAAATGGGAAAAATGAGGGGAAAAGGGGGGAAAAAGGAGGGAAAAATGTGGGAAAATGGAAGGAAAAACGAGGGGAAAATGAGGGAAAATGGAGAGAAAAACGGGGAAAAAAGGAAGAGGAATGGGATTAATGATGGGAAAATGGGATAAATGGAGGGAAAAATGGGATAAACGAAGGGAAAAATGGGATAAATGAGGGGAAAATGTGGGAAAATGGAACGAAAAATGAAGGGATAATGAGGGAAAATGGAGAGAAAAACGGGATAAATGAGAAGAAAAAGGGGATAAAAAGGAAGGAGAAAAGGGGGAAAATGGAGAGAAAAAGAGGAAAAAGGAAGAGGAATGGGATTAATGATGGGAAAATGGGATAAATGAGGGGAAAAGGGGGAAAATGAAGGGAAAAGAGGTGGGGGTCCCCCAAAGGGGGGGTCTCACCTTGCTGAGGTGGCTCTGGCTGAGCCCAGCCTGGAGGCCGCTGGAGAAGCAGGAACTGGGGGAGCCCGAGAAAAACGGGGCCAGGGGGGGCCCCAAAACCCCCCTGTCCAGGCCAGGGCACGGGGAGGGGACCTGGAATGGGAGAGACCCCAAAAATGGGGAGAGACCCAAAAATGGGGAGAGACCCCAAAAATGGGGAGAGAGACCCCAAAAATGGGGAGAGAGACCCCAAAGATGGGGGGGAGAGACCCCAAAAATGGGGGGGAAAGACCCCAAAAATGGGGGAAAGACCCCAAAAATGGGGAGAGAGACCCCCAAAATGGGGGGGAGAGAGACCCCAAAAAATGGGGGGAAAGACCCCAAAAATGGGGAGAAAGACCCCAAAAATGGGGAGAGAGACCCCCAAAATGGGGGGAGAGACCCCAAAAATGGGGAGAAAGACCCCAAAAATGGGGGGAGAGCCCTGAAATCCACCCCAAAAATAGGGGGGACCCTTGAAATCCCCCCTCAAAAACAGGAGAGACCCCAAAATTCCCCCAAAAGGGTGGTTTTTTGGGGTTTTTTTGGGGTTTTTACCTTGTTCCTGCTGGGCCCGAAGCCCCCCAGGATGGGCCCGGAGGGGTCTCGGGCTTGGGGGAAAATCCTGGAGCTCAAATCCTGCTTGGGAAAAAATGGAGGGGATTAAAAAAAGGGGGGAATTCCCAAATTCCTGAGTGTCCCCCAAATCTAAAACTCCCCCCAAAAATCCCTGGATTTCACCCCAAAATCCCACTAATGGCTGGAATTCCAAGGTCCCAGGAAACCCAGGGAGTCTCCCAAGCCTAAAACCCCCCAAAAATCCCTGCATTTCACCCCAAAACCCCTGGATTCCCCCCCAAACCCCCCAACCCACCAGCTGGAAGTTGAAAATGCCAATAAAGGGGCATCCCAAGCCTAAAACCCCCCCAAAATCCCTGGATTTGACCCCAAATCCCACCCAGCAGCTGGAAATCAAAGATCCTGGGATAAAAAAGGAAGGTTTAGGGAACTTCCCAAGCCTAAACCCCCCCCCAGAATCCCTGGATTTCCCCCCAAAACCCCCAACCCACCGGCTGGAAGTCGAAAGTGCCAATAAAGGAGCATCCCAAGCCTAAACCCCCCAAAATCCCTGGATTTGACCCCAAAATCCCTGCATTTCACCCCAAAACCCCCAACCCACCGGCTGGAAGTCAAAAATGCCAATAAAGGGGCATCCCAAGCCTAAAACCCCCCCCAAAATCCCTGGATTTGACCCCCAAAATCCCTGGATTTCCCCCCAGAACCCCCAACCCACCGGCTGGAAGTCGAAGGCGTCGGCGGGGCCGGGGGGGTCAGCGGGGCCCATCCTGGGGGTCTTGACCCCTGGGGCTGGGGTCGGCCCTTGAACCCTTTGGCAGCTCCTGAAATAAGGGGAGGGGTCTCAAATGGGGGAGAGACCCCCAAAAGGGGAGGGTCTCAGAGAGGGGAGGGTCTCAAAGGTGAGAGGGTCTCAGAGGGGTGAGGGTCTCAGAGGGGGGGAAGGGTCCCAAAGGGGGGTCTCAAATGGGGAGGGTCTCAGGGGGAGGGTCTGAGAGATGGGAGGATCTCGGGGAGGGTCTCAAATGGGGGAGGGTCTCAAATGGGAGAGGGTCTCAAAGGGGGGAGGGTCTCAAATGGGGAGTGTCTCAGAGGGGGAGTGTCTCAGAGGGGGGAGGGTCTCAGGGGGAGGGTCTGAGATGGGGAGGGTCTCAGAGGGGGAGGGTCTCAAATGGGGGAGGGTCTCAGAGGGGGAGGGTCTGAGAGATGGGAGGATCTCGGGAGGGTCTCAAATGGGGAGGGTCTCAGAGGGGGGAGGGTCTGAGAGGGTGAGGGGCTCAGAGGGGAGGGTCTCAGAGGGGGAGCAAAGGGGGAGGGTCTCAAATGGGGAGGGTCTCAAAGGGGAGGGTCTCAGAGGAGGGGAAGGGTCCCAAAGGGGGAAGGTCTCAAATGGGGGAGGGTCTCAGAGGGGGAGGGTCTCAAAGGTGGGAGGGTCTCAGAGGAGGGGAAGGGTCCCAAAGGGGGAAGGTCTCAAATGGGGAGGGTCTCAGAGGGGGAGGGTCTGAGAGATGGGAGGATCTCGGGGAGGGTCTCAAATGGGGAGGGTCTGAGAGGGGGAGGGTCTGAGATGGGGAGGGTCTCAAATGGGAGAGGGTCTCAAATGGGAGAGGGTCTCAAAGGGGGAGGGTCTCAAATGGGGAGGGTCTCAGAGGGGGAGGGTCTCAGAGGGGAGGGTCTCAAAGGGGGAGGGGCTCAGAGGGGGAGGGTCTCAGGGGAGGGGAAGGGTCCCAAAGGGGGTCTCAAATGGGGAGGGTCTCAGGGGAGGGTCTGAGATGGGTGAGGGTCTCTGAGAGGGGGGAGGGACCCCCAAAAGGGGAGGGTGTGTTTGGCTCACCTGGGCAGGAGGCTGCGCAGGTTCAGGTAGGGTTCAGGCAGCCGGAACTCCTTGGGGCTCCCAGCAGGGACACCTGGGAGGGGAAGGCTAAAAGGGGTCCCTAAAGGGGTTTGGGGGATTTGGGAGGCTTGAGGGTCCTAAAGGAGTTTGGGGCTCCCCAGCAGGGACACCTGGGGGCGAAAGGGGGATTAAAGGGGGTCCCTAAAGGGTTTGGGGGATTGGGGAGGTTTGGGGGTTTGAGGAATCTGGGGGTTTAGGGGATTTTGGAGGTTTGAGGTCCCAAAGGAGTTTGGGGGAATTTGGGGGTTGAGGGTCCTAAAGGAGTTTGGGGGCTCCCAGCAGGACACCTGGGGGAGAAAGGAGGGCTAAAGGGGTCCCTAGAGGGGTTTGGGGGTTTGAGGGGAATCTGAGGGGGTTAAGGGGGATTTTGGGGGTTTGAGGGGTCCTAAAGGGGGTTTGGGGGCTCCCCCAGCAGGGACACCTTGGGGGGGAAAAGGGGGGGGGATTAAAAGGGGGGTCCCTAAAGGGGTTTGGGGGGAGTTGAGGGGGTCCTAAAGGGGGGGTTGAGGGGTCCCAAAAGGGGTTCCCATCCCACATTTTGGGCTGTTCCCACCCCACATCCCAGGGTGTTCCCATCCCACATTTTGGGCTGTTCCCATCCCACAGTTGGGCTGTTCCCACCCCACATTTTGGGCCATTCCCATCCCACATTTTGGGCTGTTCCCATCCCACATTTTGGGCTGTTCCCATCCCACATTTTGGGCCGTTCCCACCCCCCATTCCCAGTTTTTTTTTCCCCTCACCTCTCCCTGCTTGGCTTTGGGGGTGGCTCCGCCTGGGGGGTGTCCAAGCCCGGGGGGTCCCAGGGGGGTCCCGGCCGATCCCGATCCCGATCCCGGCTTGTCCCGCTCCGCCCCCACCTGCGCCAGGAGCGCCGCCAGGGCCGCGTTCCCGCCGGGAATGCCCTGGGATGGGATCCCCTGGGATGGAATTCCCTGGGATTTGCCGGGTCCCTGGGGCAGCTCCCCCGCCAAGGGGCCTCCTGCAAGCACAGGGAGCAGGGTTTTTCCCACCTGGATCCGCCTTTTCCCACCTGAAAACCCCATCCCACCTCCCTCCCCACTTCCCTCTGGACATTTCCCAAGAGATTTTCCCACCCCAAAAATCCCATGGAAAGGGGATAATTCCCTCAATCCCAAGGGAAATCCCCGGGATCCCCAGGCTGGGGTGCCGGAATTCCGGGATTTACCTGCGGGAATGTCTCCCAGGAGCTTCCCTGGGGGGGGCTGGGCCAGGCCCAGGGGGAGGGAGCTCAGCGGGGAATCGCCCAGAATTCCCGGTTTCTGGAAGCGGGAAAAGCGGGATAAGGTCAGGAAGAGCCGGGAAAAGCCGGATTATCCCACAGAAAATCCATGGAATGCCCGGGGAGGGAGCAGAGAAGCCCCAGATTGATGCCTAAAACCCCCTCAGGGAAGGTGGGAAAGACACAGATTCTGGAATTCTGGGGCTGTCCGGAATTCCAAGCTGGGAATTCCCGCTTTTCCCACACCCCCCCCCTTCCACCGGGATTCCGGTTGGAGCTGCTTTGGGATCACTGGGATGGGGAGGGGACAGGGAAGGAGCTGGGAGGATCCCTTGGGAAGGTTCCAGCTGGAGGAACAGATCCCATGGGAAAAGGGCTGGGAAAAGGGTTGGAAAAGGGTTGGGACTGGAAAAGGGTTGGGACTGGAAAAGGGTTGGGATGGGAAAAGGGTTGGGATGGGAAAAGGGTTGGGATGGGAAAAGGGTTGGGAGTGGGAAAGGATTTCTTTTGGAAAAGGGTTTGGGAAAGGGTTGGGATTGGCAAAAAGGGATGGGATTGGGAGAAGGATCAGGTTTGGGAAGAGTGGGAAAAAGTTTGGGATTAAGCTCAGAAAGAGTGGATAAAGGTTTGGGAAGAGCAGGAAAAGATCTGGGAAGAGATCTGGGAAGAGGTCTGGGAAAAGGTTTGGGAAGAGTGGGGAAAACCTCTTGGGAAAAGGTCTGGGAAGAGGTTTGGGAAGAGCGGGAAAAGCTTTGGGAAAAGCTTTTGGGAAAAGCTCTGGGAAGGCCCAACCCTCCCTTTTCCTCCTTGGAAAACCCCCGGCCTGGAGAATTCCCAACCTGACCCACAAACCCCCCTGTCAGAGCCCCCTTCCCGCGGAATTCCGGGCGGGAATCACCTGGGAGGGGCCGTGCAGGGCCAGCCCCAGCAGCGCCGCCGACAGGGCCGGGTGGCTCAGGGGGGGCACCGAGGGAGCCGCTCCCAGAATTCCTGCTGGGAAGAGACTCGAGGGCAGGGCTGGGAATTCCTCCCCTCCTTTCCCAAGGAAGGGAGGGGGAAGGTTTTCCCGGGATTTCCCGGTCTCCTTACCCTGTTTTCCGTGGAGCAGGGCCGGGAGCAGCAGCTGCAGCGAGGTGGGGTTGCCGAGGCTCCGCAGGATCTGCAGCAGGGAGGGCTCGGGAAGGAGCCCCTTCCCGCGGTTCAGGGCCTGTGGGAAACCACGGGAACGTCGGGAATTCGGGATGGGGGAGCCCCCGGGCGCAGCGGGAGAGGTGGGGACCCCGATCCCAAAAAATGCAGCCTGTGGTTCCTTAATTCCTGAGGGTTCTTTAATTCCTTTGGTTCCCTAATTCCCGAGGGTTCCATAATTCCATTGGTTCCTCAACTCCTGAGGGTTCCCTAATTCCTGAGAACTCCCTAATTCCTGTGGTTCTTCTCATTCCTGTGGTTCTCCCTAATTCCTTTGGTTCCTCAACTCCTGAGAGTTCCCTAATTCCTGTGCCTTCCTAGTTCCTGAGAGTTCCCTAATTCCTGTAGGTTCCATAATTCCATTGGTTCCTCAATTCCTTTGGTTCCCTAATTCCTGTGGGTTCCATAATTCCATTGGTTCCTCAATTCCTTTGGTTCCCTAATTCCTTTGGGTTCCATAATTCCATTGGTTCCTCAATTCCTGAGGGTTCTTTAATTCCTTTGGTTCTCCTCATTCCTGTGGGTTCTTTAATTCCATTGGTTCCTCAATTCCTGAGGGTTCCCTAATTCCTTGGTTCCCTAATTCCTGTGGGATCCCTAATTCCTGGGGGTTCTCTCATTCCTGAGGGTTCCCTAATTTCTCTGCTTCCCTAATTCCTGATGGTCCCTAACCCCAGCTGTTCCCCCATTCCTTTGGTCCCCCAATTCCTGACGCTCCCCAATTCCCGTGGTCCCCCCAATTCCTGCGTGTCCTCAACTCCCAGCCTCCCCCAATTCCTGTATTCCCACATTCCCCCAATTCCCGGGAATGCCGAGGTGGGGGCAGCAGGAAGGTCCCACCGTGGCCTGGGCGGCGATGAGGGCTGGATGGATGGCATTCCTTGCCTTCCCCGCTTCCTGTGCTCCCTAATTCCCACATTCCCCCAATTCCCTGAGCTCCCCCATTCCCGGGAATGCCGAGGGAGGGGAAGCAGGAAGGTCCCACCGTGGCCTGGGCGGCGATGAGGGCGGCCGAGGGATGGATGGATGGATGGCATTCCTTGCCTTCCCCGCTTCCCGTGCTCCCTAATTCCCACATTCCCTCACTCCCCACAACTCCCCAATTCTCGGGAATGCTGAGGGGGGGGCAGCAGGAAGGTCCCACCGTGGCCTGGGCGGCGATGAGGGCTGGATGGATGGCATTCCTTGCCTTCCCCACTTCCCGTGCTCCCTAATTCCCACATTCCCCCAATTCCCTGAGCTCCCCCATTCCCGGGAATGCCGAGGGGGGGCAGCAGGAAGGTCCCACCGTGGCCTGGGCGGCGATGAGGGCGGCCAGGGCGCTCCTGCCGGGGGTGCCGGGGGCGCAGAAGGACACCCGGATGTGATTCCCGGCCAAGGGAAATCCGTCCGTGGCCTCCTGGACTCGCTCGGCCCATTCCGGGGACTCCAACTCCAGCACGGCAAAGCCCTTCAGCTGCCCGTCCTGCCCGTAGGCCAGCTGGGAAAACACGGAGAGGGGTCGGGAGGGGCTGGGAATGGTGGGGAAAGGGGGGGAAAAGGTGGGGAAAAAGAGTGGGAAAAAGAGTGGGAAAAAAGGGAGAGAGAAAAGGGAGAGAAAAGGGAGAGAAAAGGGAGAGAAAAGGGAGAGAAAAGGGAGAGAAAAGGGAGAGAAAAGGGAGAGAAAAGGGAGAGAAAAGGGAGAGAAAAGGGAAAGAAAAGGGAGAGAAAAGGAGAGAAAGGAGAGAAAAGGAGAGAAAAGGAGAGAAAAGGGAGAGAAAAGGAGAGAAAAGGAGAGAAAGGGAGAGAAAAGGGAGAGAAAAGGAGAGAAAAGGAGAGAAAGGGAGAGAAAAGGGAGAGAAAAGGGAGAGAAAAGGGAGAGGAAAAGGGAGAGAAAAGGGAGAGAAAAGGGAGAGAAAAGGGAGAGAAAAGGGAAAGAAAAGGGAGAGAAAAGGATAGGGAAAAGTGCAGGAAAAGGGAAAAAAAAGGGCGGGGAAAGGGGTAGGGAAAAGGGTGGGAAAAAAGGTGGGAAAAGGGGATTGGGATTGGGGGGGGAAAGGAGGGAGGAATCAGGAGGAAACGAGAGGGAGGAAAGGGGGAAAATGGAGAGGAAAATGGGGAAGAGGGTATGCCCTCCCCTCATCCCACCTCCATCCCCTCATCCCACACCCCTTCCCCTCATCCCACACTCCATTCCCTCATTCCACACCCCTTCCCCTCACCCTACCCTCTTCCCCTCTTTTCCCACTTCCCCTCCCCTCTCCCCTCACCTCACAAAATGTGGGCTCCCTGACGGCCTCGAACACCCTCCTGAGCCCCCTGATGTCGCTGTACCCGTGGGGCAGCTTGTCCACCTCCCATCCTTCCCTTTTCCCTCTCCCCATCCCCATTTCCATCTCCCCTCACCTCACAGAAGGTGGGCTCCCTCATTTCCCCTCACCTGGCAGAAGGTGGGCTCCCTTTCCCCATTCCCATTTCCCCTCACCTGGCAGAAGGTGGGCTCACCTCACAAAAGGTGGGTTCCCTGACGGCCTCAAACACCCTCCTGAGCCCCCTGATGTCATTGTACCCGTGGGGCAGCTTGTCCACCCCCCATCCCCATTTCCATCTCCCCTCACCTGACAGAAGGTGGGCTCACCTCACAGAAGGTGGGCTCCCTGACGGCCTCGAACACCCTCCTGAGCCCCCTGAGGTCTGAGTACCCGTGGGGCAGCTTGTCCACCCCCCATCCCTCTCCCCATCCCCATCCATCTCCCCTCACCTCACAGAAGGTGGGCTCCCTCATTTCCCCTCACCTCACAAAAGGTGGGTTCCCTGACGGCCTCGAACACCCTCCTGAGCCCCCTGATGTCATGTACCCGTGGGGCAGCTTGTCCAGCCCCCATCCTTCCCTTTTCCCTCTCCCCATCCCCATTTCCATCTCCCCTCACCTGACAGAAGTGGGGCTCCCTTTCCCCATCCCCATTTCCCCTCACCTGGCAGAAGGTGGGCTCACCTCACAAAAGGTGGGTTCCCTGACGGCCTCAAACACCCTCCTGAGCCCCCTGATGTCATTGTACCCGTGGGGCAGCTTGTCCAGCCCCCATCCCTCTCTCCCCTCACCTCACAGAAGATGGGCTCCCTCATTTCCCCTCACCTCACAAAACGTGGGCTCACCTCACAAAAGGTGGGTTCCCTGACGGCCTCGAACACCCTCCTGAGCCCCCTGATGTCATTGTACCCGTGGGGCAGCTTGTCCACCCCCCATCCCCATTTCCATCTCCCCTCACCTGACAGAAGGTGGGCTCACCTCACAAAAGGTGGGTTCCCTGACGGCCTCAAACACCCTCCTGAGCCCCCTGATGTCGCTGTACCCGTGGGGCAGCTTGTCCAGCCCCCATCCCCATTTCCATCTCCCCTCACCTGACAGAAGGGGGGTTCCCTGACGGCCTCAAACACCCTCCTGAGCCCCCTGAGGTCTGCTGTACCCGTGGGGCAGCTTGTCCACCCCCATCCCCATCTCCCCTCACCTGACAGAAGGTGGGCTCACCTCACAAAAGGTGGGTTCCCTGACGGCCTCGAACACCCTCCTGAGCCCCCTGAGGTCTGAGTACCCGTGGGGCAGCTTCTCCAGCCCCCATCCTTCCCTTTTCCCTCTCCCTATCCCCATTTCCATCTCCCCTCACCTCACAAAATGTGGGTTCACCTCACAAAAGGTGGGTTCCTGACGGCCTCAAACACCCTCCTGAGCCCCCTGATGTCGCTGTAGCCGTGGGGCAGCTTGTCCACGCAGAGGCAGCGCGAGTGCAGCCGCTCGGGGCCCAGCTGGGCCTCGTCCACCCAGTGCACGAGGAGGGCGCGGGTGCCCAGGCGCCGGCCCTGCAGCCCCGAGCGCGCCCGCGCCGCCGAGTCCTTCTTCATGTACTCCACGAAGCCGTAGCCCTTGGAGTGCCCCGTGCGGGCGCTGTACACCAGGAAGCAGCGCTCCACGCTGCCGAAGGGCCGCACCAGCTCCTCGAAGCGCCGCTGGGGCAGCAGCCGCGGCAGGTTGGCCACGCACAGCAGCGAGTCCGGAGCCTGCAGCTGCGCCCGCAGCTCCCGCCCGCGCAGGGCGCGCCCGGCCAGGCGAGACACGGCCTGGGACGCCTGCTCCGCGCTCTGCAGGGTCACGAAGGCTGGGGGGGGAACAGGGGGAAAATAGGGAGTAAAAATGGAGGGGAAATGGGGTTAGGGCTGCTCAGTGATCTGCAGGGTCACGAAGGCTGGGGGGAGACAAAAATGGGGGGAAATATAGGAGTAAAAATGGGGTTAGGGCTGCTCCGCGCTCTGCAGCGTCACGAAGGCTGGAACAGGGGAGAAAATATGGGGAAAATATGGGGAAAAAAAATGGGTTAGGGCTGCTCCGCGCTCTGCAGGGTCACGAAGGCTGCAACAGGGGAGAAAATATGGGGTAAAAAGGGGGTAAAAATGGGGGGAAATGGGGTTAGGGCTACTCAGTGATCTGCAGGGTCACAAAGGCTGAGGGGGGAGAAAATATGGGGTAAAAAAATGGGTTAGGGCTGCTCCGCACTCTGCAGGGTCATGAAGGCTGGGGGGGACAGAAATGGGGAAAATATGGGGTAAAAATGGGGTTAGGGCTGCTCCGCGCTCTGTAGGGTCACGAAGGCTGGAACAGGGGAGAAAATATGGGGGAAAAATGGGGGGGAAATGGGGTTAGGGCTGCTCAGGGCTCTGCAGGGTCACGAAGGCTGGAACAGGGGAGAAAATAGGGGTAAATAGGGGGTAAAAATGGGGTTAGGGCTGCTCCGGGCTCTGCAGCGTCACAGAGGCTGGGGGAAAATGGGGAAATATGGGGGTAAAAATGGGGGGGAAATGGGGTTAGGGCTGCTTGGTGCTCTGCAGCGTCACGAAGGCTGGGGGGGGAAAAATGGGGAAAATAGGGGGTAAAAATGGGGTTAGGGCTGCTCCGCGCTCTGCAGCGTCACGAAGGCTGGGGGGAGAAAAGGGGGAGAAAAATGGGGTGAGGGGGATGTTTGAGGGAGTTTGGGGGAGGGAAATGGTCATTGGGGAAAGGAAGGGATCGCTGGGAAAAAGGGACTGGGGAAGGGAAATGGTCACTGGGGAAAAACGGGGTTTGGGGAAGGGATCATTGTAAAAAGGGGGCTTGGGAAAGGGAGAGGATTGCTGGGAAAAGGGGAATGAGTTGGGGTCAGGAAAGGGGGTTTTAGGAAGGGAAGGGATCGCTGGGAAAAAAGGGGTTTGGGAAGGGAAATGAGTCCTGGGAAAAAGGGGGGTTGAGGAAGGAAACAATCCGTGACAAAAGGGGTGTTGGGAAAGGACACAGTGCCTGGGAAAGAAAAGGATCCCTGGGAAAAGGAAAGGCTTGGGAAAGCATCCCAGGTTGTTCCCTTTCCCAAGGGATTTCCCACCCCCCCATCAGCTGATCCCGGAATTCCAGGGGCTGCTCCTCACCCGTTCCTTTGTGCTTGTCCACGAAGCAATACTTGAGCTCGTAGTCGCTCAGCAGCTCGTGGACTTCCTGGGGAAAAATAAAACAACGGGGCATTTCCCACGACTTTTTTTTTTTTTTAGGGGGGGGAAAAAAAAAAAAAAAAGAATCGGGGGGGTCGGAGGGGAAAAAAGCTCCAGCCTCGATCCCTCGTGATCCCGTCGCCGCTCACCTGGTTGGTCACGTCTGGGGGCAGCCCCTTGATGAGCACCTTGCGCCGGTTGCGGAGCTGCCGCTCGCTGTGCTCCAGGCGGCTCCGCACCTCGGCGGGGCTCAGCGGCGGCAGCTCCTCCTCGGGGCTGCGCTCGGGCCCCGCCGGCGGCTCCTCCGGGGGCTCCTCCCGGGGCTCCGCTCGGGGGTCCCCCCGGGGGTCCCGCCCGGGCCCCGCTCCGGGCCCGCTCCCCTCAGACGCCGCCGCCATCTTGGCCCCGCCGCCGCCGCCACCGGGGAAGCCACCCCCCCAGCAACGCGCCTCCCCATTGGAGGAGCGCTCTGAGGGGGGGATGTGTCGCGGGGCGTGATTGGTGAGAGCTGAGGGGGGTTTTGTGTGCGGGGCGGTGATTGGGTGAGGAGGAGGGGAGAGTGAAGGTCGAGGGGCGGGATTGGTTGGGTGAGTGGTGAGGGGAGGGAGGCGCGACTTTTGATTCCCCCCTCAGGGACCCAAAATATCCCGAAATACCCTCAAAAGGGCCCCAAAATACCCCTATAATAACACCGGAATATCCCAAGGGGACCCCAAAATATCCCCCCAAATATCCCGAAAGAAACCCCGAAATATCCCAAAGGGATCCCAAAATATTCCCCCCAAATATCCCAAAATGACCTCAAAGTGCCTCAAAATACCCCTATAAACCCCCGGAATATCCCAAAGGGACCCCAAAATATCCCCCCAAATATCCCAAAATGACCTCAAAGGGCCCCAAAACATCCCTAAAGAAACCTTGAAATATACCCCTAAATATCCGAAAATTCACTCAAAGAGCCCCAAAATTTCCCCCCAGATATCCTGAAATACCCTCAAAGGGCCCAAAATATCCCTAAAAAAACCCCGAAATATCCCAAAGGGACCCCAAAATATCCCCCCCAAATATCCCGAAGGGACCCCAAAATATCCCCCCAAATATCCCAAAATACCCCGAAAGAAACCCCGAAATATCCCAAAGGAACCCCAAAATACCATCCCAAAGGGACCCCAAAATATCCCCCCAAATATCCCAAAACACCCAGGAACATCAACTCCCAAAAAAGACCCCAAAATACCCCCCCATTTCCACAGCAGAGAGACCCAGGGGGGGCTTTTCCATCCTTTATTTGGGAAGGGGAAGGTTAAGGCAGAGACCCTGAACCCCCAAATCCTGGGGGGGGTCCCAAATCCAAGACCCCAAATCCCAGAGGGATCCCCCCAAATCCAGCCCCTCTCACCCCAAATCCCAGGGATTTTCCTTCCCCACCCCACCCCCAGGACCTCCCTAAATCCAGAGAGTCCCAAATCCAGGACCCCAAATCCTGGGGGATCTCCCCCCAAAATCCCAGGGTGGGGGGGAACAATTGACAATAAATAACAGGGAATTTGGGGATGGGGGAATTTTGAGACCTCTCCCCCCAAAAAACCCTCCCAAGGCAAAGGTCAGGGGAGGGTCCCGAGACCCCCCCAAAATCCTGATAAAGTGCCACATTCCTTTTGCTGAACCCCCCATTGTTTTTGGGGAGGGGGCCCCAAATTCCTGGTGGGAAAGAAGGAGATCCAGCCCCTCTCCTCCCCTTATCCCAAAAAAATTAACCCTTCCCCAAAATTTGGGGTCAGGACAACCCCCCCCTCAAGGAATGAACCAGGGGGGGGAAATAAGGCCAGAATTCCATAAATCCATAAATCACCCCCAGAAATCCACCCCCTTTTCCCAAAAAAATCTTCGTCCCCACAGTCTCATTCACAGTGTTCGGAATTTTTGGGGTGGGGGAGGAAATATCTGGAATTTTTGGTGCTGCTCCGTCTCCACATCCCGGAATTTCCTCATCCTGCCGGGAAAACGGGAATCCAGAGTCCATGTGGGTGTTTTCCCCCACCCACTCCACGGAATTTTTGGGGGTTCTTTTCCCCCAATCCATGGAATTTTTAGGGTGTCTCCACCTCTCCATGGAATTTTTTTGGGTTTTTTTTCCCCCAATCCATGGAACTTTTTGGGTGTCTCCACCTCTCCATGGAATTTTTTTGGGGTTCTTTTCCCCCAGTCCATGGAATTTTTAGGGTGTCTCCACCTCTCCATGGAATTCTTTTTTGGGGGTGGGGGGTCCTTCCCCATAATCCATGAAGTTTTTTTGTGGCGTTTCCCCCCTGGAATTCTAGGGGGGAGAATCTCAGCAGAGGTTGAAGACGGAGGGGGCCTGAGCCCGGTATTTTTCCTGGAAGTTCCTGAGGATCGGGATGAGGTTGTGGAAGGAAGGGCGGAAAGAAGCTTCTGCTTCCCAGCAGTTCTTCATCAGCCGGTAAATCTGGGAAGGGGGAGAGGAAAAACAGGGTGGAAAAGAGGGAAAAATCCTGGAAAAGAGCTCCCCAAACTTCCCCCCTCCCTCCTCTTTCCCCGCAGGAATGTGAAGCCATTCCCGATTTCTTTCTCCCCTTCCCTGTTTTTCCTCCTCTCCTTCCTCCCTTCTCCCCTTTTTTCCCTCCCCATTCCCTGCCTTTCCCACCTCGCAGGGACAATCCTTGGGGATGGGGAGCCTCTTCCCCCTCTCCAGGAGCTCCACCAGCCTCAGCACCGTCATCTGGCCCTGGGTGGCTCCGATCAGCTCCAGGAATTTCTGCCGGGAAGGGGAAAAAAAAAAACCCACCCAAAAATCCTTGGAGAGCCCAGTCCTGGGGACTCCCCAACCTCGGGAATCCCAAAAAACCTTGGGAATCCCAAAAAAGCTTGGACACACCACACTTTGGGTATCCCAACCTTGGGAACCCCCAAAAACCTTGGGAATCCCCAAAAATCTTGGAGACCCCACACCTTGAGTATCCCAACCTTGGGAATCCCGGGGGAGGCTGTTCCCGGGAATTCCCAGGGAATTCCCAGTGGGATACTCAGGGCAGGGGGGCTGTTCCTGGGAATTCCCAGGGAATTCCCAGTGGGATACTCAGGGCAGGGGGGCTGTTCCCAGGAATTCCCAGGAATTCCCAATGGGATACTCAGGGCAGGGGGGCTGTTCCCAGGAATTCCCAGGAATTCCCAATGGGATACTCAGGGCAGGGGGGCTGTTCCCAGGAATTCCCAGGAATTCCCAGTGGGATGGGGGGCTGTTCCCAGGAATTCCCAGTGGGATACTCACAGCGGGGGGGCTGCTCCCGGGCTCGCAGCGGGTCAGGATCTCGTAGAGGGTGACCCCGAAGGACCAAACGTCGGAGGCGAAGTAGAACTTGGACTCCTTGAGGCATTCCGGGGCGTACCTGGAGAGCAGGGCGGGAATTCCGGGCAATTCCAGGCAATTCGGGGAAGGGGGCCAGAGCTCCGGAGAGCTCTGGGTTGGGATGATCCCAGCCTCTGGGGGTGGGATGGAATTCCAGACCTCTGAGAAGCTCTGGGTGGAGATGTTCTATGGGTGGATGCAATTCCAGAGCCTCTGGAGCAGCTCTGGGGGTCGGTGGGGAAGGGATGCAATTCCAGAGGCTCTGGAGAAGCTCTGGGGGTCAGGAATGGATCCCAGGCCCCCTGGGGGGTGGGATGCAATTCCAGAGCCTCTGGAGAAGCTCTGGGGGTCAGGGGGGAAGGGATGCAATTCCAGAGGCTCCGGAGCAGCCCTGGGGGTGGGGGATGGCTCCGTGGGGTAGGATGCAATTCCAGAGGCCCTGGAGAGGCTCTGGGGGTGGGGGATGGTTCTGTGGGGTGGGATGCAATTCCAGAGGCTCCGGAGCATCCCTGGGGGTCAGGAATGGATCCCAGGCCCCCTGTGGGGTGGGATGCAATTCCAGAGGCTCTGGAGCAGCCCTGGGGGTGGGGGATGGCTCCATGGGGTGGGATGTAATTCCAGAGGCTCCAGAGCAGCTCTGGGGGTTGGGGATGGATCCCAGGCCCCTTGTGGGGTGGGATGCAATTCCAGAGGCTCTGGAGCAGCTCTGGGGGTCGGTGGGGAAGGGATGCAATTCCAGAGGCTCCGGAGAAGCTCTGGGGTTTGGGGATGGATCCCAAGGCCCCTTGTGGGGTGGGATGCAATTCCAGAGGCTCTGGAGCAGCCCTGGGGGTGGGAGATGGCTCCATGGGGTGGGATGCAATTCCAGAGGCTCTGGAGCAGCTCTGGGGGTTGGGGATGGATCCCAGGCCCCTTGTGGGGTGGGATGCAATTCCAGAGCCTCTGGAGAAGCTCTGGGGGTGGGGGATGGCTCCATGGGGTGGGATGCAATTCCAGAGGCTCCGGAGCAGCCCTGGGGGTCAGGAATGGCTCCCAGGGCTCACCAGAAGATGGGGCTGTCGCCGTCCTCCCGCACCCGGTAGGGTGGGATGCAATTCCAGAGGCTCTGGAGAAGCTCTGGGGGTCGGTGGGGAAGGGATGCAATTCCAGAGGCTCTGGAGCAGCCTCTGGGGTTGGGGGATGGCTCCATGGGGTGGGATGCAATTCCAGAGGCTCTGGAGCAGCTCTGGGGGTCAGGAATGGATCCCAAGCCCCCTGTGGGGTGGGATGCAATTCCAGAGGCTCTGGAGAAGCTCTGGGGGTCAGGAATGGATCCCAGGCCCCTTGTGGGGTGGGATGCAATTCCAGAGCCTCTGGAGAAGCTCTGGGGGTCAGGAATGGATCCCAGGCCCCTTGTGGGGTGGGATGCAATTCCAGAGGCTCTGGAGAAGCTCTGGGGTTGGGGGATGGTTCTGTGGGGTGGGATGCAATTCCAGAGGCTCCGGAGCATCCCTGGGGGTCAGGAATGGCTCCCAGTGCTCACCAGAAGACGGGGCTGTCGCCGTCCTCCCGCACCCGGTGGGGTGGGATGCAATTCCAGAGCCTCTGGAGAAGCTCTGGGGGTCAGGGGGGAGGGATGCAATTCCAGAGGCTCTGGATAAGCCCTGGGAGTCAGGAATGGCTCCCAGGCCCATCTGGGATCCTCCAGAGCTCAGCAGAAGACTGGGGCTGTCGCCGGCCTCCCGCACTCCGGTGGGGTGGGATGCAATTCCAGAGCCTCTGGAGAAGCTCTGGGGGTCAGGGGGGAGGGATGCAATTCCAGAGGCTCTGGATAAGCCCTGGGAGTCAGGAATGGCTCCCAGGCCCATCTGGGATCCCAGAGCTCACCAGAAGACGGGGCTGTCCCCGTCCTCCCACACCCAGTAGGGTGGGATGCAATTCCAGAGCCTCTGGAGCAGCTCTGGGGGTCAGGGGGAAGGGATGCAATTCCAGAGGCTCCGGAGCATCCCTGGGGGTCAGGAATGGCTCCCAGGGCTCACCAGAAGACGGGGCTGTCGCCGTCCTCCCGCACCCGGTAGTAGTCGTGGCCCTCGGGGACGGCCTTGGCCAGCCCGAAGTCCCCGATCTTCACCACCTGCTCGTTCTCCAGCAGCACGTTCCGAGCAGCCAGGTCCCGGTGGATGTAGTGCAGGGAGTGCAGGTACGACATCCCCTAGGGGGGGGATGGGGGGAAAGAGGGTTAGGAACAGTTTGGGGGTTGGAAGCAGTTTTGGAGGGGTTAGAACCAGTTTTGGGGGATTAGAACCAGTTTGGGGGTTAGAACCAGTTTTGAGGGGTTAGGAACCAGTTTGGGGGCTCAGAACCAGTTTGGGGGGGTCAGAACCAGTTTAGGGGGCTCAGAACCAGTTTGGGGGTTAGAACCAGTTTGGGGGTTAGAACCAGTTTAGGGGGCTCAGAACCAGTTTAGGGGTTAGAACCAGCTTTGGGGGCTCAGAACCAGTTTTGGGGGCTCAGAACCAGTTTGGGGGGTTAGAACCAGTTTGGGGGTTAGAACCAGTTTAGGGGGGTCAGAACCAGTTTGGGGGGCTCAGAAACAGTTTAGGGGGTTAGAACCAGTTTTGGGGGTTGAACTAGTTTTGGGGGCTCAGAACCAGTTTGGGAGGCTCAGAACCAGTTTAGGGGTTAGAAACCAGTTTAGGGGGTTAGAACCAGTTTGGGGGTTAGAACCAGCTTTGGGGGTTAGAACCAGTTTGGGGGCTCAGAACCAGTTTGGGGGCCTAGAAGCAGTTTAGGGGTTAGAACCAGTTTTGGGGGCTCAGAACCAGTTTGGGGGCTCAGAACCAGTTTTGGGGGGTTAGAACCAGTTTGGGGGATTAGAACCAGTTTGGGGGCTCAGAACCAGTTTGGGGGTTAGAACCAGTTTAGAGGGGTTAGAACCAGTTTGGGGGCTCAGAACCAGTTTAGGGGGGGTTAGAACCAGTTTTGGGGGGGGGTTAGAACCAGTTTAGGGGGGGTTAGAACCAGTTTGGGGGGGGTTAGAACGAGTTTGGAGGGGGTTGGAAGCAGTTTTGGAGGGGTTAGAACCAGTTTGGGGGTCTCACAACCAGTTTAGGGGGGGTTAGAACCAGTTTAGGGGGGGTTAGAACCAGTTTTGGGGGGGATTAGAACCAGTTTTGGGGGGGATTAGAACCTGGATTTTTTAGGATTCCCACCTCTGGATTTTGGGGATTCCCACCTCAGGAAGGGCCTCAGATTTTTGGGATTTCCACCTCGGGAAGGGCCCTGGATTTTTGGGATTCCCACCTCTGGATTTTGGGGATTCCCACCTCAGGAAGGGCCCTGGATTTTTTGGGAATTCCCACCTCGCAGATCTGGCGGGCGAAGAGCAGGATGTGGGAAAGGCTCAGGGGGTGCTTGGGAAGGAAATCCCGGAGGCTCCCGAGGGGGACGTATTCCATGATCAGCTGCACCACCTTGTCCCCTGGGGAAAAATCCCACATGGATTGAGCTTCCTGTCCCATTCCCACCCCCTCACTCTCGTGGGGACCACCCTGAACCCCATCCCTTCCCAAAATTCCCAAAAAAATCCCATCTGGAATTGGGTTTTTAACCTTTCTGTGGCACCAAATCCACTCCCAATTCCATATGGAATTTCCCCCCCCCCCATCCTGGGACCCATCCGGTGTTTCCCACTCTCCTGGGAAGAAAGGAACAACCCTGAGACACCCCCAACCTTCCCAAAATTCCTGCCAGGATGGAGATTCCCCTCCAAAAAAAAAACCCAGGAATGGGGTTCTTAATTTTTCAGCAAACAAAACAACGGATCCACTCCCAATTCCGACGAAAAATTCCATGTGGAATAAACCTCATGTCCCCCCTCTGACTCCCCATTCCTTGTGGGAAGAGCAGGACAAGCTGATCCCACCCCAAACCCCTTCCAGGCTGGCAATTCCCGACCCTCCAAAAAACCAAAAACCGGCGGGAATTGTGAGGGGGGAATAAAAAAATGATCCCGGGAAATTCCCAGCTGGAATTTGGGGCCCCCTCCCTCACCCTGCTCGCTGCAGCAGCCCTTGTACTTGACGATGTTCTCGTGGTAGAGGGTCTTGAGGATCTGGATCTCCCTCCTCCAGCTGCTCAGGAGCTCCGGGCTGCTCCCGGATTTCAGCGACTTCACCGCCACCATCTCCCCGGTGCCGTCGTTGGTGGGGTCGTAGCAGTACAGCCCCACCTTCCCAAAGTGCCCCTGGAATGGGAAAAGTTGGAATTTGGGATGTGGGAAGGAAAAAACAAGGGAGGTTTGAAGGGCCCCACCTTCCCAAAGTGCCCCTGGAACGGGGAAAATGGGAATTTGGGATTGGGAAAGGGGAAAAGAAGGGAGGTTTGAAGGGCTCCACCTTCCCAAAGTGCCCCTGGAATGGGAAAAGGAGGGAATTTGGGATGTGGGAAGGGAAAAAACAAGGGAGGGAGTCAGAGGGTGAGGGATGGAATTAGGGATGGAAGGATGGGAATTAGGGGTTGAAGGGTGGGAATTAGGGAATGTAGGGTGGAAATCAGGGGTTGAAGGGTGGAATTTCAGACTCAGGCAGGGAAATCTGCAGGGAAAAGAGGTTAAAGCGTGGAATTAAGGATTAAAGAGTGGAATTAGGGATTAAAAGCCGGAATTAGGTTTTAAGGAATGGAATTAGGGATCGAAGAACAGACTCAGGGATTAAGTAACGGAATTCTGGACCCAAGCAG